TTCCGCTCACCTCCCACCACCCCCTCTCACACACATGTGTGGCTGCACTTCATTAACGAATGAGCTGTTGGCTCAGGTAGTAACTCTCCGGCCGGTACTCCGGCCTCCACATGGAGTTCTTCACCAGCTTCACGAGGTCAGGCCGGTTCGTGGGCAGGTCCTTCTTGGCCAGACCAAGATTCTGCAATTTCTGGATGCACGCCACCGCGATCTCGGCCGATACGTGGCGCACGTGGTCAATCGGCGGGTAAAGCTGACCAGCCGCCAAATCCTCCGGCGACGCCAGATTGCTGAGGCACGCCGCGGCGGCCACGAGGACCTCCTGCGGGATGTACGGCGGCTCCGCGATGCAGCAGCCCATGCCGACCCCCGGAAAAATGTAGAGGTTGTTGCCCTGCGAGGGGTGCAGGGTGCGCCCGTTCACGACGGTGTCGGGGAAGGGGCTGCCCGACGCCACAATGGCGTCGCCGTTGGTCCACTTGTACGCGTTGGAGGGCAGAATCTCCGCCTTGCTGGACGGGTTCGACAGGGGGAAGATGATCGGGCGCGGGCAGTAGGAATGGATGAACTCGACGATCTCCTTGGTGAAGACGCTGCCGGTGGCGCCGAGGCCCACCAGCGCGGTCGGCTTCACGTATTTGACGACTTCCTCCAGTGTCGTGAGGTGCTGGATGTCGGCGTCGGGGACGTCGGTGCGAGCCCAGGCGACCTTGTGCTTCGCCAGCTTATCACCGCGGTTGGCCGCGACAAGGCCCTTGGAGTCCACAAAGTACAGCTTCTTTTTGATCTCCTCCGCCGTCATGCTCGACGTCGCCTCCGTCAGCTCGGCGATGCTCTGCGCCACCCCCGTCGCGGCCGAGCCGGCACCGAAGAAGAGAACGCGCTGCTCCTTCATCGGAATGCCGCTCAGCTTCACGGCGGTGCGAAACCCCGCGGAGACGACGGCGCCGGTGCCCTGGATGTCGTCGTTGAAGCAGCGGTACTTGTTCTGGTAGCGCTCGAGGATGTCGAAGCAGTGGTTGTTGCTGAAGTCCTCGAACTGGATTACGGCGGAGGGCCACGCCTCCTTGGCTGCCGCCATGAACTCGTCAAGGAGGGCGTAGAACTCTTCATCTGTGCAGCGCGGCTTGCGGCTGCCGAGGTAGAGAGGATTGTTCACGAGGGACTCGTTGTTTGTGCCGGCATCCATGATGACCGGCAGCACACGTGCCGGCTTCACGCCACCCGCAGCGACGTACAGGGAGCATTTTCCGATGCTGATGCCAATGCCGTTCACGCCGAGGTCGCCCAAGCCGAGAATGCGAGAGCCGTCGGTGATGACGATGACGTCGATGTTCGTCTTGCGCAGGTTCTGGATCATCTTGCGCACGCTCTCCTTGCGGTTGACATCGATGTAGAGACCGTGGTCCTTCTGGAACAGGTCACCGTAGCGCTGGCAGGCCTCTCCGACGGTCGGGGTGTAGATGATGGGCAGCGTCTGCTTGAGGTAACGGATAATGATGGCGTAATACAGCGTCACGTTCGTGTCCTGCACGCTGCGCAGAAGCTGGTAGCGGTTGATCGGCTCGTTGAAGCGGTTCAGTTGCTCCCAGTAGCGCTCCACCTGATCGTCCAGTGTCTCGATGGCCGGCGGCAACATGCCCTCCACGTTCATGTACTCGCGCTCCTTCGCGGAGAAGGCGGTGCCCTTGTTGGTGAACCGGTTGCGCGCGAAGTCGACGCCACGCACAGGGCGCTTCGACACCTGTAACAGGCGAGCGAGGTTCCTGACGAACATCTTTTGCGGGGGATTGACCAGAAAATGAAGGCAACAAGCCTTTCTAACCGCGTACTTTGGCACACAAGAAGAATACTGTGAGCGAGCGAGAGAGCTAGCTAGCTAAAGCGGTGGATAGTAATAAAATATTTAATTAGAGGCACTGAGAGAGAAAAGAAAAAATAGTTCTTTAACACGAAAAAGTAGTAAGAGAGGAAATGACTGACAACTTGGGGATTTACTGCGAAGGCAAGCACCGTGATGCCATTGCAAATAAGCGAGATTGTTCCATAAAATAAGGGGGAAAAAAAGAAGAGGATCCGTGGAGAAGACAAGAATGAAGTAAACGCCGAAGTTATGAGACTTAAATCAAAGAGGCCCAAAGAAAAAAGGCTGTTTCAGAGGACAACGAAGACATTGGCGAGTTACAGAGCAGAAAGAATCGCACCACCCGCGTTTTCTTCCTTTGGCGCATCTACCATTCTCATTTGAAAAAAAAAACCTCAGACTTTGAGCGGAGAAAAAGCTCACATCACATCCTCCTTCTCTTGCGTCCGCCTCCTCCGTCAACTGTCACAGCAATTGATGTTTAACGTTTACGTGCAGGTATTCTCTTTTTGATTTTCCGATGGCGCTTCAGCGTTTTGATGAACTCCGCACACGAACAGGCAGCACGGGAGGCAATTCGCGTGTGCATGCATCCAGGCAGCAAGCCGTGTGTGTAGAGGTGATAATAATAGTAGTAGCGTTATATAAAAGAAGAAATACTCCGATCGTGCCTGGCGAGACGCTGCTGAAAGATCAAAAAGTGCAGGAAGTGGAAGCAAAACAAGACAGAATAAAAAGAAATAACAAACTATAGTAATAATAATGATAATAGAAGGGGGGAGGGGGAGAGATTTGACTAACACAACAACACCAACAGCAACGGATACAAGAAGTCATCCAGTGTCTGTCGCGCAAAGGCTTTACCAATCGTACGTTTACTTCCTTCCTTCCTCAGAACACACAAATCTACCCAAAACAGCTCCTTCTTTGATACTTTCCCCCTCGCAGCGCTCGCATTTCGTTCCCCTTTTCTCATTGGGAGAGGGTTGTTATGGCTTTTACGATTTCTCCCACCGATTCCTTTTTAAAGAAAAAAAAAAAGAGATAGATGAATGCTAAAGCAAAAACAAAAGCAAAAGAGTAATAATAACAACGACTCAGGTCCTAGTAATAGGAGTGTAGATAACAATCCAGAATGGGACGCAGAGGAGAAAGGAAAAGGAAAAAAAACATAACACTAATAACGTGGATCGATACGAAGCGCAACAAGAATATGTCGCACCGACGGTTTCCCTTCCTCATGTTGTCCATTAAGCCTTTCCCTTTTTGTTTTCTTTTCACGGCATCCTTTCGTTGCCCCACATTTTTTTCTTCTTTCTTCTTTCGTACGTTAAAAAAAAAATGATGGAAGGCGCTCAGGTCGAGGAAAACACATCCAAACTACGCATTGTTTGTTGAGGGAGGGGGAGGGGAGGAGGTGGAGAGCGGAAGCGGGTCGCCAGATTACCTGAGCGGCCCAACAGTCCACACACACACAGCTGATCCGTCTCTCTTTTTCTTGCCCTTTCTCTCCTCTCCTCCTTCCCCCCCCCCCCCATCAATGCTGACTGTCGATCCTTCTCCACAGTCATTTTTGGACCCCTGAAAACAAACATTGCACGGTTTCTGTTTTGTCCAGTTTTCTCCTTCCTTAAAAAAAAAAAAGCTTTGATCACATTAACGGCGTGTGCGTTTGTGTGACCGTGTGCATCGCGGAGGCGCTCGTTGTGACAGCGCGACCGCCATGTAGGGGGGGCACCTGTGCGTAGACGAGTAGACCAGCTCCCGACTGAGGGAGATGGGCAGGGGTCGATACTCTTTTGATTCACCACAACGACACCGACAATAACAACACCAAAAGAAAACGAAGCGAAACCATCCTTTGACCTTTTCCTCAAGGTTTCTAGAGGAAGAAAGGAAGATAAACAGTGCCAACCAAGAATCCGCTATCCAGCACCATTGCAATGCCACATGAGAAAGGCAGATTCCTTTAGTGGTCACATTAGCGAAAGAGTCGCAAACGAGAAAAAAAAAAGAAAATAGGTAACAGGCGGCATGAAGCGACAGTACTGACACCCCCACACTGCTCAGACCAGGGTCGAACGGCCCATGCACATGTGTGTGGGAGAGAGAGACACACACACGCAGACAAAGAAGGTGTACCTTATCCATACACCTATCTCTGTGCGCCTCGGTCGTGAGCCGTTCGCAATACGAAAAGGAGGTACAGAGCAAAGAAGTCTAGCAGTGTGTGTGTGTGTGTGTGTGTGTGGGTGTATACATCAAAATAGAAAACGATACGTGTGGTGAAGGCCGCCGCAGAGGTAGCAAAACAAGGTCACTGAGTACCACAAAACAGAAGCAACACACACACACACACCCACACACTCGTGCGCGTTGGGGAAGAAAGAAAGAAAGGCGTAACAGGCGGTGCGGTGGAGTGCTGCGCCAACCTCTACTGCAACACAACGCTACGTGTGCACGTCGGCTACTCTTTTTTGCGTTTTATCATTTGGCTCTGTCCATCTCTTTTCTTTTCATTTCATTTCTCTTCTGTTATTCTGCCTCACAAGCAGGACGCGGTTCACGCGAGCTTCACGTGCACATCCGCGGGGTAATGCGGCACCCACTGTGACTTCTTCACCAGCTTGAGGAGCTCCGCCTTCTCACGCGGTAGGTCCGTGTTCGTGGCGATGCCAAGCCGCTGCGACTCGAGAATCACCTCCGTCGCGATGTGGGCGGAGATGTTGTGGATGTCGTCGAGCGGGGGGTAGAGCTGATCGGCCTCCATCTGCTCCGGCGTTGTAAGGGCGTTCAGACAGGCGGAGGCGGCCACGAGCAGATCGTCCGGGATGTACGTCGGCTGGGCAATGGCGCAGCCGAGACCGATGCCCGGGAAGACGTAGAGGTTGTTGCCCTGCGACGGCTTCATCGTCTTGCCGTTGACGATGGAGGCGGGGAAGGGGCTGCCCGACGCGACGAGGACCGCGCCGTTGGTCCACTTGTACGCATCCTCCGGCGTGCACTCCGACTTGCTCGTCGGGTTCGACAGCGGGAAGATGATCGGCCGGGCGGCGTTGGCCGCGACACTCTTCACGATTTCCTCTGTGAAGACCGGGCCGACACCGCCGAGGCCAAGCAGGGCGGTCGGCTTCACAAACTGAACGACGGCCTCGAGCGTGGTCAGATGCTGCGCATCCGCGGCCGAGACCTCCTTGCGGGACAGCAGCACCTTGTGCGCCGCCAGCTTATCACCACGGTTGTCGCACACGAGGCCCTTCGTGTCGACGAGGTAGAAGGTCTTGAGGACTGCATCCACCGGCACGTTGTACAGGCGAGCGGCGAGCTGGGCGATATTCTTCGCGACACCGACGGCAGCCGAGCCGGCGCCGAAGACGACGATGCGCTGCTCCAGCGGGGGCAGTCCAGAGCGCTTGATGGCGTTGAGGAAGCCGGCCGCAATGACGGCGCCGGTGCCCTGGATGTCGTCGTTGAAGCAGCGGTACTTGTTCTGGTAGCGCTCGAGGATGTCGAAGCAGTGGTTGTTGCTGAAGTCCTCGAACTGGATCACGGCGGAGGGCCAGGTGGTCTTCACCGACTCCATGAACTCGTCCATCAGCCCATAGAACTGCTCGTCATCCAGACGCCTCTCCCGCATCCCGAGGTACTCCTTGTCGGCCAGGTAGCGCTCCGTGTTCGTGCCGGCGTCCATGACGATGGGCAGCACACGCGCCGGGTGAAGACCGGCACCAGCAACGTACAGGGCGCACTTGCCGATGCTGATGCCAATGCCGTTGGAGCCGAGATCACCCAGGCCGAGAATGCGAGAGCCGTCGGTGATGACGATGATGTCGACGTTGTCGTACAGGGACTGCTTCATCACTTCATTGAAGTGCCCCTTGAGGAGCTTGTTCAGGTAGAGGCCACGCTCCCGCACGTAGTAGTTGCTGAAGTTCTGGCACGCCTCGCCGACGGTCGGCGTGTAGATGATCGGCAGCACCGCCTCCACGTGGGCGAGCACGATGGCGTAGTAGAGCGTCGTGTTGGTGGCGTGGATGTTGGCGAGGTGCTGGTAGCGGTTGATCGGCTTGTCGTAGCGGCACAGCTGCGCCCACGCCCGCTCGACCTGCTCCTCAAGGGTCTCCACCGTGGGCGGGAGGGCACCGAGGATGCGCAGCTCCTTGCGCTGCTCCATCGTGAAGGCGGTACCGCGGTTCAGGTAGCGGTTCGTCAGCACACTCGCGCCCTGCTGGTAGGACACGTGGACGACATTCTGCTTGTTGTGATCGTGGCTCGGCATCGTTGCAGGGGTATAAGCTCTTGTGTGTGGGGGAGGGTTGGAAAGGCTTAGAGTGGGTGAAGAAGAAGAAAAGGTGGTATTTGTTGGGCTTTTGATAAATAAATAAATAAATAAATAAGGCGTTAAACTTGAATAGAGCGAATAAACCTGTACGTGTTGAGAGGGCAGGCAGCGAATGCGCAAGGCAGCGGTGATGATCGTGAAAGAGTAAGAAGGAAATGAAATAAGGAAAGAAGGACGATGCGGTCGTGGAGCACACACCAAATAATCAGCATCAATACATCTTTGAAGACATCATCTGTGTGAAGGTAAGGCAGAGTGCATGGCGCCGTATTGAAAAAGCAGCGGGCAGGGTAACCGGACGTGTTGCTGTCGCAGTGCGCCGCCGACAGAGCCGGACTTCACTTTACAAAACACACCATCTCCTTTCTACGTACACTCAAGCAAATACATATTTATTAATGTTCTTCACCAGTCTTGAAGTCTTGTAGGTGTAAAAGACATGAATGCCCACCAGACGCACGCCTGTTATTTTCTTTCTTTCAAAAAAAAAAAAAAACGGAAAAGAAAACAATGAAGAAGCATTTTGGTTGCTTTCATACGGCAACACTCACAGCTCAGCCCTCTCAGCAATATAATTAACAGTAGACAAACAACACGATAGATATAATAAATAACGTGGTTCGGAAAGTGGAAGTACTCAAGAAAGCGAGGGCAGGAGAGCGTGCCATGAGGGCACCATGACGGAGTGTTTTCGAAAGACCATGGTGCACAGACCACACACAGGAGAAAGGCAGAACTGTTTTTTCTTTCAAAGAAGCGTGTGCTTTCCTCCTCCCCTTTTGGTCTCAAAGGAGCAGCTCTCCCCACTACAGAATCAACGCACGAATACGCGAGATACATACATCCCCAAACATCTCTGCAATAACCGTCGCTTCGCCGCCGTCTCTCTCTCTCACACACACACACACTACGACGACGATGTAGAAAGGTTTACACCTTCTACTCCTCTTCCTCGTCTGACGACGACGCTTCATCCTCTTCGTCATCGTCATCGTCGATGACCTCAATCTCCATCTCACTCTCCTGCTGCTGCATGGCGGCTTGACTGGCACACGTGATCGCCTCCGCATCCTCCTCAAAGGCAGGCTTGTCCACTTTAACCCGGGTCGACACGACGGGGCCGGCGGTCTTGGTGTTGTCGCGCTCATCCGCGAAGAGAAAAGACAGCAGGGACGGCGCGTGGGCCGCCACGACGCGGGTAACCTTATCGAGGTTAAACTTCGCCACGTCGCTGAGGTGGCGCCACGCCTTGAGTTCGTCCATGCGGGGCCCGCTCTTCTTGGGTGCCTGACCCACCTTGCGGAACCGCATTTGCGGTGGCTCAGCCGCTTTGCCGCCGCGGCTACCACGACTGCCGCTCGCCGCCTGCAGCGCCGCCGCTGCCGCCTCACACGTGGTGCAGCCCAGCAAGTCATGCGTGTCGCACAGCGTGTCGGACTTGTACTTGAAGAGCGACTTCAGCTCCTCTAGGGTGAAGTGCTGCTTCGAGTCTTCTTGCATGTCCACCACGTTCGCCGACAGACCCTGCTTGCTGACCTGACGCTGGTAGATCTTCTCCTCGATGGTGCCGGTGCTGAGGAGGCGGTAGATGAAGACGCGCTTCTGCTGCCCGTCACGCCAGACACGACCCATCGCCTGCGCGTCGTTCGCGGGGTTCCAGTCGGGGTCGAAGAGGATGAGCCGATTCGCACCTATCAAGTTGAGGCCAACGCCGCCGGCCTTCGACGACAGCAGGAAGACGATCTCCTGCGAGCCCGGCACGTTAAAGTAGTCCACCAGCTGCTGGCGCTTCTTGATGGGGGTGCTGCCGTCCAGCTGGAAGTACGCGATCTGCTTCGCAGTGCAGAGGGCCGCGATGATGTCCAGCGTTTGAGTGAAGTTCGAGACAATCACCAACTTGTCGTGTTCGCCGTTGGCGCGAATTTCATCCAGAACGAGGGACACAAAGTGGATCTTGCTGCCGCAGTCCATGCTCAGGCTGCCCGGCTTAAAGCCCTTTGGCAGGACAGCGTACGGGATGCCAGGAGAGCTGCCCGGCGCACGGCCACGACGCTTCCCTGGCTGCTCCACCTCCTGCGCGCCCTTCCCCCCTCCGCCGACGCCGATTTGATGGGAGAGCCGCACCGCGTCGTAGAAGAGATCCATGTGGTTGCACAGCTTCCGCAAGGCGGAGATCAACACCAGTGGGGTGCACTCAGCCGTCTCCACCATCGCCGCCAGCTTCTCGTACGCCTGCATCTGCTGCGCGCCGAGCCGCACAAAGACGGTGACGTCGACTTTCGGTGGGAGGTAGGACTCGTTGATCGACTGCGTGCGACGCAGGATGAAGCGTTGGGTGAGGGTGGACAGGTAGTGCGCACGGTCACGCCCGAGGGACTTCAGGTGGTCCGGACAGCCAGGATCGCGACCGAGCGAAACGGGCTCTTCAAAGACGCGGGCGAAGAGGTCGCGGTTGCCCAAAATGCCGGGGTTCACAAAGCCGACCATCGCGTGGAACTCCGACAAGTCGTTTTGGATCGGCGTGCCAGACAGGATAATCCGATTTCGCGTCGGCAGCATGTCCACCGCCTTCGTCGTCTTCACCTCCGCGTTCTTCAGGCGGTGGCCCTCGTCGCACACCACCAGCTCAATGGAGCGCAGACCCGAAATGCGAGTTACGTACTTGCGCAGCTGATCGTATGAGATGACCAGCACGTCGCCGTCGCCGTCGAAGCGGGAGATGATGCGGTCGCCCTTCGGGGTCGACTCGGAGATCGCAAAGTGCTTCACCGCGCCCTCGCCCAGCCACTTATCGAACTCGTTGCACCAATTCTTCACCAGCGACGACGGCGTCACGACAAGGCACTTGCGGGCAGTGGGCTGCCCATGCTTGCCCTGCTTCAGGCATGTGTAGATGGTCGCCACGGTCTGAATCGTCTTGCCGAGACCCATCTCATCCGCCAGGATCGCACCGTGGTAGCCGGGCATGCGTTCCCCTGTAATGCAGTCGAAGAGAAACTTCACACCGATGACCTGGTGCGGGCGCAGCTTGTCGCCGATGATCGGGTCGACCACCACTGATACCTGCCGACGACCCAGCAGGTCGCGCTTGTAGTCGGCACGGAAGAGCACCACCGCCTTCTCGCGGTCAGGGTCGTGCAGGGGACACAGTTCGTTCATGATGATGCCGTTCTTCCCCACCTTGGGGCGCCCCGCAACGGGCACCACAAAGCCCGTCTGACCCTCCTGCGGCCGACGGCGGAAGAGAATGGCGGCGAAGGCGTTGCTGCCGCCGAGGGAGTTGCCGAAGCTCATTTTCGGCTTGCGTGACTTCGCCTCCTCGGCCGCCGCCGCGTCGGCCTTCGCCTTCGCCTTGTCCTCCTTCACACGAAGGTCGTGCTCGGAGCGCAGGAAGAACTCCCCGCTGCGAAAGGCCTCTTCGGTCAGCGCGGTGACCAGCAGGACGGACTTCGCCCCGACCTTCAGCGTCACCCCCGCCTTCGCATTGTCGACCTCCTCCTGCTTCAGCGGGTATCCGGGCTCGGGCCGGTTACCGAATTGCCGTCCTACGCGGTCGTACATCATCACGCCGAGCTCCTCCGTGTCCACGATGATGATGCCGACGGACTCGTGCCGCGTCGCGGCTTCGGTCTCCACCTGGAAGTACAGCTTCCCGTAGGGGCTGACGGGGTAGCGACTCACCACGTGGGCCGCCGGTATCGAACCGTCGTCCTCGACGTCGCCGCTGCCGGCTGACGCGGCGCCCGCCTCGGTGTTGTCGCCGCCCCCCGCCGCGGCGTCCCCGCAGCCGTTGGTGGCTGTTGCGGCTCCGGGCACCGCCTTCACGCCCCCCGCCGTCCCCTCCACCTTCGCCAGCTTCGCCGTTGCCACTTTCGTACTCGTAGCGTCGCCTCCGTCCTCGTCAGCGGTGTCGCCTCTCGCCGCGGCGGCCGCCAGCAGTGCACGCTCCTCCATGGCCTTCACCGCCGAAGCCGGCTGGTGGTAGTCCATGCCGCTGCGTCGCGCCAGCCGATGGGCGATCAGCTGTTGATTGGCCGAGCAGACGGCGCTGCGCGGGGGTGCGGACGGGTACATCACGGCGCGGCGCACCCCGGTGGAGGTGAGACAAGTCACCGTGGGGCCCGGCAACTCCACACTGCCTGGACCCTCCGACATGCCGTGACCCTTCTCCCCCTCCGTGGCGCCGCTGGGTTTTTTGAAGGAGCTGCCGTGGCCTTCGACGGCCCGTCGAGACGCCATAAAGCGTGGGACAGCCGCCGCAGAGGTGGGCGGCAGCACCGGATGCGCACTCGCCTTGTGTTTGAGCGCGTTGCGGCTGGTTTTCGCGTCGTCGCTGCCGTTCATCGTGGGTGGGCGGAAGGTGCCGTTGGCGACCCCAGTCCCGGCGGCTGATTTGCGCAGCAGCGGCATTTTTCCCCTCCGAAAGAGAGTGGGGAAACAGAGAAAAGAAAGAAAAAAGAAAACGAGTGGTGGTACGCTTCAAAGTACAGCAACGATTCCCAGCAGTAAGAAACAACAACAAGAAGAAGCCGTGTCGCAAAGAAGGAACAAAGAAGCAGAACAAATTGGTCAGTAAAGGAAATGACTCGCAGGACAGCAAAGCACTGCTACGACGTAAAAAACAGCAGGGGTAAAGGACAACGACAACAGCGGAGCGAAGAGATGCAACGTAGTAAGGATAGCAGGTGGGAAAAGTATGGAGGGTTGTGATGGGAAGGCAGTGGCGATTAAATGGAGATGCCTAATAGTTGAAGAGCTCGCTGCGATTGAGAGACGCAAAACGAGACCTTCTTGGTTTGTTTGTGTGATGATACGCGCAGTGGTTCGTTTTTGTGGCCATCGATTATTCTTCTTTATATATATTCTGAGGTGGTGTGCGACGTGATTTTTGTGAAGGCGTTTTGATGCTCTTCGTTTTCTGTTGACTCCTACGTACTTTCTCCTTCGTGTTTGTGTTCTTGTGTGAGCAACTGTATGTATGAATAGGTGTGCGGTGCATATATATCTATATACGTTGATCTGATGAGGTACGTGTTGCAACGGGCTGGGAAAGGCCAGCACGGTCCGTTTGTGCGTGCGGTTGCAGCGCAATATATGAAGAAGGACGCCTTTTTTTATTATTGGTAAGGCGTGTGCCTTATTATCGAAAACGGTTTGCAGCAGCTTTGCTGGGGTGTGTGACGCTGCGCGTTGTGGCTGCCCCTCGCAAGAAGCACCGCCTCGCGCTCTATCGATGTGCAATTTTATGGGAAGGGTGTGACCGAGTATAGATTTTTAAAACTTCTTTTCCTTCCTTTTACGCCGCCAAATCTGAGACGAAACGTGCGTCCGCGAAGATCGATGCGGTTGACACGAGAATCAATCGAGCGCAGCAACATCTACACGAACACACCGGCAAAGTACAACAGCAATAAGAGAAAAAGAAAAGCGAGACCAGAATGAATCGGAGGACTTCGATACCATCGGGTGAAATTCAAAAATCGCTTGCTCCTTACTCATGGATGTGAAAAATAATAATTATCGAGAAGAACACAGTACTAGATGAGTGAGCTGGGGGTTTTCACCTTCCCTCTCTTTATTTGGTGCTGCTGCTGCTGCTGGACGGAGTCAGCTCATACCACGATTTCGCATGTAGACGTACACGTTTGCAGAGGGCACTTCCCGTCCATCCTCATTTCACTATATATATATATTATCGTAAATCTGATTTGAGAGAAATAAAACAGCAAGACATAGTTGGAGGAGAATGAAGACAAAAATGTTGATCACTGAGTGAACAATAATAATAATAATAATAATAATAACAAGAAGAAGAATGACAAAAACCAGAAAAGGCCCACCCGCTTTAGTCGGGGAAGCGAAGTGGCCGCCATGAAAGCCTTTACCCTCTCTTCTTGATTTATTGTTTGTTTGTGTGCTTTCCGCACGGGCCGCGCTGCTAGGCCGATTTCTCGCCCCACTGCGGCTGCGTCGGTGTGTAGTCGTACTGCGCAGCTGTAAGTTCCTTGTCGTCCAGTGGAACGCGCGCCCGCATCTCGCGTGCGTTTGTCACAGCGTACCGCACCGACAGCTGCATCGCCAGCGCACCTTGCTTCGCTTTGGCCATGTTTTCGTGTGTGCCGGACGCAAGCTGGCCCGCCTTCGCTTGCATCGCCTTCGCGGCGCGTCGCATGCGTGCGCGCACGCACCACCCTGTCATCGACTTGGAGAAGTCCTTGTCAAACTCCTCCGAAGCGTTCAGCTCCGCCCTCAGGGCATCTGCTGCTGTTTTTGAGTTAAACAACTCGCCCTCCGCCCCTGCGCCGGCAGGTCGCTTGAGCTGAATTACTTTTCCTTTAAAGACGCTGCCGCTGAGCAGCTCCGCGTAGGCCACACTGCTGGCATTCTTGAAACACACAAGAGCCGCAGATGACGTCGGAGGAGCTGCGGAAGGCGAGGTGGTCGGCATCTGGCTTGCGAGGAAGAGAAAAATGGAGTCGATGTCACCGCAGGAGGTCAGGTACTGCCGCACATCGTCTTCCGTCAGGCCCTCCGGTGGAAGCCCGGTAACTACAATGACGTGCTGCTGCTGCTGCTGCTGCATTGTGACGATCGAATAAGACCGAAGAGCGATAAAGTTTTCTTCTGAGTTCTTTGCACAGATTTGTGTTGCTCCCCCTCTTTCTCTTTAAGAAATGGTAACGGTAGCAATAGTAATAATGCCGCTATTCCTTTTACACAAAGTCGTGCCTGGCACGAAACTACTATTTCGTGTTATGGAGGGAAGAGAAGAGAAGAGCGGTTTCGTTGTTGCATGTGTTTTCTTCTTCGGATGAAGGGGGGAGGGGAACAGGACAAACGAGAGGATGAGTTGGGCACCCCTGATGCAGAGGCCAATGTGCGGCACCTTCGTGATTGGGTCTTGCTCTTTTGTTGTTTGTTGTTGCTAAACAACAGCTACAGGTTGCAGCGTAGAGTGCTTCGTTGAGAGCTGGTCTTTGTTCGCACAGCACTCCTTTAAGAAAGGGTGCGAAATTCAACTTCCAGTATGTGTGTGTGTGTGCGTATTTGGGTAAGTAGTCTCTCCGAGACGCTTTCTAATCCGCCTCAACCTAAGACACGTTTGGAAAGGAAGTGGAGAGGGGGAAACGAAGAACGACGCGGCAACGCAAACATACCACGTACGCCGTTCGCCCAACACTACGCTCCCTCTTTCTTCGTTTCTTCAGTTCTCTTTCACTCCACCACCTGCTTCGTCTTCTTCGATCCGCTGCGCAGCTTCTTCTGCAGCTCCTTGCGCTCCATCAGCAGCATCACAAACGATTTAATCTGCGCATCGATCGCGCGCCGCTCAGCACCCGTCTTCGCGCCTGCCAGCTCCAACGCCGCGGCTAAGGCGGGATACCGCTTTGCACCGTCGTACACGGCCAGACGATAGCGCATGTCATCCAGCGACCGCTGCCTCTCCTGTCCTTCGCGAATCAACTCCTTTTTTTCCGCAGCCAGCTCCGCCACTTTCGCCTGCGCTTCGGCCAATTCGGCGGTGGTGGTCGCCACTGTTGCCTCCAGCCGCTCCTGCAGCACCTTGTAGATGTCAAGCTCCTCTTGGGCCAACGCGGGGTCTGTCAGCGCAGCCACCGCGGCTGCATGGGCCGCCTCCGGGCTCGGGTGCGACTGCAGCATCGCATACGCCGTCTCCACGTCGGCATCGGTGATGCCCACGTCCGTTGCCGTGTACAAGAAATGACCCTGCATGCGATTATCCACGTCCAGCTTCATGTCGTCTATGGCGAACCAGCGGCCGCCAATCGCCTCGGGGTGGTCCGTCACGTGCGTGTGCAGCCAGCGGCAGATCTCGTCCACGCGGTCACGCACCAGCCGCTGTTCCGACGGGTTGTCGGCGTAGTACGCAACGGTGCTCACCAACACCGTCCCATTCGGCGTCCCGCCCCGCACGGTGGGAATGCTACCCGCCGCCGCCGCCTGCATAAACGCGTTGAGTCGCTCCATCATCGCCGGCTGCGTCCGCCAGGTCGAGGAGAGGACGATGGTCACCCGGTCTCTGCCGCCGAGGCGGTCGATCAGGCGAGCGAGACGCTGCACGCAGTCTGCGCTGAGTTCGCCGCCGCCGAAGGTGAACTTCGGAACGGGGAGGAGGACTCCGTCGATGTCGAGGAAGACGACGTAGCGGTCACACAAACGCGCATCGATGGACATCTGCGCCGTTCGTCACGCAGGAAGATGCGGAGGTACAGAGGAGATGAGCGACGCAACAACAAGAACAGGAAATACTATTTCAAAAATAACAGCAGAAGTCGCCTTGAAAAAATATTAATGGAGCGCGGAAACAGCAATGTGAGAAGACACACAACAGAAGAGCTTCGGCGTCTTGTACGAGTAGTCGCAGGATATGTATGCTTTTAAAAATCAAGTCAAAAGTGTATCATTGTATATGAATGTAAGAGAGGAGAAATTAAACGACAGAGAGCAGGACAGTCCTGTGAAGTTGCCCAACTAATGCGAGATGCGAAACAACAACACACACACACACACACGCTGGTTTGTCAGGAGGAAAGAAAAAGAAAAAGGAACTACCACCACCGCAACAACAAAAAAATGATTCCTTTGATCAAGAGTCGCACTCTCTTAACACACCCGCGCAGGTGTTGTACCTCTCAAGAGCCGATTGCGGCTGACAATACAGAGAAAGAAAAAAAAAAGCAGTAACAGAGACAGGAACAGAAGAAGACGCATTACGCGAAGAAATGAGCGGTTGTCGCGTCAGAAGCTTCCGAAAGGAGGCTGTTGTCGGTAGCACCTTCCAGGTGCGGAGATGACGCGAGCTGCTTTGCGTGCCATTCATCTTCACACAATCACGTTGCCGACTTCCACACGGCGGAAGAAAAAGGGACAAACATCAACACTAGCAACGACAGCGGAGGCCTGCGATCAACGCCCACGGCTCCCATGCGTGCGATGCAGTTTCACCCTACTGGGGTGTGCGTTGTATCCCTTGCAGCCGTTTTCATCTACTCTTTCATCTCTGAGCTCTTTACATGTTTTCTTGTTCGCCGCTTCGTGCAGTAAGGACTTTTACACATGCAAAAAAAAACCCAAACAACAAAGCGGCATCTGCCAGGAGAGGCTAAGTAAGTAGGTCGAAATGAACTGTAATGGGGAGAAGAGGAAGATAATAGTAATAATAATAATAATAAACAGGCGTCTGCCACAAAGCACGACAAGGAGGAGGGTGGCGAAACAACAAGAAAAAACAAAAGAAAAAGAAGAAACGACTGCTGCTTCATTGGAGCCAACAGGATGAGGCGAGTACGAAGTCTATGAAATGACGTAGAAAGGAAAAACCAAGGAAAACAAAAACATGTGCATATAGAATTAACAGAAGATATTTCTTTTTTTAATTTTTAATGGTTTCAAAAGACAACAGGTGATCTCAGCTCTCTCTCTCTCGCTGTATATACCCAATAGCTGTCTCGTATTTTTCCGAGGCGCAGAAACTTGGTTTAAGTAAGGGAGGAAGAAAAAAGCGCTGCTTCAGCCCAACGGACTCCACACCATCCTCAACAGACACACACGCACACGCATGCGCACGCGAAGCTGGAAACCCCGCAATTTCCCTTTTCTTCCGCGACCAACGCGAGAACCGTAAGAGAGGGGTGTTGGAGATCAAAAAGAAGTGTACACGCAACGGGATTCTAAAGCACCGCCCGTGCCACGAGGTGAAAAACAACAACAAACAGCGGTGCTGCGCATTACCACAGAGCACGATGTCAACGACCGCCTTCACTGTATATGCTATACATCAGTAGGTGTGCGCGCAGGCATCGGGACGCGAAGGGGAAAAGTCCCCTAATGCACGACGGCGCGCCGTGCTCACATCGCTTTCGCTCTTCGCTCTTCCGCAGCGTCACCTTGCATCCGAGGGGGAGGATGTGTGTGTGTGTGTGTGTGGAGGGACACGAAAAGAGAAAACACCATCGAGGGGTAGGATTAACGCACAAAGCGGCGTAGCACCTCCTCATCGCGTAGATCCACAAATTCGGCCTCCGTCGGCGTTCGCGGTGGGGTGCGGGTGCGCTGCTTCGCAGCGATGATCTCCCTCGCCCGCAGACGCCCATCCGAAAACTCTCTGTCTTTCTGCTGCCGTGGCGGCCGACTCGACTTCCGCGACAGCAGCCGGTCCAGCTTGCCCACCTTCTCCCCGTGCGCCGCGTCCTCCGTCTTTGCTTCCCCGTCATCGCTCTTGTCCTTCGACGCACGGCGGAAGGCGGCGGCGGAGGTGCGCGAGCCTGTCCGCCGCAGCAGTGGGAGGTGGATGTCGCTGAACAGCGACGGCCGGGTGCTCTTCTCGGCGATCATCTTGTAGTAGTCGGAGTAGGTTTTGTTGAGCGGGCGAGGGGCGCCGCGGTTCCCGTCTACCGGCTCCCGAAAGGGTTCCGTCTCCTCCGTGACCTCCCGCACCGTCGGCATCGCCGCGTCATCGTCGTTGTCGTCTTCGCTGTCCTTATCCGCTTCCGTGCTCGCCGCACTCGACGACGCACCACGACCGCGCGCGCTGGCCGGCCGAGAGGTCAGTTCGCACACCACCGGTACGGAGTACTTTCCACTGCCACAGCGCTCCGTCGCGAAGAGGGGCTCCAGGTTGCCCACCACACCCGCCGTCCTTGTTGCGGTGTCGCCTTTCTTCGTCTGCAGGGAGGAACGCTGCAAGGATGATGCTGCGGCTGCAAGTGCCGGTGGCGGCGGTGGCGGCGGTGGCGGCCGTCGAGAAGCCGCTGTTGGGGCATGGATACTGCTGTTGCTGCTGTCTTTCTTCGCGCTGCCGTTTGTTCGGCTGCGGCTTTGGCCGCTGTTATTCCCGGTCAGGGCGTGGAGAACCATGCGGAAGGCCGAGAAGACGCCGCGGCTGGCGGCCAACGTTGGCGCTCGTGGACGCGGGGCGAGCAGCACAAAGAGCTCGATTTTGTCGCGGATCCCCACGTCGCGCCGCATGCACGTGAGACGGCGCTCGTGCATCTCCAGCATCTGCATCGCCCGCACTGCGACCATGCGCACGTACAGAACCTCAAACATCAGGTGGTTTATCCAGTTGACGTGCCGCTGGTGCTGGTGGCGAAAGAACTCCTTCATGAGGCCCACTCGGGCCGTCTCGGACGGGGAGGCCAGGTAGAGCTGAAAGAGAAACGACAGCTCCGACTCGCGCACCTCCTGCTCGATCACCAGCATCTCATTGAGCCCTTTGACAGGAAACGTACAGGCCGACCCACGTCCAGGCACCGGCACAGACCCAGGAAGGGGCGGCGGCGGGGGCGGCACGAGTGTCTTTGCCCTGTTGCGAGGTGCGTAGGGAGGCTTGAGAAGCGCGGCCGAGTTCACGTGGTGCAGCCCAGTTGGGGGCGTCGGTGGCAGCCACGCGTCGCCAAAGGCCTTCATCACCGTCGCCAAGAGGCTTTCCTGGTACTCCGCCACGAGCGACTCTACCGAGGACAGCGCGGACTTCCACAGGCGGCGTCGGGCCTCTGCTCGCGTCGGCTCCAGCGGTGTTCGATACTGCGCCTCCTGTGACTGGCACTCCATCCATTCCGCTGTCTCCGCCGCGAGCAGGGGTCCTTGAATCCGCACGTGCACGACGTCCAACGGGACAACAACCGCTGCTGGATGCGGATTGCTTTCGATGAGGACCTCCGCGGGGTTTACGGTGGCCTCCTGCGACGGGGCGACAACGACGGGGGAGTTCGAGCAGCGACCGGCGGCCTCTCTATCATTGAATTCCTCCTCCTCGATTTGCGGCGTGGACTGGCGTGTCTTCAAACTCGCAGGGCTATTCATGCCCTCCGTGCAGCCATAGCTGCTGTTCTGCCCTCTGCCGCTCGACATCGACACATGCTTCGCGGTCCCGTCCGATTCATCCGTGCGAGCCGGCGACGGCAAAATGCGCTCCCGCTGCTCCGTTTCCTTTTTCTTTTCCACACCGGACGTATTCGCCGAGGTCAGCGACGATAGGGACGCCTGGCTATCGTGGTGGTGGTAGCCGGTGGTGGTGGAGGGGCGCGAGGAGTGCAGGGGCATGGTCACCGGTGCGGCGGTGGCCACTCGCTGCAGCGCCGCACCGCTGCTCGTCTCGCTGCTGGCGCGGCTGTCGGTGACGGAGGTGTTGGGGGAGACAGAGGCGGACATGTCGCTGAAACAACCGTCCTCCGCGTCCGTCGCGGCGTCGGACGGTGCGGACGGCAGCGGCATCGACGCGTTGGCGTCGCGCTGCACAACCGCCAGTGAGTCCGGCTTTTCACGACGAAACTCGCAGTTCACTTCTATGCTGGTCAGGACAGCATTTTGCGTCGAGGCGCCATCTTCGAGGCTGACTCGCACCGCCTCAGAAACAGAAGCGTTCTGATTTTCCGCTGTCAACGCAGCAGCAGCGGCAGCAACGGTGCTGAGGACAGTTTCAGGGTGCGAGAGGCTGCACTCCGCGTGGCAGCCCTCACACGGAGCGACGTCGTCGTCGACGTCGTCGCCGTCACCGAGCAACGTGGTGTTCATGTCCAGCACACGTGGAACATGCACCACCGGCTGCGCCTCCTCGCCTCGTCCGTCCACGTCCTCACCCGGCGATGGTGGTGTTGTGGCGACGATGGAGTTCTCCTGCAAGACGTTGTCGCAAACGTGCAGCATGATGGGCTCATCGATCATTTCAACCGCCCCCTTCTCCACCGTTGTGGCAACGACCGCCCCGCCCTCCTCATTGTTGTTGCTCTTGCTCTTGCTCTTGCGGCCCAGCTGCAGGTGAGGTTTCGAGCACCGGAAGAACCGCGCCTGCATCGGACGTTCTGGCGTGACGGGCAGCGGCGCCGGGGTGTGGCCGACCTCCTCAACGCGGTAGGCTTCTCCGTCGTGCGCGCCATCGTCTGCCCCCATCGAAGCTCGATTGTTGTCGCCGCGGACAACATCCTCGGCTCCATCGTGTTCATCGTACACGTCTGCTAAGGCGCGCGCCGGGGACACTAATGAGGCGGAGGAAAGCGACACCGCACGATCCGGCTTCCGCAGCGACGACCAGATGTTCCAGCACGGTTTCCCGGCTGTGGAGTTCTCCACCAGGGCGGAAAGGTCGGCGCACGGCGAGTGTGTCGGGGCGTCCTCTGCGCTGCTGCTTCGCTCGTGCCACATGACTGCTTCAGCGACGGCTGGCGTGAGCGCGTCCGGCAGGCACATTTCTGCAGAGTGCAGCGCAGGCGCACGGAGAGGCGGTTCCTTGTCGAGCACCTCAGAAGGCCGCAGCGGCGTCGTGGTGGTGGTGGTGGTCGGAGTGACCTCGTCCAGGAACGCCAGTGGCCCTCCCGTGTCCGTGTGGCGACGCCCACTCGCAATCGCTGATGGTGGCGGCGGCGGCGGCGGTGGGGAGAGGGAGGGAGAGGGCAGGTGGTGCGCTCCGGCAGCCTTCCCCACGTGCTTTTGCTTTTTAACAGTGGTCTTCGTTGACTTCTTCTTGGCGCTGCTGGGCGGCGTGGTCGGGTTGGGGCGGCTGCGGGAGGTGGGAGAGGCCCCGTTAGTCGGACCGCCGTGGAGGGGCAGGCGACGACGCACGGGGTGGGGCCCGGTGGGATTCCTCACCGGGGTGCGGGCCTCCGGGATGCTGGGCATTCTGCACGTATATGTGAATATATATGCGTGTGCGTGCGTGCGTGCGTGTGTTTCTAATGTCTAATAAAAAAGCAATTCGTTGATTTGCGTGTCTGCGGGTGCGTCTAGTTTTTGTTCTGTTTGTTTGAGTGTGCCGTGAAGTTCTCTCTGTCTATGCGTCGTTGCCGATCTGAAATCACAAGGCGGTAGAAGATCGGAAATAGAAAAGTCTCTGTGCGTGTGTGCGTGTTACGCCGACGGCACACTCGAAAGAGAGCAAATATCGCTGTACCTTCCTGACAGTTTCCCTTTCTTTGTGCCGATCTATTTATCTACAAGAGAATAATGAAGAAAAAAATATCAACGAAGAGTTCGTACCTGCGTAGTGGACTGACCGCAGTATTCTAGAATGGAGGCTTCAGTAGTGCTGCCCGTCAGCGAGTTATGAAGTTAATGGAGCCGATATTTTCATTGAAGGGACGGACGGGAGAAGCCACGTAGAAGCGATTGAAGAGGAGAAGGTTGCAGGTAGCAGGTACCTTACAGCATGTGAGGACAAAGAACAATACTTTGAACCGTGCAAATGGTGTCAAGCCGCTCCCCTTCTTTTCTCCACCTTGTCGCAGAGGAAATAGAAAAACCGGAGCGAGGGAGCATCGTGAGAGCCCACTACTGGACCTTCTATCAAAAGGCCACATATCGCTTTCCCCACACTTGCTAACCACGACAACGAGGGACTGTGCACCACTGCGTCACTGCGCGTGCCGTTGCGCGTTGAGAGAAGCTACTCTACCAAGATGTGGCGCCGCGCCGCGTCCCCGCTGCACGGCCGAGAAGTAGTAGGAGGTTTTTGTTGCCGAGAGTCACTACGACGTTAAAAAGGAAGAAGCACGTCTTGTTGCCGTCGCATTAAACGAAATCGCACGGAAGAAACAAAAAGAGCAAGACACGCGACACAGGCAAAAGGGTCAGCCCACACAGCGAAAGGAGGAAGGGGGGGGGGGAGAGACACACACACGAGAACCGGGATTTGTTGCCTCGCCAAAGCACAAGACACTTCTCTTGTGGGGGTTGCCCCCAACGCTCCTAGAGAGCATCCAATCAAGGGAGGAACAGAAAAGGTTTGAAGCAGACGTAAAAACGCGAGACCTCTCCACCCCTCAAAAAGCAGTTTTTCCCCCTCCTTCGCGCAGGACTCCATGTATTTTCCCTTCCCGTCTACCGGCGACCGCCCCTCTGCTGGCCCTGCATCATCTGCATCATGTTGGCCATTGCCGACATGTCCGGCATCCCCCCCGGCATCCCGCCCCCCGGCCCACCACCCATGCCCTGCTGCATCTGCTTCATCATGCCCTGCAGCCCGCCCATGCCGCCGAGCTGACGCAGCATGTTCGGGTTCAGCAACTTCGCCAGTTGCCCCATCTGCTGCTGCCCCATGCGGCCGGAGGCCAGTCCGGTCGGGTCCTGCGTCATTGCCTTGAAGTTCATCTTACCCATCTTCTTCACAATCTCCTCAAATTTGGTGTAGCTGAGAATCAAGTTTTGCACCTCAATGACGGAGTGGCCGCTGCCGCGGGCAATGCGGTGCATGCGGGACGGCGTCATCATCTTCTTCACCTTTGCCTCATCCAACTCCGCCGCGGTCATGCTGTCCAGCATGTGAATGAAGCCTTTCAGGGCAATGTCGCCTTGCTGGCCGGCGGTGCCCGCCAGACCCGACATCCCAGGCAACATCTCCATAATCTTCCCCACGGAGCCCATCTTCAGGACGTTCTGCAGATGCTCGTACATGTCGCGCATCGTGAACTGGCCGTCCTGCAGGCGCTTGTACAGCTCCTCGTTGCCCTCAATGTTGGCGTCCCGCATCGTGTCCATCAGCCCGCCGATGTCACCCATCCCCAGCATCTTCTGTACGAAGCGCTCCGGCTGAAAGAGATCGAAGTCGTCGAAATGCTCCCCTGTACCGATGAAGACGATTGGGCTGTGCGTAGCCGCCACAGCAGAGAGGGCACCGCCGCCTTTGGTTTGGCAATCCAGCTTCGTGACGATGACGGAGCCGACGGCGACCATTTCCTTAAAGTTCCGCGCCTGCTCCTCCACGGCCTGGCCATCCGTGGCGGACATCACAAACACGATGTCGTTCGGCTTCACCGCCACCTCGACCTGCTTCATCTCCTCAAAAAGCGCCGACTCCTGCTTGTGCCGGCCGCTGGTGTCGACGATGATGAGGTCGTACTTCTCCTTTTTGAGCTCCGCGACGCCCTCCTTGGCGATGGTGACGGGGTCGGCCTCGGTCAGCGAGCCGTAGAAGCGCACCTTCGCCTTGGTCGCGTTCTGGCGAAGCTGATCGTACGCACCGGCCCGGAAGGTGTCCGCGCACACGAGAGCCGTCTTGAAGCCTTTACGTTGGAAGTACGCGGCGTACTTGGTGCAGGAGGTCGTCTTGCCGGAGCCCTGCAGGCCCACAAACATCACCACGTTCTGCTTTCCTTTCACCGGCATAAACGGCTTGACGCCGGGGTCCAGGATGCGCTTGAGGCCGCTGAAGACGGCGTTCTGCAGAATTTTACGCTTGTTGAGCCCGGCGCCCTCCTCGGCGAGCGCCAGTTCTGTTTTGATGCTCACCTGCAGTTTCTTGACGATGTTGATGTTCACATCCGCCTGCAGCAGCGCACGGGCGATCTCGTTCAGGAGCTCCTTGACGTCGTCCTCGCCCAGGACCGACTTCGCGGACATGCGCGAGATCGCCTGTCCAATTTTCTGTCCAAGTTCCGCCAAGACCATCTTTCTTTTTTTCTTTTTTAAAACTTCTTCTTTTCCGCTTTAAGGGTCTGTGAGAGAGTGGCTTGTACGGGAGATATGTATCGATGGATGAACGTATTTCCCACTTCCCCGCGCTCGATTGTTGGAAGGAAGGCGTAGTTGGAAGTACGACTGCCTCCTTCGTAAGCGACGTAGAGGAGAATAAGTAGCTGCCGTGTGTAAATGTATGTGTGCGTGTATGTGTGTGTGTGTGTGTGTGTGTGTGTGTGTGTGACGTAGGCGATCGTTTTACGGGTGACGCAGTGAAGCGCGTCGCAGCAAGAAGGAAGAGGGCAAAGGGAGAGCAGTAGGAACACACCGGTAACGGGACATCGAGGAAACACACATAGCACGTACATGAGATAAAACTGGTATGATGGGAGTTACGGCGCACCCAGTAAAGCTAAACACATACGCGTTTAGAAATCCATGGAGTTTGCTCACATACGGGGTAAAAAAAACCACTAACAGTGTTTCTCCGTTACCGCTGCGAAGTTACCAGCAATAATCGGCCCTCGTAAAACGAATTTCTCTCCGTCTGGAATTGACTTGAGACTTAGATAACGAGTTACGTCCAAACATAAGGAGAGAAAAGAAATGTGCGACAGACGGCACGTGTGTGTGTGATCAGAGACAACCGATAAGCAACAACAATATCTCAAAATAAGACATTAGTTTCATTCACTCCAGCGAGTGCGTGTTCAGAAGAAACAACAGCAACAACAAAAACACTCATGGCTCTGACAGCCTCAACAGCTCTGAATTTATCCACTTGTTACTTCTTCGATTCAACGTCTTCGAACTTGCCGTAGTTGATGTTGGTGATGACCGTAGCTTGATTGATCTTATCTAGACAGTTTTGCATGCACGTCTTCTCCCTCCAGTAAAAGTTGTTGAAGTAGTAATTGCTCACACACCGCTCGTGGCAGTTAATGCTGGCGTGGAAGGCCATGCGATCCTCTTGGATGGCCTGCATAACATCGAACTCTTCATTGAAGGAGCTCTTGCGCTTCGGTGGCTGACCAACATTCATGGTGTAGCTCGAATACCGAAGGGGCCAAGTACGTGTGCAGCGGTGTGTCCCTCTGAGGAGTTCTGCCTCTCAAGAAAAACAACAGGTAGGTACCTACTTTTTGGCAAAAAAAGGAGAGGGAAAAAGCGGGGTGCGGGAGAGTAGAGTAAGAATCATACAGAGGAGAATAAACCGAGAAGAGAAAAACGAAAGGGGTGCGTACACGGCGAGGAGACCGCCCCACGTGTGCGTTGCATCCGACATGTCTGAAGGAGCGCAAGTTTTCTCGCAGTAGTCCTCATCTCCTTCTTCTTTTTCTTTCTTTTCCTTGTACGTTGGAATCACCAGAAGTCGTTGCATGCACACAGCGGCTCCAAACGAATATGCTCATATGTCATCAAGTATTACTTTAAAAAAAAAAGAGAGTTGCTATTAAGAAGACAGAAGCAGAGAGGAGAAAAAACACACAGTTTTACACGCCAAAGGCGCCACAGATCGACCACTTGATGAACTCGCCCGCATCCAGCAAAAAAACCACCACAACAACGATCGGCACACCCATTCTTCTCGTCCTTCCACGCGTTCACGTGTGACGTCGGGCGAGTCGCCCTTCGCGATGTCTCAGCGCAGATTCCACAAAAGCGTCCAACGACGTGTGCGCGAGGCCCACTTCGCCGTTTGCACCGCAGCCCCCATTTAGCGGCAAACCCGAGGAAGAAGAGGAAGGCGATGTGGCGTCGTCCGCTGCGTAAAACCGCGAGAGTAAGCGATCGCTTGTGATGACAGGGAGCGATATGGGCGCTCCGTGTGCGTGACCACCACGTTTTTCGCCGCAGGAAGAACACAAAGAGTTGCGCAGGAGCATCGCAAAGAAGCCGTCCACATGCGCGTAGGACGTGGAGGCCGATGCAGCGGTGGGGCGTTGCGAGGGTCGTGCACTTGGAAGGCGTGAGTTGGAACACGCGGCGCACGAGGCGGCCCGCGCGGTCGCCGCCTCTCGCGAGTACAGACGCGCGTCGTGTACACCACAGCTGGGGGAGCGCGCTTTCAGCACCACTCCATCAATTGCGTGTAGCGGCGCGCCGAGGGCTGCTACCACAGCGGAAGGCAGCTCGTCTGTGAAGGGGTGATAAGACAGGAAGACGCGGTCAGGCGAGACGGCATCCACAACGCGGCAGCGCTCGTTTTCCTGGGCGTTCGTAGCGCCTGCCTTTTTGCATTCCGTCTCATCGCGCACAAGCCGCAGCGGTGGCCGCGGTGCGGACAGGCCCAGCCACTCCATCTCCGGGCACACCGGAACACAGCACACGAGGCCCAACTCCCTCCACAGCACCTCCGTGAGAAACAAAAGTGGCGTGGGTCGCAGCGTGGCAGGGAGGCGCACGTCGGCTCCCCTGTACGTGACAGGGAAACCCAACAAACACGCGCTCATGAGAAGCACGGGCGGGCTCGCCAGCGTGTCGGTTGGCGTTGAAGTTGTTCTTGACTCAGACGAGGAAGAAAGGGACGATTGGGCGGTCGTAGTCGCGGCCTGACGACAGTATTGGGTCCGTGAACAACCGTTGTTATTGATGTTGGGGGGTAAAGCACGGTGCGGCGGCGTTGGCTGACGGGATGCGCGGAAGAGGCGCACCCGCTCCTGCAGGCCGTGCTGACGCCACCACGCCGACGCCAGCGACAACGACGGCATGGGAGACATTCAACGTGGCGTATATATATATATATATATATATATTTGGTCCCTTTTTGCAATGGGATACGACGATCGTTGAGGTCGAAGCGGTGGCTGAGCAGGTGAAGGAAAGGGGGCTGCCGGACTGCGTAAAAGAGCTCTGATGGTGGACGCGGGCGGCGTTGTACAACAGCTTTGTGCGAAGCTCACATTTCGTTGTTTTCCTTCTGTGAAGACGGTCCTTCGCCTTTACGAAATGCGCGAAGAAGAAAGAAAAGAAGGACTGAGGTCCATTGAGCGATAGAGAGTGGGAGAGAGAGGCAGAGGTTAGCAGAAGGGTCAAGAAGAACGACGTGGCGCGGCGATGCTAGCTAGGTACATACGTGAGCAGCTACACCGTCACCACCACGCGTCCCTAACGCGAGCTGCCCCTACCACACCACAAAGCAGTATAAAAGTGTTTCTGAACTTCTCTTTGGAGAAAGCGTATCCGCAACGTCTGCGGGCAAAAAAACATTCCTCTCCTGCTTCTGCTTGTTTCAATGCATTTCCATTGCTGTGAAGCGTACGGTGCCACGCAATCTGCACCACAAGGCGCCGTCAAACACGTCTGCTGGGCGCTGTGAAGTTGCACATCCACAAACGCACTCAACACTACCGTTCGTATTCTCTCTCTTTTTTTTTTTAAAGAATAGAAGAACACACTTTCTTAAACCCCTCCACACCCGTCTCTTTGCCTCATTGCTCTTCCTCCTCGTCTTCCTCCTCGACGAGCAGCGAGGGCATCGGCGGCGGCGACGATGGCGCACCGCCATTCTCGCGGTCCAACAACATAATATCCCAGTTATCGTACAGCACACGCGCCACGATCACCGTCAACGGACCGAAGACGATGCCACGGATCCCGTAGGCCACAAAGCCGAGGACGAGGGAGGTGCCGACGACGAAGGGCTGCAGCTGCTCGCGACCTTTGCCAGCGGCATCCGTGACGAAGCCGCCGCGAAGACCGCGAGAGACGCACAGCAGCCACTCGTCTCCGCACTCCAGCAGCACGGCCACCCCAAAGCTGAGCGTGCGTGCGTAAAAGAGCAGGTACGGCTTACCGAGCAGGAGCGCCGCTGTCCAGTCGTGTCCACCGGGAAAGGCGAGCAGCGGACTGCCTTCTCGCTCCTCGGCGGTGGTGAGGGAGATGAGTTGGATCACCATGTACGCGAAGGCGATCGAGCACGGGCTCAACCACTTCGGCACCAGCGGGAAGAGCGCCAGCACGACGGACACGAGCCCCAGCAGGAAAGGCGTTGGGAAGCCCCACAGCTTAAAGGCGCAGAAGGTTACGCAGAAGTGGAACCACGTGAGATGCCAAAAGGACTGCAGCAGCGTGATGAAGGACACGGTGATGTCGTGCTCGATGTTGCGCGCGTGGAGGTCGCCGACGTCCGGTTGAATTACGCAGAGCACCTTCGCGATGCCGTAGTACAACACCGTGTGCTCCAGTTGTGTGAGGTAGCGGTAGAAGAACACGAAGAGCATCAGCGCGTAGACGCTGTCGAACAGCTCCAGCAGGTTCGATGCAAGTCGAGCAACAAGACGCACGGCGTATTCGACGTAGGGGAGCAGGGCAGCGGCGAGGAGGCGGAATACCGTAATCCAGTCAATATGCACCGTCTCCTCTCCCGTCGCCGCTGCCCCCGCCCCAGCAGCGGAGCCGTTCGAAGAGGCACGTGTAGTTCCTCTATTGCGGCTGCTACTATTGGTGCCACGGCTGTTGTTCGCCGCGGATGCGTTCGACAATGAGGCGTGAAGAAGTGACTTGAGAGAGTCGACGGAGCCCAACGCTCGTAGATTGGCCCATGAAAAGGTCAGTGAGTGTGGGCTCTTTGTCGATGACGACGACGAATCTAAGGAGCTCTTCGTGCTACCGGGCTTCACCAGGGCCGGCGCAGACCCACCCCCGCTGCTGCTTTCGGCGGCGTCTTGCTGTACCACCGCCTGCAGCTGCGGCGGCAGCACGCGCATCAACGTGCCCAGCATCTCCGACACGTTGCCGTTGCTGAACATGTCGGCCAGCTCCTGCACGACTAACGTCTGGACTTGCTTCACCACGAGTGACTCCAGCATGCCGCGGTGCTGTCGTAGCAGCGCAAAGATGTCCACATCGTTCTCATCCATGGCTTCTTCCTCCTCCTTCACTATGCCAAAAATACTAGTAGTGGTGGCGGTAGTTGCGTCTGTCGAGTCTGGATAGTGACTCGATGGAACGGAGTCTATGTCTTGTGTTTTGACATCGGTGAAGGCATCCAACTCCATCCCTGCAAGGCCGCCACCACCACCGCCGCCGCCGCTTCGCACGACAGCCGACGTTGTCCGCCGCACCGCATGACTGATCGACAGCACGTCCGCCGTCAAGTTCAGCGTCAGCCCGACGATAAAGAACAGCACGATGGCGACGCGCCAGAGCCGCCCCATCGAGCGCACAAACGAGTTGGCCGACAGGAGAGGGACAGCGAGCGCAAACACGACGCCCAAGACGAGATGCAGCAGAACAAAGTAAAAGACCCCGACAAGGAGGTGGGCGAGGATGACGAGAATGGCAATGGTCAGATACCGTAGCACGCGTCGCCCGCGCGCGGTGGCGACAAGGCGTCGGTGATCGGGCACTGCTGCCGCCGCAGGGGACAACCGAATCGAATCATCGGAAGGAGACGGCATCTGTGGCGCCTTAGCGGGGAAGCGAAGCGTCTGCGAGCGACTTTCAGGGGAGCCTTCAGCGCTGCTGGAGGTGCTGCCACCGCTGCTACCTCTCTCATTGTTGGGTGATGCGGAGACCGGTCCTGTTGTTCCGTTGTTTGTTGCATGAAGGGTGGCCGTGGCATCCTTCCAGTGCGCCGCATCTTGTAGGACGCCGGGCTTCGGCGAACTCGCTCTCGACTCGCCGGCTCTTTCCGCCTCTTTTGGGGCTTTCCGTGCGGCCCTCCCGGTTGCCGACGCCATCTCCTGCGCGCGACCGCACTCCGAAAAGCACGCTGCACCGCTGCCGTGGCCGAGCAACACCGAGTTGGTCGCCACACGAATCTTGTTGAGGCCCAGAAGGAAAGTCATCTGCATTACCACAAATGAAGCGAAGTGGCGCAGCGACATCCACGACCCGACGACACCGGCCAGACGCCCTCGCACGGCCCACTGCTGCTGCACGTGTCGCATGCGGTCTACCGCCGTGCCCATGTACAAGACGGAGCGCAACCGACCCTGTGGGTGCGTGACGATGGACAGCAGCACGCCGCCGGTGATGCTGTAGTAGTACGGCGTGACGAGAACGTAAAGGGCGTAGGAGAGGCAGACAACAAGGACGAACATGATGCCGGATGTGGCCCCCAGCACCACCTGCAGCCAGTTTTGACGGTACCGATCGCTTCGCGAGGCAGTGAGGACGGCGGCACTGCGCTGTAGGTCCTCCGCGCTGTTGCCGCTGGCATGGCGTGAGGGACGCGGTAGACGTCGGCTGTGCCTCGTCGTTGTAGTCGCGGTGGTTGCTAGAGGAGGAGGAGGGAAAGAAGAGGGCACCCCATGGGAGACTCCTTCTCGCCTTCTGGGCGGTTCTCCCGCTGCTGTAGTGGCGGTTTCTGAGGATTGGGGCGTGCTCTCGACTGCCCTTGTGTCTTCGACGGAGGAAGCAGTCTTGAAGGCTGCATTTGGCGGTGCTGGCGGGGCCGCAGTGGGCGGGGCGCGTGGGGCGGCTTCCGCTTTGAGTGGGGTGGACGCACCCACCGACTCCGCTTTTGATCGACTGGTCAGAGGAGCACGCTTCGGAGCCATGCGTGTGAATCTAGATGAAGAATACGAATTGTACAGTGACAATGTGAAAATGATCTAGTAACAGAATAGATTCCCAAGGAGAAGATAAAAAGAACCTTCGCTGATAGCGAGGTGTGGATGCAGGAACAACCACCCAGCACGTCTGTGTATACACTGGTGAAAGGAGGCTGACACCTTCGACTGGAAATGGCTCGAAATAAAGTAAGCAGCTGAGGAAAAAAAAAACAAAAAAACAAAGAGGAGATAAATCTGTGTCGAGTGGTGGGACTGCCCACCTGCCCTTCCTTGAGATGAAATCCGCTGTCGCCATCACACAGAGACACAAAAGGAAAGGGAGCAAAAGAGTGAGAAGGCTTAAAAGAATAAGCATTACAGCTTCCACACTTTCCGCTGCTCTAATACTGGACAAGAAGGTGGCAGTCGAAAACAGTTTGAACTGCTCGACCTCTTCTTGTCTTTTTCTTCATGAAAAGGACTACATAGGGAAAGTACAAGAGGATGCAGCGACAAATAGAAGACGGGAGTTCCCTCTCCTCTTTTCTCACCGTGTCTTTGTTCTCTTTTTCTTTGAGGAAGTGCACAGGCGTTGCTGTTCGTCTATGAAACGAGCTTTGGCGCACTATGCACTGTGGTGGTGGTGGCACCAAGAGCAAGAAAACAAAACATCCATGCGTAGTGAACTGCGCCAACACAAAACTTCTACATGCACACGCACACGCATATATATAAGCAGCAACGAAAAAGCCATGCAACGAGCTCGGGGAAAAAAGGAAGAAGAAGATCGGCACACCGGCAACCGGAGTTCATACATCACTCAGTACGCCTTTGTAGAGAAGAAGAAAAACCGATTTAACGAGCGGGTCTTTCCCTCTACACATCAGCTTTCTTCTTCCTCCACGGCCACGTCGTCAAACTCCTCTACTGGATTGGGGGCGTCGCCGTCCGCACGATCTTGGGCATCACCATCATTATGTGAGTCGTTCTTCAAGTCCAGCTTGGAGAAATACTCGCGGTGCGCATCCACGACCGGCTTGCCGATGTTGAATGAAAAAGTGAGTAGAAACAGAGCCACCCCAGCTGCCGTCGTCGCCGCCCCGGTCATCGACCCACTGAAGTACTTCTGCGTGCAGGACCCACGTAGCAGAGACCGTACGGTGAACCTTTCTTCGTTGCTGCTGCTGCGGTGGCGATCGTACTCCATCACTCGGCGGTAAACGTCACCGAGGGCCGGTTCGGCGCGCTTCTCCTTCGTACTCAGAAACGGAGGCAGCTCCGGTGATGAGCTGCTCGGTACGATGAACAGCGCTAGTCGTGAAAGTCGCAGCATTGCGGCGATTGCGCTCTCAAATAATAATAAATATATTTCTGTTGGTACTTGGTGTGCAAAGAGACTCTCGTGTGCCAAAAAGTTGTCGCCTTATAAAACAAAAAAGTCAACACCTTTCGCGCCTTTTATTGTTTTAAAAGAGCGCAACTCCCGAGAGGAGAATTTAAAATAATGATCTTAATAAAGTGGACAGAGAGACGGGGACGATAGAGAGAAACTTGCTTGACAACCGCCTTCACAGAGATGAAAAGCGACAAGAGGGAGGACAACGTCACGTCGTCTCCCTCCCTCTCTCCCTGCTTTTCATTTCTGTTGCCGCGATGAGCGCAAAAGCAGGCGAGAGTGTGTGTGTGTGTGTGTGTGTGTGTGTTAGCTTGGCAGATTGATTGCCCTCTGCGCCTCCATTGTAGTGGACCACCCTCGTCACCGTGCGGCGAACACGCAGGCGTAAGGCGAGATGACATAATAGTAATAATAATAATAAATAACAAGTCTCATAGGGCCCGACGTGCATTCTACGTGTTTTTTTTCTTTTTCCGCAGAAGACGCAGCACCTTGTCGTTTCTGCATTCGTATTTCTTCTTCTTGTTTCACATTATAGGCAAACAAACAAACCCAACATTAATGAAAATAAAGTAAAGATCCCAATTGGGCAGCTGCAATTCGTTGTGTGCTGAGGTACGAGCATGGTTTAGTGGAGATCATGAAAGTCCTACATATATATGGAGCGAGAGAGAGATCGATTTGTCATTTCGCCAGCTAGAAGGAAACACTCACCATACAGTGTTTCTTCCCTCTTCTATTCTTTTGGAGCTGCTTCGACTCGCAGTTCCCCTCCCTCTCCCCTCCCCCTCCTCCTCCTTCCGCGCTCGTTCTTCTTGCTGTGATGCAGTTGTCCAAGGCAGTCTGTCAGAAGCAGAACAACGAGAGCGCAAAAGGAGTGGAGAGGGAATTATATGAAAAAAAAGAAAAGAAAAAGCCTCACATGCCTCATCGGGGCATGCTCGTGGGCCTCAAGCGATGTACGTTAAAGGATCAGAGCGAGACTGAAAGAACCAACCACAACAACAGCAGCAAACGAGAAGACGGATGCACATTGCCTCAGTTTAGTGAGACGGACATCAACGACGATGCAAATATATGTGTGCGTGGCACTTCCCTTTCGTTCATTACTATAATTATAGTTGTCTTTGTTCTTCGGTTTCTGCTTGCTGATCGACATCGCGACGCACCGAGCCGAGCAGCCGGAAGATGACTAGTGTTTCATCAAGGTGCCAATAGCCGGATAAGACCACTTTGCCTTGTCAAGAACGCGGTCATGGGCGGCAGAAAAAATGACAAGGAGCGGTCGGCGGCTATGCAAAGCTGCACATGTCCTTTTCTTTCGTTCCGCGGTTTCCTCGCTCCCGTATTGGAGAGAAGAAAACAAAAAACCTGTAGCGGGAATAGGCTGCGGGAAAGCGAGACGCACGAAAGGCAGAAGGAAGACGGCGTAAAGAAGAAAGAAGAGCGCATGCGTGCATGCAACCACCCTCGCACCGACAGCTACGCGCTCATTCGGGAGAAGAGGCGACGCAGAGCGAGCGCACGAGATGGGTGGCTTTGAAAAGAGTGTCGCACAGAACAAAGGTGATACTCTAAAAAAAAAAAGGGGAAAGAGACCATAAAGAGAGAAAGGGAAGGTGTTTTTAAAATAATAATAAACAAACCAAACAAACAAAAGAAGACGGAGCAGGGTCGGGAGAGAAATGCTCTGCCGTGGCAGCTTTTTGCTGTTTAGGCGTCACAAATACGAACAGTAATACACGTACATGAGAAGGCACAAAAAAAAACTGGTGCGAAGTGCCATCAACAACCGAATAGAAATCAAGCGATCTCTAACGATGTGGGAGGGGGGCCAAGAAGCACAGCAAAAAAGAAACCCAAAAGGACGATGAGGATGCAACCCCTTCACGAGATACAGACACACGCGCGCACGATTAAGCTGGAGAATCAGTACGAAAGGTGATGCGGGAAGATGAGGCTTAACTTTTCAGGGTTGTAGAAGGCAGGACCATTTAAAGGAGGCACTGCAAGCTACTCCGCCGACTTCGTCGCTTCCGTTGTCTCTTCTTTCTGCTGTGACTTCGTCTCTGCAGCTGCCGCCTCCGTCGTCGTGGGCATCATCTCGCGCGGCAGCGATTTCGGTTCCGCCGTGGAAGACAACTTCGCGTCGCCGTTGCCGCCGGTGACGATCTCGCGGTCCGCCGTCGCCGCAGCGTTCGTTTTCTTCTGCGCCACAATGTCGTCTATCTGATTACCTGAGGACAAGTCATCCTCATCGTCGTCGTGGCCGAGCAGGTCCAGATCGCCCTTGCGGTAGCGGGCGCCGCTGCTACCCTCCCCCGCCGCCTCATGGATGCGTGGCGGCAGGCCAGCGCGCTTGCGGAACATGTTGTCGATCTGCTCCAGCGTCAGCCCCTTCGTCTCGACGGCGAAGAAATACACAAAGACGCAGCCAAAGGCCATGAGGCCGGCAATCAGCGTGAAGGTGCCGCCAACGCCGATGGCGCCCATGAGAATCGGGAACACCTGCGACACGAGCACGTTCGAGGCCCAGTTCGCCATGGTGGCCACCGAGGCCGCCGACGTGCGCAGGTGTGTCGGGAAGATCTCCCCCATGACCACCCATGGAATGCAGCCGATGCCGGGGGCGTAGAAGGCCAAGAAAACGGCTAACAGCGCCAGGAAGAGCCAGCCACCCACGTTGTAGGGGATCTTATTGCCGAGGAAGTAGCCAATGATCGCGATGATCAGCAGCAGCACGAAGCAGCCGAAGACGGACAGCAGCAGCATCGCGCGACGGCCAAAGCGGTCAATCGTGAAGATGGCCACAACGGTGAAGATGGCGTTCATGGCGGCCAGCGGGATCGACAGAATCACCGGCATCTTCGCATCACGGAAGCCCGCGTCGTACAAGATGACGGAGCTGTAGTACATGATGGTGTTGATGCCAGAGAACTGTTGGATGATCTGCAGGGCGCAGCTCAGCACCACGCGGAAGCGCATGTCGCGCGCGAGGAGGGGGCGGTAGTCGATGCTGACGGTGGGGATTTCATCTCCCTCCTGCCACTCGCACAAGTCAACGTCGAAGCGGTCCGCAACGTTCTTCGCCTCGTCCGGGCTGCCACGCGCCAGCAGCCACCGCGGGCTCTCCGGCAGAAAGAAGAGGATACAGAAGAGCTGCACGATGGCCGGTACCGCACCGACGCCGATGGCGACGCGCCAGCCGACGTTCTTGTCGGTGTAGATCACCATAGCGGCGGTGAAGCCGGAGGCAACGAGCTGGGCACCGGTCAGAAACAGCGTGTTCAGCACGATGGTGGCACCGCGGTTCTGGGGCGCGGTAACCTCCGCCAGGTACACCGGAATCGTGGCGGAGCTAATACCGATCGCGAGACCCACGATGACACGCGCCACGAGCACCACCGCCACATTCGGCGCGGCGGCCATCAGCACGGAGCCGATGATGAAGAACACGTCCGCCACCCCGATGCACGGGCGGCGTCCAAAGGCGGCAGAGATGAAGCCGGAGGCGAAGGCGCCGACGAAGGCACCGGCAATGGCGATGGCCACAATCAAGGCGTACTGCCAGGAATGCTCGTCAAAGCCGAAGTGGTCCTTCATTTGGAAGAGTGCGGCGTTGATCACGCTGGTGTCGTAGCCAAAAAGAAAACCGCCCAAGGCGGCGCACAGCATCACTGATGTGCGCATCTTCTTTCACTGCTACGTCGTTGTATGAGGCCGCGTAGGTGCGTAATAATCTACGTATGTATATATTTTGTGTTTCGTTCCTCGAATTGATGGGAGGGAAAAGTAAAAAGCGAAGAGGAAAACAAAAATAAAGTCTCACGAAGTAGACGCAAAGCCGCTCAAAGGAAGTGCGTCGTGGTAACGCTCTCCCCCCCCCCTGTAATACCGCCGCTACTGCAGTTCAATGAAGAAAAGAGTACTGGTGCAAAGAACCCTGGCGAGACGTGGCAACAAGCAGAAGATAATAATAACAGCAATAATAACAACAAAGAAAGGTGTCAACACAAACTAATTTCATGTTATACTACGTTCCCTGACCCAGAAAAGCCTTCTCAGTTAGGTGAGCGCCTACGGACGTGTTTACTGTGTGCGAGTGTGTGAGGGAGTGCGACGTTGGCCACCAGGGAAAAGAGCGGCACATCGCGGTGTTCGTTCGTACGAAGACAACAGCAGAAGTGGAGATGTGAAGAGGAAAGACAAAAGCAGAAGTGAGAATGGTAAAAGCGCATAGAGAGTCCGCGGAGGGTGGGGTGGGTGGGGGAGGAAACCTCATCAAAAGAAAGAGCGCCACGATGCGGCACAGTCACATTTTAAAATGTGACGCTTGCGCCGGCTCCTCCGCAAACAGGCATCCCAGCGACACAGCTTGGGATTGAACGAGAAAAGGCGAGTCGTTCGTATTGGGACGCTGGGAGGGGGGGGGGGTAGAGGAAAAGAAAAAGGAGGAAGCTCCCTCCACAACCATCGACGACCTTCAAGAAATACTGCATTCGCCATAACGAGCAGATAACATTTGGTATTATTCGTTCGTTCTCATTCCTTTTTAAAGTCATTATTGGTGTCCTACTCATTCAACAACAGCTGTGCGAAGTCGGAGTCAGAGTGGCGAGGTCGACATCAGGGAAAAAAAGAAATGTAGATCTGTATATCGACAAGCCTTTGTGATGGTAGAGAATAGAGCAACCACACAAACAACAACAAAAACGGTGTACAAGAGTCTATGCGTGTATATAATCTCAAAACAAACAAAAAAATAATCTTCCTCCGCTTTCCCTTTACGGTTTTCTTCTAGTGTAGCTTTATTTGCTGTTCTTTTTCTGCTCCACTGTCGTTGAAAGCGGCGCCTCCAGTTGAGCTGCGTCGGAGGAGATCGTCTCGCATGCAGCGCCGCGCAGGAAGAAAACGAAGGAAAGAGAAGTGGTTTGCTCGTCCATCTTTGCAATGCGAGCCGGCGAAGTTTTGCATCAAACACATTGAACGCGGCGCCGTGGGAGGGAGAAGAAAAAGGAAAAGAAAAGTGTGAGGAGTTGGTGCATCTAGGAAAAGGGAGAAGGAAAATGTGTAGTGTGCATTTGCACCGTCTAAACGTCCTCCTGAGTGGGCGAGTCATTGTGCGAGTTTCACGCCGTGACTTCTACGGTGCTACTAATAACAAAAACGGAAACGAGAAAAACAAACCATCGTGAAGCCGTGAGAATAATAATGATAATGACAATGAATGATGAAAAGTTTGTACAGACAAGCGAAGATATATAAGCGTGAGTATCGAAAAAAAAACTACATCCAACACTCTTCGGCTGGCTTTTCTCTCTCCTCACTCACCAACTCCTCGCGGGGTCGTTTGTATGCGCTACGCCCGGTGCTACGCGGTGTCGCAGCGCAAAAACAGTCACCAATGCAGCGCTGCTCCTCATCAGACGCTACCACCACTGCTCGCATGTTCTCGACGCCAGCAGACTGTGGCGGCGTGTGCAACAACGCGGCTACGTGCCCACCCCAGTGCAGCGAAGACACCCCCGCAAACACATCAGAGGCGTTGAGCTGCGCGGCGGACACTGGATGTGTGTCGTGCCAAGGTGCGGCCGATGCCTCGCGACCTGGCTCTGTCGACGAAGGGGTGCAGTGACGCTGCGAACGCGCAGCGGCGGCAGCGTGGTACGAGGGCAGCGTGATTTGCGCACCCGGTAACGAAGAGGGCGCGACGCACACAGGCGTGACGGCGCGCCGCCGGTGCGTCTTGTCGCCGACAAGTAACAGCGGCAGGTTGACGTCATGACTCTGCAGCACCTGGGCCTCGCTTGCCTCTTGCCTGTGATGATCTGGGGACGCGGACTTGACGGTGACGGTGGCAGAGCCGCCGCGACGCTTCGACGAGGCCGCGGCGAAGCGGCGCGGAAATCGCTGCGTGTGCGGCGTCTCGTGCAGCGGCAGCAGCGCACTCGTGCTCGTTCGTGACAACGGTGAGGGAGGCGCAGAGGGCGAGCAGGAGAGTTCACGGGACACGCTGGGTGTGTGATGCGCAGCAGCAACGGAAAGCGGTATTGGCAGAGGCAATACTCGCGCCGTCATAGCGTGGTCATCACTGCTACTGCACTCCCCGCACGCGTTGCTCGTCAACGGGTCTGCGGGGGTCGAGGATGGAGGCGGCGCAACAAGCCGTGTTGCCGAGTTGCTTGTTAGGGGGCGTGGGAGGAAACGCCGGACTTGTGAAGATTCGGAAAGCGGAGATGTTAATGATAATCCGGCCGTACCACCACCGCACGAGCTGCGCCGCGTCTCAGCACGCGCTGCGGTCAGCATCGGCGCGGCCATGTGCAAGATCATTTCGTCTTGTTGCGCCATTACTTCCGTGTTTGCAGACGGCAAAATGGCGGTCGCAGCACAGACGCTGGCGTCCGCCGATGTGCTGCTGCCGGCTCCTGTATCAAATCCCAGTCTCATCCATCCGAGACCTACTCCAGAGTCATCGGATGAGAGACCGCTGCGCTCTACAGTTGGCAAGCCGGACGGCGACCGCGCCGCGGCGTCGTGCGGCCGAATCGGCGACGGGTGCGGAGAGGAGCCTTCCTGCACGCGACTGCGCGGCGCAGGTGAGGCGAGCAGCGAGTTGAGGCAACTCTGCTGACTTGGGCAGGAGCCTATGCTGCGGCGAGCAAAGCGATCTGTTTCTTCGGAGAGGCAAAGCGCGCGGCCAACATAACTTGTGGTGCGCCGCAACGCGTTCTCACGTGGCGTGCTGAAGGAGTTGCCGTTCCCCGTCGCATTACCTGCAAAGCCCCGCGTCGCCACTGCCCCTGCAGCAACAAAGTTTCCACCACGGTGGGGCATCGCGTTGCCGTCGCGCTCAAAGCTCGAGTTTGTCCGCAGGTTGCTGGCCGTAAACGTGCTTCCGCATTTTAACTGCAGCACCGGCAGCGCCGGACGCGGGATCGCGGTTATTCCGGCGTGAGGCACGACGCATGTACTGAGGTCTGCGTCCGCGTCCGCGCTGAACAGCTGCGTGGCAGCGACGGGGCTCAGGTCGAAGTCAACGTGCGACATGCTGCGCTCCTTTCGAGCAACTTTTATGCTTGAATCGCTAATGTTTAATGCGCGTGCAACTGTGTTGCGGTACATGGAAACAGAAGGGTGCCGCGAGGACTCCGAGAGCTGACGTTGCTGCTGTTGCGCGTAGTTTATCGACGGGGACGGCGTGCTCCCAGTATTTCCCCCGAACAAACCCGCCGCACGACCGTTAGTGCTTTGATCAAGATTGTCAGCGGACTGTGGAGGTGGGCGCTGCAGCTGCGACGCGGTCAGCGCACAGGGCTGTGCCATAGGGCGAATCTCGGACCAGTGCAAATACTCGCTTTCACTCATGAACGACATCATCGTTGCATCAGGACTGCGGTGCTGGACGCTTTCGGCGCGGGTGGCTGCTCTGGTTTCAACGCTTTCCTCATCGGCTTTCTTCCACTCATTTGCGCCTGCATTTTCATCAGTGCCGCTGACCTCTTTGTGTCGGGAGACACTGTCTTTTTGTGCGTAGTGCGTGAGAGCCGATAGCGCAGCGACTTCGCCTTCCGCCGAGCTTTGCGATGCCACGTAACGAAAACGAAGCGCCTCTGCCGAATTGCGCAGCTCTGGGGCGAGCAGTGGTGCAGCGAGCGGAGTGCGCGATATGCGAGAAAAACGAAGCTGTGGGACGTGCGTAAACGAAGCGTACTTGAGCACCAGTGAGATTCCAATGATAGGCGGCACTGACTGTCCGGTGGCTGAATTCTGTGAGCCTTGAAAGTGCGCTTCAGCTTCGCGGAGTGACTCAAACACCGGATGTTGCAGCGCCTCTTTTGCTGCAGGTCGTGCAGATGCGTCGAGACTTAACAACCGATGCAGCAAATCCAGAAAAGGTGCAGAAACGGACATGCCTTGAAAAAGCCTTCTCGGCTTTGTTGTTGATGGAAAGGATTGAATGTCACTGCCCATAAGGTCAAGAATGTTCATCAGCACTTGCAGCTCGCTGTTCCCGGGAAAAGGACACTTGCCCATAATCATCTCGTACATTGTGCACCCGAGACCCCACAGGTCCACCGCGGTGAAGTTGTCTGAAACCGTACCTCGCCGTCCCATCAGCTGCTCCGGTGATTTGTAATGCAGAGTGCCGCGCGTGTCTGCAAAGGCTGCGTCATCGGTGCTTAAAACGCCATGTGCCGCGCTGAAATCTCCTAGTGCAGCCTTCACGTATGATGCAGCGTCGTCACTTGCGGATTTAGAATCCGCTTTTGATGGCGCCAGCAATTTAGTACTATCGCTGTCGAGAGGTAAAAGCATGCATGGCCAGTCTTCCGCTTTCGTCAGCTTCTTCAGCAGTATGTTACCGGGCTTCACATCACGGTGCGCCACCCCGTGTTCATGCGAGTACTCTAATGCCTTGAGAACTGAATATGCAGTCGCTACACACACGCTTTCGTTCCGAAAAGACAGGTTCGCTTCTTTGAGCTCTCTCGCGACGTCGCTATCCATCAGCTCCATTGAGAAAAAGTTGATGTACCTCGATGTGGTGTAGGTCCCCATAATTCTGACAATTTGCGGATGGGAGCCAAGATACTGGAGAACTGACACTTCGTCCATGAGAGCATGGGCTTTGGGAAAATATACAGAATGGGCACTTTTGTCAACGTTCTCTATTATTTGCCTGCCGCTCTGTTGCGACAGAGCTATCATTTGCGTTACACTTTCCTCGCCAAGGTCGAGCTCACGTCGCTGAGAGAGCGGCCCATTTTCATTGTATTCTACTTGACTTAGCGATCGTGTGTCGCCCTCGGCAGTATTGCGCGCACCGAATGTAAGAAGCAGCGCACTTTGGGTTCCCTGGATCAAGGGAGTTTGTGGAGTATCTGTCTTAGCGTATCTTTTTTTGATGGCAACATAATGGTCCGATCCGCTAACGCGACCAAGAAAAACTTGGCCACTCCCACCTTTTCCAAGTAGAAGGTTACATACTTCAAAGGGAAAACTAGATTGATTACTGCTTTGCGATGACTCTGAAGGAAGCATGAACGATGAGCCTACGTAATTGCATATGTACATATATAAAAAGTCATATACTCCTACTCTAAGACTTTCAAATCGTCACCAATAAAAGAAACAAAAAAACAAAAGTCGAGGAAACGTCGAAAGGCGGCAAAGTTATATAAGATGCCTGCTTCTTTTATTCTTCCAGTAACTAAAAAAAAGAAAAGCAGAGCATAATTGTAGTTTAGGTTGTTGAGGTACACAGTAGTTGGTAATCTTTTCGGTCATTAAGAGAATCTGATATTTCAATAATGCATTGAGCAGTGAATATGCTACGAGGTGGATCATGCTTCAAAGACGATCTACTCTATGATCGAATAAAGCGCTTAGCAGGAAAATGAGTTCACTGTCCTACAAGGCATATAACCTTCGGGAAGTCGCTGAAAAAAGACAAGCGTCTACTTTAACAGCTTCAGTTTTGTTCGTCAACTCAAACTTTTTTTACTTGATGATCATGATCGTAACAAAAGAATGCGTGAGCTCACTTTGGAAAGCAAAATAGTAGTAAAATGAAGAGAACGCAGCAGACGACCCTTCACGACTTTTGACTGCACAGAATATTTCCCCCAAACAGAAAAAGGAAAAAGAAATGCTATTAGTTTACTTTTCTGTGACCATTGTCTTTACGTTCGCCAGGTCGTGGCCCTCTAGTTCACTTGACATAACGGCGGAAAAATAATCCAAATCAGTTGAGCAGCCAACGGGTAACTTCGGTTTACGTTGCTTTAAGCACTTGAGAAAGCTCCGATAGCTTTCCGGCGTCGTGCAGTTCGAAGCTATGGACGCAGCCACTTCCCAACTCCAAATATCGTCTACAGTGGGAGCAGGACTGCGTGCAAAATCGTCTCCAAGTGCGCTTTTTGGAGAATGCAACAAAAACGAGCAGTTCAGAATATCACTGCGAACATCCTCGCTTAAAAACGTTGCCAGCGTGAGTGCATTTAGGCGGGGATTCACTTCCGGATCAGTGACAGTTTCCCACAGTGCGATTTGCCTCCTGCGGGAAGGACTGTGAACGAGCAGTCCGTCATTCAAATTTGCTTTCGCCCCGCAAACACTGGTGAGGAGTTTGCGGAAGTCGGAAGAAACACCACGGCGAGTCGGCAAAAGCTGCGCTGGCACAATTTCGTTTTGTGAACAAAGGCGAACCAAGTTAACAGCCCATTTTCTTTGTGCGTCGTCGCTGCTGAAAACGCAGGACAAAGCTTGCTTGATGGCAGCAAAAGGAACACCGCAATTCATTGCGTTCACACATATTGGCACACAATGCAGCACCGTGACGCTGTTACCAGAAACGGCGGCGAGACGAAGCAAGGCAAGAGACCTGTACCCCATCCAGTTTTGTGCATTTCCTTTCGCTACCTCATCGCGCATGGCTCGACTCATTGAAAGCACAGCGAAATCGACTGCGGTGGAGCTAGCGTGGAAAAGGCTTTTCGTGGCAGGACATTCAACTGACAGGTGATTCCACGCAAGGCGTGCCGCGTCCCGGTATCGGCCGTTTCGACAAAGACGGCGGACAGCAAAGTCGCAGAATGCGCACAGTGCGGGGTCAACGCGTCCTTTTGAGTAAAACGATTGTGCGTATACCGATCCGATTTCGACAGGAGATATTTTCAAGCTTGTCACAAGGTGCTTGCAATTAAGCAACGCTGCTGCCGTAAATCGTCGTACGGGTTGCTTTGAGTTCTTCAACAGCTTAATAACACGAGACCGTAAATTCATCCATGTCTGATCCTGTAAAACCTCCGCACGTTGGGTTTTGTGACTGATTAATGAGATTAATAGCTGCTTCTCCTCTACGCTCTGCAGCGACGGCGACTGCGGAAGAACTCGACGCGCAACACGACACCAGGCATTGGAAGGTGCATCAGAACTAACGGAGGAGGCCGAAAGTATTTCTTGTATTTTCCAGTTGCTGTCGATGTACTTTGCTTCGTCGATGCTGAGTGAAAGAATGTCGATTATGCGGTAATGAGACGGATGCACTAATTTGCTCGCAATATCAGGGCACACTTGATGGATAAAACGATCATCCAGGTTTTCTTCTACTCGTAAGGTTTCAATTTGCCTATATAAAGGAAAAGGCAATCGTGGAGTTCCACTTGGAAGTACTTCGCTAATAGTGGAGCTTGCGCATTGATCAGCTAACAGAATTTTCTCGAAGGCCGACATTCCTTCCTTTTTCCCTAAGCGACAGGCGGCCTCGACGGCACAAACAAGGATATCAGATGTTGCTACGGCACCTAACGGGGCAAAAAGCTTGTATTGCACACGAGGAGAACCACTTCGGGAATGGGTCAAAGCCACTGCATGCAATGACATCTTTTGCGCAAAGACTTGCTCTTTCAGCGAATCACTGAGAATATTAATAAGCGCCTTTAACGTTGTGGAGTCCTTCAACTTCTCCAGCACTTGAATTGTTTTACGGAGCTCTTTTGTCACCTTCCGACGAGACAGCCGCACACTGGTGATCCTGTCGCCTTGCTGCCAAAACGAAACGAGCTGAAGTGCAAGTTGGACTTCACCTGCTTTCATTAATGCACAGAACGCTTCTTGTGCGTATGAAAACGGCAAGTGTTCTGTTTGCCGAAGCAACGCATCGCTATGGTCTGCTGTTCTAAGTAACGGCTTGTCATTTTCCAAGGATGATTGCAAAATGCTGCTCTTGAGCTGATGCTGATAGTCACTCTGGGAAACATGCAGAGCCTCTGACGCTGGGGAGAAGATCGGATGTGCGCTGCTCAGCGCAGATGCCTGTGACACCCGCCCATCTGCGAGGACGGTTTTCACGGTTTTCTGAAGTTGAGGCAGAGCTGTTTTTCTGCCAGCTCGTCTCGTTATATCAACAAGCGAGTTTTTCCACATTCTTCAAAACATCTGCGTTTCGTGATTGGTTATTATTATTATTATTATTATTATTATTATTATTATTAAAGAATAACAATAAAGAATGATAAAGAAAAGCAGGAGAGGGAAAGACGTCGAAAAGGAACGATATTATAAACAAAGAGGAGTCATTGGAAAGTAAACTGCATTTTTGTTGGTTCTCCTTTTGATTTTCGCCGATAATTTCTTTATCGTCGGTAGCGCACTTTCGCTGGCGGCAAGAGGGCCAGTAAAAGGCCGCGTTGGAAAGAAAAAGAGGCATTGTGACACTGAGAAACAGCGAAACCATCCCATTGAATTTCGTGCACTTCATTTTGACGCAACAAGCTTGTTCTGTTTCGTGTCTCTGGCTGAAAATGGAAGTCCGTGCGCTGGCCGTCCTTTCCTTCGCGGAAAATGCTGGCGTTAGTGCTCGGCTCTGGGGGCGTTTGGCGTCGGGAACCCGCGGTTAAAACAATAACCGACAAGGGTCTCACAACAACTGGGTCATTCTGTGGTGGATGAAGGTGCGTTTTGGAAAACGGAAGCGGCGGTGTGCTTTGTGTCGGGGGTCTTGTTTTCTGGTCTTTTCCTCTTTTTTCTGTGGCGGGGGGGGGGGGGGGGGGCCGCCCACCGTCTCCCCCCTCGGGGAGGCGGGAGGCCGGGCCGCGACGCGCCAGGCAAAGTGCGGGCAGGGAAAGAGAGAAAGGGGCCGAGGGGAAAGGGGAGCCGGGACGAGAGGTGCAGATTTTTAACGGCGCACAGGTCATGTTACTTCGCAGGGGCCTGCGGGGTGTTTTGCTGTCGCGCGGTGTTCGCGCCGACGCGCATTCGCATTTACCAAAGCGCGGCAGAGTTCCTGCGCATGTTCGAAAAAGCTCTATTTTTGCTTACCGCCGCGGCAGATAAAACGGCTTGGCGGGTTGGATCTGGAGATCATTAAGTGAGCGTAGTGCGAAGTGGGTACACAGGTGTCAACAACGAAGGGTAACAAAAGTAATGAATGAAAAGGAAAGATGTCACCAAAGGAAAGAAATAAAGAAGATGGGTCAAAAATCACAGTCAGAAATAAATGTAACAGTCTAAGGTGAGAGTAAAACGAGAGAGTCAACCTTCGTCGACAGTGCCTTTGCTGCCTGCCGGCGTCAACGTTTTCGATGGTGTTTCCTTCAATTCCACCGCAAGGTTTCGCTGCGCAGCGTGGATGCTGCTGCTGCTGTGGTCGGGCGTCAGATGGACCGCCTTCACACTCGCCGCGGAAGACCTCTCGCGAGACAGCAGCGACGGTCTGCGCGGAAACGGCGCCATCGGCGTGTGGGCGATTCTGTCCGGCGATCGCGGCGTGTCTGCATCTCTGCGACTCGTGCTGCGACGCGGCACAACGTTGGAGAAGACCTGCGATGAGTTGGATACCATCGACGAGCGCGACACCGGCGGCTCCATCGCGTCGCCGCCGCCGAGGTCCAACAGCAGATTGACGGACGCGTGCGCGCCTGCTCTGGCGAAGTTTCTGCCCGAGCTCGGAATTGGCGTCCGTGACCGCTCAGCCTGCTGCTGCTGCGACTGCGGTGACGGCGTGAACGTTTCACTCAAGACGGAGGTGCTGCCACGATGCGTCTGCCGGTGCGCTGTGGCCGGCGACGAGCACGTAGTGGCCACCCGGCTGGTGGCCGAAACGAACGCGCGCTCCGGCGTTGGAGAGAAAGCCTGACCTTGCCACGCCGGGTGGTGGAGGGGTTCCGGCGCGTCTGGTAGCTGCGGCAGCACATCGGGCAGACTGACCGCGCAAGGAGACCGCAGCTCTTCAACGCTGACGCTGGATGGCGGGACCGCACTCTCCGAGAGCCGCCGAGGGAACGGCTGCAGGTGCATGTCCGAGAGACTGCTCGCGTTGGAGAGGAGATGGCGACTTCGCGGCGTGTTGGGCGCATTCGCTCGAGGCGAGCGTCTGCCCTCTGCTGGTGCGTGGAGCGGGCCGTCGCTGCTGCTGTGCGACTCCTGTGGCGTCGGGTGCGGCGGGGGAATGCCGTTCGTGTTCAGCAAAGCGTCTTCCCCGTCGTGCCCCACGACAGGGATAGCAAAGGCGCTTTTCTTGATGTTCGCCGCCCCTGGAACAGGGTGGCCCGTCGCGGGCGAAAGCGGCGAGGCAGGCTTGTACACCATTGTGGTTTCCCGTTCTGGTTGATCCTCCCCCGGTCCGTTGCCCAACACCGACTCTGTCACCACCATTGTCTTCGCTACTGCATGCGGACCTTTGTGGTCCTGCTGCTGTTGCTGCTGCGGACTCGCTGGGGGTTCCTGCGACGGCGCCGACGAGTTCGCCAGCGCGGCGAGGAAGAGCGCCGGCGCGGACACCGCGTCGGAGTTGTTCTTGTCACCGTCCGCGTGCGCGGCCGCAGCGCTGCGCGGCGGCGTGGAGAGGTACTTCTTCCCCTTCTTGGTCCCCTCGTTGGCGGAGCCGACGCCGCGGGCCTTGAGCAGGAGCGCCAGCGCGGGGTTCTTCTTGGTGTCAGCGGCGGCGACCGGTATGTTGGGCGATCCGGTGGAGAGAGTAGGCGGTGCCGCCGTCACGATGTCGCTGAAGTCGTCCGGCCGTTTTGTGCTGCCGCGGTGCAGCGCGTCCACCACCTCCTTGCGCCGCTGCGCTTTGCTGTCTTTCTCGTGTTTGTGCTGGCTTGGGTCCACCGTCTCGCTGGTGTTCACACTCGCCTCGCTCGACGTGGCGGCGGCGGCGGTGGTGGGAGGCGCGTCGCTCGTGGACACGCTGTGGCGCTTTTTGTCTCCCCGTGCGCGCGTCCCTGCCGTCTCCGCCGCAGCGGCTGCGGTGGGCGCCGAGGGGCGGGCGCTGATGCACCCGACGGGTTGGGCCTGCCGTGGGTGAACAAAGAAAGGCCGCTTCTGTTCCGCGTGGCCAGCGCCGTAGCTGATCACCGGCGTGCCGGGGGCAGTGGAGTGGACGGAGGTTTCACGCATTGAGTAGAGCGGCTTCTCCGCAAAGACATCGCCGCGGCCGAGGCGGCTATTTCGCTTGCTCCCATGTTTACTCGCCTCGTTGCCTGCGGGTATTTCATCCTCTGAGGCTGCGGCATCGGTGGTAGTGGGAGACACCTCTGGCCGCGGCACGTTGACCGGCGGGAACTCATCGCTGTTGTCGCTGGGCAACACGCTCTCCGTCTCTGTGTCGTGCACGGACGCCTGCGGCGAGCCGGTTGGTCCGCCGCTCTGCGCATGGCTCACGGACGAGCGCACGTGTGGCAGCGCCGTGACCCGATCCTGTCCGCCCTTCGCCGCGACGCCGCCGAGCGATGGCGGGGACGGACTGTGCCCGTCCGTGGTCTTCGTGGCGTGGTGCGAGCGGGTGGACTTGCGTGTCGACTCCCGCCGTGAGGTGCGGGTAACGGACGGCTGCTCCTCGATCGCTGTCATGTGCGAGACGCTGCCGTTCTCGTCCGTGGCCAGGTAGACTTCACGGTGCATCAGCGGTGGGTAGGTGTTCCCTTCTTCCGCCGGTGAGTAGCCGGGCGGCGGCAGAATGTCGTACTCAACCGCGTAGTGAGAGCCGTCGCCTTTACCGTTGTGGCTCCCCGTGACAGTCGCTGGCACGTGATCACGCGACAGCACCGACACCGATCTGCTGTCGCCGATGTACCGCAGCGGCTGGAAGATGCTGGGATGCAGGTACCACTCCCGCGGCACCACCGACAGCGGCACCTCGTTGATGTTGCAACACGGGCTCGGGGCCACGGCTTTGGGCGGCTCGTCGTCCATCATGTGCTGCACCTTCGTGGCGAGCCTGCGGGGAATGATGCGGTCACCGACGCGCGCCGCACGGTTGCACCACGCCGGCACCTGCAGCTTCTCCGTAGTGGAGAGCAAGTCGCAGAAGGCCTGGGCGAAGTGGTTGCAGTTGTGGTGGAGGATGTGGTATTCGCTGCTTCGCCACTCGTTCTCCAAGCGGTGCAGGATGGTGTCGACCTGCATCGGCGAGCGGGTGGTGTAGCCAATGCGGATGGTGCGGTAGAGTGTTCCAGCGGCCTGGCCGGGGTGCACGCAGAAGAGACCCGACGCGTTGGGGTTCTCGACCACCTCACCGTAGCCCCATTCGATGCCATAAACGACCACCCCGGTGTGGTAGACGCCCATGCCCATCTTGGACAGCTTCGCGTTGCTCTCGAGGAGGCTGTACACGTTCAGCGTGATGGGTATTTGTACCTCGGTGCGGCGCAGACGTGGGCCCGGGCTTCGCGCGATCCCCATTTCCTTTAAGTGTCGCAGCTGATTGACATTCTTGGACGTGACGCCTGAGGTGGCGCCCGTCCCGCAACAACAAAACGCCATTTTCTTTAACGTTATATATATATAATACAATTAATGCCGTGTGTTTTGTACTGATGGCACACAACGGAGCTACGTACAAGTTTATATGCAAAGGACAGAGGAAGAGCAACAGAACGAAGAAGGCGGAGAAGACAAAGGCCGCACACGACTCACAACACCGATAGGGCGAAGGAGGGAGGGGATGCAAGTTGGCTTATACAACTGCCGTTGGGCACAGGAGCAACGTGTGGAGGGCGGAAAGAACGAAAAAAGAGTATCCGAAACCGAAGAGCGGACACAAGCAAGGCGAAACAACAGATGAGCACGCAGCAGTTCTAACAGCGTCAGGGAATTGCAGGAGAAGAATTCAGATAGAGGTGAGCGGAAGCGACAGTCGCACACAAGTCGGAAACAATGATGATGTACGGAGAGGCCCTTTCGTGACGTGCGTCCACCACCGTCCAAAAGCAGCAACTAAATACCAAGTTGAAGAAGAAGAGGGGCGGGGTGGAGTTTCTTGAAGACGAAAAAACTAAAAAAAAACAGATGTAACGAAGAAAGAAGAAAGAAGGAAGAAGAAGAAGCTCTAAAGTCTGATATAAAAAGCGGAGGCAACAAACAAACAAACAACAAAGAACGTAAATGTAGCAGGAAGGAGGATGAGGCGCTGCTCTTACAGAGTGCGCTTCTTCCCTTCAAAAATACGCAGCGACTTACACACAAGATGAAGTGCCTAGGATGAAACCCAACTGCGTAGAAGACCAAACATTCGAAGCAAACAAACAACAAAAAAGATGCTCTTCGGCCAGGGAAAAAAATGTTTTGACAACGTTTCTTCTGTCTAATAAACAAACAAATACATAAATAAAGAACGTTCGCCTTGCAGGGGTTGGTGGTCTTGAAAAGATGATCAGCAGAGAATAAGGTGAGAGAAGGGGAAAGGAAAAAAAAGTGGAGCAGCCGTTCGCAGTTAAGCAAGCAGTGCGATGCACAACCTGGTTAAAGGGTTATCGAAGACAGTGTGCGTGTGCCCGTGCTTGTAGCCACGTGATTAAGACTGATGAATAGATAAAATGAATAGAGGAATGGTACGCCGCTTCTCCAACCAGATGAAGCGTTGACTGAAAAAAAAAAGGAGACAATAGGAGTAAGAAACAAGGAGAGTAGTGAACTGCGCAACGGCTGGGGGCGCAGATTCACGCTCGTTGATGATTTCTCACCCTTTTGTTGGGTTTGTTAGAATCGATCAGAAAGGTGCAGCGAGGTACCGGGCGAAGATTAAAAGGAAAAAGAGGGAAGGGAGGGGTGGGGTGAGGATGAGAGGAAGTAATAAGAATTTGAGCAGAAGAAAATACATATATAGAGGCACTGTGACGAACTGCTTTCAAACACAACATCGAGCAGCACCCAACGATTGATGCACGCGACGCAAATGGACGCGTTTTCTTTCTTTCTTTCTTTCCCTCTTTTCTCTTTAGCCATGCGAATCACGGGTCGCGAAGCGCGCCGCGAACATGGTGGCCGTCTCCCCTATAAGAGTCACCACCTGGAGGTGCTGCCAAGTATTGATAGGGTCGTTCGGTGGCTCACTGTGCAGGTTGCAGCGAGCCCTCTTTTTCTTTCTTTTTCTGCTTTGCACTCGTGTCGAAGGTGACGCACCAGCCGCAGCAAAACACAAAGAATACATCGAGTGCGGCCATCAGTGGGAGAAAAACATGCGAACACACAACTAATAAGATACTTTTCCTTCTTTTCCCTTTTCACTCCAACCCTTGCCGTCTTCTGACGACGTGCCGACGATGGCGTGCTCACCGCACAGAAGCCGTGGGCCTCCCCCCCCCCCGGCCGTAGTTCCGCCATCGTGCGAAGAGGCATAGCCGTCCGCAACAAGATAAATGGCTTGCTTTCTCCGCGAAGACGAGAAAATGTCGAATGCGGTTCTGTGAAAAGCAGATGTATTCTAAGAAATCCGTTAAAGGAATCAAAACGAACATGTTGGCCCGGATGAGGGGCTCGCAAGAAAGAAGATAGAACGGGGAAAGACGAAAAGTAGAAGCCACTACAGATGCGCCTCCACACACAGCACACCTGGAACGGAACCGATGAAGAACAAACAAACCGTCCAGTGCGCTACACAGACGACGACGGCGACAACAACAAAAACCGTACAAAACAACGAGAAAAAGGGGGGCGGCACAGCCGACTCAGTGGCCCTTTGACTTGCTCATTGTCAAGGTCTTCGAGAGGTCTTCCTCGTCGCGCAGCATCGACCCAATGCCGCTCAGCATGTCTAAGATCTCGTTCATATCATCACGCTGCTTTTGCAGCAGCATCCGCACACGGGCCACGTACTCGTCCACCGAGTCGTTGTCCTCAAAGTTCTGAATTGCCGTGATTTCCTCCTTGATGCCTGTCATCTTCGAGTCGATGTGGCGGCGATGCAGGGCAATCAGCTTCTCCTCCGCCTTGGCGATCTCCTCCACGACGTATGCGTGCACCTTGCGCACCTGCCGCTCCTCGTCCTTCTTTAACACCCCAACCTCCTCCGCGGCCGGTGGCTCGCTGCCCGTGTCCTCGACGTCCTCCTCGTCCTCGTCCTCGTCGTTGTTTGACTGCAGCGCGGCGATGTGCTGCTGCACGATGGTGGCAATCTTCGGGTCCTTCACCTTCACCGCGGATGGCGGGGGTGGTGGCGTGCCACCGCGGCCCTGCGAGAGACGTCGCAGCCGCGGCTTGGCAGCCGGACGCTGCACCGCACCGTTGCTGTCATCGTCTTCCTCCGGGGAGGCCACAGGGGATTGGTCGGAGGCGAAGTCCGCCACCCACTCCGGCCGGTTCCGCCCCCCACCGGCGTTCTCAAAAGGCTTTCGCCGCGGTGCCACCGCCCGGCGCGCGGGTGGGGAGTTCGCCACCTGCTCCTTCTTCGCTCCCCCGTTCGCACCCCCGCCCAGGTCCTTCACCCGCTGCGTGTAGCGAAGCGTGTTGAGGGTGTTGACGCAGTGTTGCGAAGACGGCGAGATGGTGGCGATCATCGTCGTGCGGCTGTTCCCCGTGAAGGAGTCGCGCAGCACCTCGGTCAAGATGGACCCGCGAAACGGGACGTGACTCTTGCCCATGCCCAGCGCGCGGATGCACTCCTTCAGCGCCAGCAGCGACTTGTTGATTTCCGCGCCTTCCATGCGGGTTTTGCGATCGCAGTCGAAGGTGTCGGCGCCCCGCTCGTTGCCGGCGAGGTCGATAAACGATATTCGCCCAATCGTCTTCGGCCCCCGCCGCGCGTTGGCGCTCTTCGTCTCCCGCACCTCAATCTGCAGCACCGCGTGGGAGCGACTGCTCTCCGCGTTGGCGCTCGTCTGCCCTGCGGCGCGGTACGCACTGCCCGCCGTGATAACGTCGAAGATCTCCTGGATGTCCGTCACCTGATGCTCGCTCAGTCCGCAGATGTTGATCACCTTATCGGCGTCCTCCCGTGCGAAGAGGCGCTCGCGGTTGTTCAGGAGGTCAAATATCTTACGCCCGTAAATTTCGTAGAAGGAGACGACGACGGCGGCGCTGAGGCTGTTGGCGCGTGCGAAGATCTCCCGGGCTGCAATGGCGTACAGACCGGGCTCTTTGGCAGAGCCGAGCATCGTGTAGGTCTTGCCCGATCCTGTCTGCCCGTACGCAAAGCACGTCGCATTGCCGTAGTTGAAGACGTTTTCCACCAGCGGCCGGCAACACCGTTCGTAGATGGTGGCGTTGTTGCACTGATCGCCAAACACCTCGTCGTAGGTGAAGGTGTGCCGGTCGGTGTAGCGCGATAAGTCGTATTTAACCTTGGGTTCGTTGACGATGCAGAGCGGTGAAGGCGTCTCGACGATGTCCATCTCGGGGTCCGGAATCGGACGCTTGCGCACCGCTACACAGATGCGACTACTGATGCTCATGGCGGCTACCTGTTGGCTTTCTTCTCCAATATAAATATAAATATATATAGAAAGAGAGACGAGAAGAAGCACAAGCACCAATCAATGCAATAAGCGCAGTGCGATGCGGCCAAGGGAGCTGAAGAGTACGGAGTGTCTTGCCGGGTACTCTCTGTGTGCTAAGCGTTGTCTACTCTCGAAGGGGTGTATAGAGAGTTGAGAATATAATTGGTACGGGGATGCAGCCTGTCTGTGTGCAAAGGGCTATAACTCAAAAGAAAGAGATGAGGGGTGGGGGTCAGGGGGAGGGAGGGAGGATAAAACACCTGCCATTTAAAAACTAACGGAAAGCAAAACAGTGTAAGCGAAAAGCTTGTCCGCCGGTAAAGAGGTTCAACTCCGGCGAAAGATCTCCTGAAAATGTTTTCCTTTCCAACACAGAAATGAGAGGTACTTTGTTTTTTTTGTTTTTTGCACTTTTGAGGTCGCCGGTGTAGACGCGCAATGAACGAACGTAAGGGCGTGTTTTACCACCGCAACGTGGGTGCAAGCTAAAGAAGAAGAGGGAGGGGGAGAGCACGTGAGGTACGAGTTACGAGCTTAAGACAGAGCGCCAGAGTAGCGAGAACCACCACCACTACGACAACCAACTACTAAAGATGCAGAGACACGAGTCAAACGCCGTTGCACACAAGAAGCGCGTACGCGTACACTACCGCGTGTTTCGCTGCGCTCGCATCGGCGGAAAGAAAGAGGAGAGAAAACAACATCGCTGTTATCGTCCCTTAGCGAACGTCATCTCCTGCTTCGCCTTCAAACACACATGGCAGAAGTCACGTGGGACGGGGTCGCTTCTCTCAGTGTCAAAAAAAGTTTTCAGTTTTTTCCTTTATCTGCTCCCAACAAACACACACACACACACACAAAGCTCCCGCCACAAACCCATCCATCCACGCAGATACGTTAGAGGAAACAGAACTGCCCTTTTCTTCTTCTTTTCAAAATGGTTTCTTTATCTCGCTCTTCTTCGTAAATGCATAGCGCTCCGTTGTGCTACCAAGGTGTCGGCTCTCTCCACCCCAGCTATCGGAGGGTCACGCCGGAGCCCGCTGTGCGCTGTGCAGGGCCAGAAAATGTACTACGTCCACTATCCCTAGAAGAAAAAGAAAGAGAAATCGATGGGGAACGATAGAGAGACGAGAGGTGGATGAAAGGCGGCTGGCGGGTGCCGTTGCCTCACGCAGCGGCCTCTCCACCTCTGCCATTCCGTTCCTCCACATCCTTGCCAATGTCGTCTTCCCCTCAGTTGCATCGCCCACGCCTAGAAAAGAACTCTCTACGAGAAGAGCATCAGGAAGGCGAGCATCAGGGCGAACAGCCCGATGGCCTCCGTCAGGGCAAAGCCAAGAATGGCGTAGTTGAAGAGCATCTTCGTCAGGTTCGGCTGGCGAGCGCAGGCGATCAGCAGGGAGCCGAAAATCGTACCAATACCCATACCCACACCAGCCAGAGCGATGGCGGCCAGGCCGGTGCCGACGTAGTGCAGGCCCTGAACGGAGATGGCCACGGTGGAGGCCTTGCGGGGGCACACGACCAGCGCACTGGAGGCGGCGGCCACACGGCGGGCGGCGGGCTGAGCGAGAACACGGCGCATCATCTTGATTAGAGGTAATAGGCCGGAGGGGCGGGTTGACAGATATGTTCAATCGACTGCGCGAAGGAAGAAAAAAGAATGCGGTAGATACGCGTGCGTGTTACGTGCGAGCTCGAAAGCGATATGTAAAAGACCTCCTGCATGACGTACCAGTAGAAAGAGGAGAGCAAACAACGCCGCAGCATAGGCGTGAAGAGCGTGAAGAGGTAGAGACGGTGGTGGCGCGGTGTGTAACGGACGAGGGCTAGTTCTATTCGCTTTGAGAAACGGTGTAGCTGCTTCGCAAACACACACACACACACACACACACACACACACTAACATATTGGCTTTCCCCTTCGATGCGATTAACGTCGCTGCCTTCCTGCAGCTCATATAAGCGTCTTCGAGCGCAGACACAGGAAGTAGGAACGCCGTTGAGGTGCGGCTGTTGCTGACAAGTCACATCCATCAAAGCGCGGGTAGAGAACTGGAAGGGGCAGGTTATGCGACTCAGTCTCACTCGAGCATGGTCATGCTTGCAAATAATAATAATGCTAATGATTTGGTTTTCCTTTCATAGGTGCCTAACGGCTTCCGTTGAGAAGCACAACCCTTCCACTAAACCATACTATTCTTTTTTCCATTCCTCCGATAACAGAGCACTATCAGAAGTACAAGCCCATCCCGACCTGTACCTCTCGCTCTGCAGCTATTAACAAACAACAAAAATGCCTGAGAGAGAGAGAGAGAGGCCGTTTTCTTCACCTTTCGGCGGACACGTCACTTCACAAGAGAAAAGGAAAAGGAGGGAAGAAATGCGTACATCGAATGCTCCGCCATCGACGGCGGAGTGCAAACTCCGCCCCGAGTGGACACGCACCAACAAAAACCTACGTTATGATTGCACCGGAGGTACACGTGACTCTAAATGCGGCCGACACCTGGGATGCAACGAGAAGTGCTTCATTGTGAAATCAGCCGCACCCCAAAACATCTGAACACTCCGCTAGAAAATTGCGACCCATTGGACACATGCACAAAGCACACCAATACACGTTCTCGCGTCCTTCAAGATGTCCACATCAGCCTCTTTACGAGAAGAGCATCAGGAAGGCGAGCATCAGAGCGAACAGCCCGATGGCCTCCGTCAGGGCAAAGCCAAGAATGGCGTAGTTGAAGAGCATCTTCGTCAGGTTCGGCTGGCGAGCGCAGGCGATCAGCAGGGAGCCGAAAATCGTACCAATACCCATACCCACACCAGCCAGAGCGATGGCGGCCAGGCCGGTGCCGACGTAGTGCAGGCCCTGAACGGAGATGGCCACGGTGGAGGCCTTGCGGGGGCACACGACCAGCGCACTGGAGGCGGCGGCCACACGGCGGGCGGCGGGCTGAGCGAGAACACGGCGCATCATCTTGATTAGAGGCAATAGTTCGGAGGGGCGGGTTGACAGATATGTTCAATCGACTGCGCGAAAGAAGAAATAAACCTGAGATGCTTGGAATTCACTGATGGGACGGGCGCAGGAGTAAAGAGCGTGGCATATTCGCAGAGAACCCGTTAGATAAAAAAGAAGAGAAAACACCGTTTTTCACAGTGAAAGACGGAGGAGAGAAGTGTGAGCAGAACAAACAACAACGACACTCGCAACTACGATTTGAATTTCCAAAGAGGACGAGCGCACATACTGCCTCTGCATCGCTAGAGCCAACCGCGTTGCCATCCCATAGAGCCGATCTTCGGTACACGAGCGTTGATTTTACCTTCCTCTATTTTCTCTCCTTTGCTGATGCGGGACGCTCATTTAGTCCGCTTTACTTTCGATTTTTGCCTTCAATTTTTTTGTCTCCTAACGAAGCGGTCTTATTTACGGTTAGTGGTTTAATCGTTGAGCGCAATGCGGGCAGCCTCGTCTTCGTCGTGCTGTACGGACGTGTTTGACGCAAAGCGCCGTGCCTCTTCTTCTTATCATGAAGCTGCACGGATACGTACTAGGGAAAAACCGATGTACCGGCGACGCACCTCTGCCGCTCCGCCTCACGGAAAGCGTACACCAACACACACACACACTCTCTCTCTCACCACACGCTAATCGCGACGACGTCTGCCGCGGATGTCAAACATACCACGCGAGACTTCCTGAAATGGGTTGGTGCCCTCAAACGGATCGGGGGCCTTTTCCTTCGACTTGACCTTCTTCACCTTGCCGCGGTCCATCTCCATCTCCCACATCGGGTCGCGGATGCGTTGCTGAAACTTCGGTGCCGTCGCAGGCCTCTTCACCGTGTCGGGGGTGCTGCGCACCTTGCGGGCGTGCAGCGCACTCACCGCGTGGCGGCCCACCCGGAAGTTGGGAGGTGCCGTCGTGCGGCTGCTGTGGCCGTTGCTGTGAGCATCGGGGCTGTCTGCAGCCGTGTCGCTACCGTGGGGCATGCGCTTCATTGACTTGATGAGGCCGCCGTACATGAAGGACTTGACGCTGCGTGGGCCTGCTAAAGAAGAGGCGTCTTGCTCCGCCTCCTCCTCCTCCTGTTCCGGCCCATCACGCTCCTGTTGTTCTTCGCCCTCGTCCATATGACTCTTCTTGTGGTGTTGGTTGTCTTGGCCACTGTGGCGCTGCTCGGGTGGCGGACGCAGACGCCGCATGTACGCGCCGTCGCGTTGCTCGTTTGCCTCTTCATTGTCGTCGCTGTCGGAGTCGGTGGGCAGCTCCTCGCGCAAACGCTTCTGATTCTGCGCACAACCTACCGGCATCGGCGGCTCCGCTCCGCCGCCCTCCCCTTCCGATTCACTTTCCGAGGCGTCCCTGGCGGTTTGATTCTGTTTCGGTGCCGCTGCTGCTGCCGCCGTTGGTGGTGGTGGTGGTGGTGTCTGCGTGGTCGTGCTTTGCGCGTCACGACGGCGCTCCTCGAGCAGCGCCTGAAGCTCCGCCCCGCTCAATTCTCTTCCTACCCCGGCGTCGCCCTCCGCAGGCTCAGCGGGCAACGCGTCGGTCATAAATGCCGATGCGCGCCCGTTGACCGGCTGCATCGCACCTGGCAAGCGCACTTTCACGGGTGCCGGCGAACGCGCCGGTGCAGCAGGCTTCGTTTTCCCCGTAGAGGGGACACGAGAGTAGCACAGCAGGTACGCCTGTGCGCGTTGCAGCTGCTCTTCGGAGAGGCGGCTGACGTGGCTGTCGTCAAACTTGTACCACATCCCATTCGACGCCCTTGCCATAGCGTAGTAGTGGCCGTAGTTGATGGAGCTGCCCTCGTGCACGCAGATCGCGTTGAGCTCGTACTGGCAATCCTCTCTGACCTCTTGCGGGGATGGAGGGGAGGAGAGGGTGGACGAGGACGACGGCAGCGGTGTGCAGTAACGTGTGATGTCGAGTTCCAGGGGAAACTGCACGTGCTTATTGATTTTACTGCCTGTGGGCCCGAAGCGCTTTAAATGGATCATCAGCACAGGTGGTGGGACGTGAATGCTAAACTTCTTCCTCGCCCGCACGCCGACCTCGCGCGGGGAGTGGTAGCAGCGGCCGTCCAGTTCCTCTGCCATGCAAAACTTGTCAAGGCAATGCATCAGCGTGTGGCCGGCCAGCTCCACGGAGAGGATCGTGAAGGGGTCGTAGGTGTTGGAGTACAAGGTTTGGGTGTCCAACCCATGCCGAGATGCACGGTGCGTCGAGTGTTCCTGCTGCCTCGCTTGCCTCGCCTCCAGCTTCAGGTCCATCGCCTCCTGCTGCTTCCCGGCCCGCAACAGCTGCTGAATTTCCTCCTGCCGCGACCACGTAACCTGGGAGAGGAGATAGCCCCCACAGATGCGGTAGAGGGCTGTGGTGTGCGCCACGCGCGGCTGCACCTTCTTGGAGCCGTTCAGGCGGTGCAGCAGCGACTTCTGGCACGAAAAAAGGAGCTGCACGGCGAACTCGTGGGCGTCGCTTTGCCGGCCAATCGAAAAGTGTTTCGAGAGAAGGCGGAGGTTGCCCATGATTTGACCAGGGCGGTAGGCGCCGGCGATGCTGTTCCCCGCCCCACGCCCAGGCTGCGCGGCGTGGTGCATCCTGCGGAGCGTCTCGGCCAGGGCGAAGCAAAAGTCAAACGGAGCCCCCAGTTGATTATCCGCGGAGCGAAAGGTGGTCATTAAGTACTGCGCCAAGGCGGGAGTGTGGGCCAGTGCTTGCAGCACGCTGTTCGCGAAGCACGTGTTGCCCAAATTCACGAGGCCCAGTCCGACCGGAGTGATGTGCTGCCAGCGGAGGTGCAGGCTGCTGCGGAGCTGAGCGTCGGAGCAGAGCTGCGTGGTCTTGTCGATGCGGCGCGGGTCGTCGTCATCGTCATCGTCGCTGTCACCGGTGCTGCTTAATGCGGCGTGTTGGCTACCAACACCGTCGACGTCGTCCCCTCCATTGTCAGCGTCACGGTTGTGGTGGTGGTGGAGGGAGTCCTTGAGTTGGCGGGTGTGCTGCGGGTTGAGGACGATGGCGCTGCGCGGGTACTCGACGACGTGCGGCTTGCGGTACTGCTCAAACTCAACCTTGCGGAAGAGGATTTCCTTCCCCGCAAAGCCCAACGAGCGGCTGTGTGCGACGTCCATATCGAAGTGCTTCACACGATTACGCCTTACAGCGCCAACGCACGGGCGGAAGACACGACCGCAGTGGCGAAGAAGAAACCCTTTACTGGACGTTGTGGGAAGGTGCGTGAAGGCAGCTGCGGCCTCTTAATAACAGCGTCAACAAACCAGAGAAAGAAGTAAAGAAGCAACGGAGTTGGTACGCAGCAGTAAAACACAGCTAGCCACACCGTATGTGTCGCCCGACTTCCGGGCTTTGACCTTTTCTTTGGATGGAGATGTTTTACTTCGTTACTGTTGTCGGAGGGAGATGGAGGGGTCTATGTGCAAAGCGCAAGAATTCTAGAGGGCCGCAAACGCGTACGTCAGGGGCGAGTGTGTGCGTATCTGCGGGTCCGTGTGTATCTGTGTGTCCAGCGCACCGCTGATCGCTTTCTGGGAGGCGGAAAGCGAGTGGGGCTTAGCAAACAGGGCAGAGTACGAAGATGAACCGGACAGCTGGAAAGACGTGCCAGCGGCGGGGAGGGGGCGAAGAACGGAAGGTGATTTCTAAACCACATAACAGCACCATCAACTCTACTGAGTAAGGCACGAGACTCAAAACAAGGAAGTGTGCATTTTTGGGGCTCGCCCCCGACCTCATTCACTCATAAGAGAGATGTTACGATAAGCATGACGTGCGCTGCTGAGCTGTTAGCCATCATTATCTTCTTTTACCTATTTATTTTGACGACGCAGACGGTGGAAGAATGAGCGGAGGAGATGTGAGGCACCACCCAAAGTCGATGTAAACGGTGCTGTTCCCTTCAGCGTAGCTGTCAGCTGCTTCTCCTGCCCCACTCCGAGATCACTCCGCCACCACTACAGTGAGCGGCTCGTCAGCCTTTTTCAACCGTCTGCGCCCCTTCGCCGTTACTGACAAGCCTGAACAGAGTACGGCGCGCCGCGCCGCTGGTGGCAGTTGAGGTTGGCGGGATAGCAGCAGAAGAAGCCGCCAGAGGAAAACCACCAGCAGGTGCAGCAGCCAGAGTCAGCGGATGCGGCGCAGAGACATGGTGGCGCGAGAGTGCGGACGGCGAGGACGACAGCGCAGACGTTGGCGTAGACACCACTGCGACGGAGGAAGAAGGCACCGCACCCTGCTGACTCTGTTCCCCACGTGTGTGAGAGTTCCGTAGCGGTGCGGGAGCTACGAGAGGGGACTCGCCGAAATGCCGCAGCGGCGCCGTTGTGGCCGCGTGTGCTTGGCCAGAAGGACCACCGCGACTGCCGCCAGGCTCAACATCGCTGCGCGGACGCTTGAAATGCAGGTTTGGTCGCAGCGGAATGCTGACGGCACCAACGTTGCTCAGCGGAGCTGCAGCAGAAGGCACGGTACGACTGCCGTTGTTGCAGCTGCTGTTGAGAGGTACATCAAGAGCCGCCCGTATGTATGTTGGCGGCTGAGATGCGATGGGAGGAGCGACAAGAACAGGTGGTGCGCTGACGTAGGGTACGTCCGCTGCGACCGCGGTGGCGCTTGCCGACGTCGCTGCTAATGATGCGGATGTGGAGGTGGAAGTGGAAGATGAGCCGAGCGTGAACACGGTCCGCCGTGGTGGTGGCGCTGCCGCCGTCGCCGTCGCAGCCGGGGAGGTCACCACGATGAACGGGGCAAGAGGAAGTGCGATGTGGGATGCAGATAACGGCTGCATCGCTGTTTGCGTTGAAAGTCCTTGTGGCGCACAAGACGTGGTGGTAGTAGTGGCGTCCGTGAGGTCCACGATAACTGGGTTTAAGACGGACGTGGCGGCACGACTCGACACCTGAAGAGGCGGTTTAGACGAGGTCTGCCGCATGAGGTCCAACACGGAGGTCGCTGCGGTTGCCGAGGGGGCGGAGGTGCAAGGAAGCGCTTCCTCACGCGCCGCACCGGGTTTCACTCCACGAGGCGATGCACCAGCGGCGCTCGTGGCGGTGGCGGCCGCCAACGACGCAGCGGCGGAGGAGAGTGAGGTACCGTGCTTGTGCGGCCGCGGGAGTGCGTCCGCGTAGGCGTTGCCCATATCCGCAAAAGAGACGACGAGGGACGGGGCAACTGGTGTGGCGGCGGCGGCAGCAGCAGCAGTCGTTGTAGCTTTCAGGTCACCGTGGCCACCACCAGCAATAGAGCAGCTGCCTCGTGGCAAGGACAGTGGACTGCCCATGAGACCGTTAGAGAGGCGCTGCGCCGGGCTGCTCGGTGTCAGCACAAGCCCAGGCGTCTCGACCGCATCACGCTCTGTCGAACGAAGGGAAGATTGATGTAGCAGTGGTGGAGAGAGCACACTGAGACGCAGCGCTGGATTCAATGGCGGCGCCGCATTGACTGCCGTCGCTTCCTCTCCTTTCATCGACTGCGACGGCGAGGGCGGTGGCAGGAAGCGGTCCAGTGTGCTCTGCTGCGACGACGACGGCGTAGACGCCGCGGTGCTCATGGCCGCAGAGGCAGCGACGACGTCACGCCGTGCGACGTTCTGCTTGTCTGCCCCATCATGCAGCTGCACCTCCGCTGCGCTGCCGGTGTTCTCAAACATGGCCGTTGTAACACTCAGCTTCGTCTGCAGGAGTGGCCAAATCACGCTATCGGACGTGCCCTCCGCGAGGAGGTACTTAATATGGCACGGCTGCGCCTGTCCGATGCGGTGCACGCGATCCTCGCACTGCAGATGCGTGCTGGGGTTCCAGTCCAGCTCCGTGAACACCACCGTGGAGGCGCAGGTGAAGTTGTGCCCCGTCCCGCTCGACTGCATGGAGAGGATGGCCACCGTACACGTTGGCTCTGTGCGGAAGTGCTCTGCCGCCGGTTCGCGCTGCGCGGCGGGGGTGTCGCCGGAGATGTAAATGTAGTCGATCGGCTGCCGTGGCCGCACCGCTTCCACCGCGGCCTTCAGGGCCTCCATCATGCATTGATGGTGGGCGAATAAGATGAGCTTCTCGCCTGAGTCGAGGTGCTGCTCGACGATGCTGCCGACGTAGTCCTGCACAGCGGGTATCTTGGCGCGGGCGGTGGCCATCTTCATCTCGAACGCGTTTGGTGTCCGCGCCGCAAAGTCCGCACTCGCACCACCTCCACCCGTCAGGGCTGATGAGCAGCTGGGGCCCGACGACGCGGCAAGGCTGCGCCGCAGAGCGACGATTTGCTTCTCCAGCGCCTTCTTTTCCTTGTCCGTGATGTACACGTAAAGCAGCTGCCGCGACTTGGACGGCAGCTCGCCGCCCAGCTCCTTCTTGGTGCGTCGAATCATGTAATGCCGCAGCAGGCTGTGCAGCTCGTCGGTGTGCGAGTGCCCTGTCATGTCGATGCCGAAGCGGCTAACATAGGAGTTGCAATAGCGCGCGCCGAAGTGGGCTTTGCTGGGGATAATGCCGGGCTGCATCGCCTGAAGCTGCGCGTACAGCTCAATCGGGCGCGACATCGCCGGCGTGCCGGAGAGCAGCAGCACACGTCGACTGTTGCGGCAGATCTTCAGCGAGAGCTGCGCGCGTTTCGCGGCGCCCGCCTTGATGTAGTGCGACTCGTCCAGGATCACAACGTGGAATTGTGCCTCCTCGACACACTTCAGGGAGTTGTAGGAGACGATGACGACGTCGTGCAGACTCGTAGCTTTGGCCTTCGTGCCCTGCAGAATGGCGATGCGGGCGTAGGGGATGCCGCAGAACCTGTTGAACTCCTTCGCCCAGTTCTCCAGCAGCGACATGGGGCACACCACAAGCACCGGCCATTCGTCGCGGTAGTGGTGGGCCACCGCGATGGCCTGCACCGTCTTTCCGAGTCCCATGTCGTCCGCGATCATCGCACGACCTTGGTGCGCCAGCACAAACCGCACGCCCTCTTTTTGGAAGGGCTTTAGTTGACGGAAGACGCAGTCGTCGGGGTCAGGGCGGCGCGCACGACCGGCCGCGACGTCTTCCGAATACCGCAGCGGTATCTGTCGCAGCCGTTCCACACAACGGAAGTAAAAGCACGGGATTTCCTCCAACGCGGCGTTGGGCAGCGCGCGTGCCTTGAGCACATTGACGAGGCGGCTGTACTGCGACATGGGGTAGAGGAACGCCCGGGCAGTCGTGTACCACGCCCCCTCGAACTGTGGATCTTGCAGCACCTCTCTTCGCAAGGATTCCCACCGCGATGGATCGCCGTGCACGCGGAGCATAAACGCAGCCGCGTCCTCGTGCGCTGGGTGGACGAGTGCCTCGAAGCGCATGACGACGCCGGTGTCTAGGGGTGGGCTGCCCGGCGCGCCAAGCGTGACGCGCGTGTAGCCGTCGCACTGAACAGGGGCTAAGGCGTAGAAGCGGCAGCGCCCGAGGCCGCAGGTGTAGCACGGCTTGCCATCCCGGCTGATCAGATAACGCGCAGGGAAGTCACAATTGCAGTTCATTATCGAAGAGAGAGGGGAGGGGAACTATGCAGTGGGCAATAAGGCACCGTGGAATACAGCAAGACACATACACTAACACTCGAGGCGGGCAGGTGTGGGCTTGAATCGAGCGTGCACACCCGTGTTTGTTCTCTCTCTCTCTCTGCGCCGTTGACAACTTCCGATAGCTCGGGTGGCACGGATTAACTAAAAAACAAGAAGAAAAGGATTGACCTCTTCGAAGCGCTTCGCGCCGTTGCTGCTAGGATCCTTTCCTTCGGTGCAAGCAGGAGGAGAGGGGAGGGGGGGGGGGGAGAAGAAGGCGGTGAAGGGATCAAACCTATGCGAGGGGAGGAGAGCGTGTATGTGGTGTGAGAGTTTGTGTGTCGCGAGGAGCAGCGTCTATTTCGTGCGAAGGCGAAGGGCAAATTATCGGAAGTGTAATCAATCTAATAATAATAATAATTGTGAGTAGAAGGCACCAGTAAAGAGCGCCATCAAAGGATGTCCTTCTATGCGTTTGCGCCTTGTTTTTAGGTATTCTTTATTATTTTAAATACTTCTTTGTGATACGCGTGGCAGATGCGGTGAGAAGACGAAGTAGAACAGAAGCGCCTTACGAATAACGTGGCCCTTCCTTTCACTCCTTTGGTGCTGGGCGGGTGAGGCGGGGAAGGAGAAGAAACGAATGGTGCGAGATACGCTGGCGATGTCCGTCATCTGTGCGTGTTCGTGCGTGTGTAATACCACTGAGATAAACAAATTCAAAAAGCGATATCCAAAAACCGCCCAGCGGATTTCTCGCGATGCGACATCGTCAAACTCTTCATTATTATTCTTCTTTGTTTTTTATTGTGAGGGCTTTAAACGTTCCTATGGAAAAAAAAAGAAAAGAGATATTCATTCGTTAGTGCTTTAGGTATTAACTTAGAAAAGGCGCCCATCTCACGATGCAGGCGTCAACGGTTCGCCCATCGGCCCGCTGGCGCAGACCACTACCACACACGACATCTCCTGCCCTTAACAAAACAATCAAGCAAAAGACGTGGTGGTGGTGGTGGTGGTAGCATTGCTCTGCGTAGAAGACAAAAGAAAAGAAACATACACGTGCCGTCGAGCACCGACGCATCTGTCAAAGCTGCGAAAACGTCCTCATCACGAGCCGGCATTGGCACCACGCGGCGGAGCCAGATCGGAAGGGAACAATACAGCACCCATAAGCTCTCATCCCAGAACAACCGACAGTACGAGTCACACAAAAGGTGAGCTCCTCTCCCACATCATGCACTTGGAGTGTGGCGCACACCTACACCACACCCTCCGCCTTCACGCGCTTCAGCGATGTGGCCGGCCTCCCCGCCAGTGCCGCGGTAGAAGTCGTCTCACGGTTGCGCTTTCCGGGCTTCGTGGCGGACTGCACAGGAGCAACGTGAGACGACGAGGACCCCGTCGTGCTCTCCCCGATCTTGCCACAGTCGTCCGCTGCCGTCGCAACATCCCGAGAGCGTAGCGCGCGCTCGCACCACGCGATCACCTCGTCGAAGGCGTCGAGGACGTCACGCGCCGTCACGTGCGCCTCCACCACCCACGCCCGAAGCAGCCGCAGACTCTCTGCCAGCTGCTCGACCGACGGCGCGCTGATGCACGCGGTGTCGGAGAGCGCTGTGGTGTGCAGTGTGCCAATGCACAGCACTCGCAGCAGTCTCAATGTGTTGGTGAACGTGAGTCCACTATAGGGGTACGGGGCGTCCACACCGTATTCCTTGCAAAGCGCCCACAGGAAGCTGACGGTCCACATCAGCGCATTGCCCTGCCTGGCGAAGAGACGCGTCAGGGCGGCAGAGCGTGTGCACAGGTCCAACAGGCAGCACATGTACGTCGCACGTTGGGTGTCCGAGGCGGTGAGGAGGTCGCACAGGAGCATAAGTCCGTTCACGCTGTCGGACTCTAGCAGAGCTGCACCATCCTGCGGCACCTCACAAGCGTGTCGGAGCAGCCGCAGCATAAATTCAAGCTGAGGTGGTATGCCTTTCCGCAGCTCCTGCGCCACGTCTGCGGCGGATGCCTGGGTGATGTTGCTGCCACCACTGCTACCGAGTCTATACGCGCGCTGCTGCAGCGCCGCCTGCTTCTCCAACATCAGCGGCACGCTAATAGCGGTGAGGGGCGGTGTGTTGGTCCACTGCACAAACGGGATAGCTACCGTGAGCGCCGTGTCGATGTGGAGGAGGTGATGAATGAGGTGGTGGTGCAGGGCGTCCTCGTAGCGGCCAAGCGGGCGAATCGCCGTCATGAGAAAGACGGCGAGGGGGGTGGGGAGGCGGGGTACGACGGTGTCTTCCATCGCTGCGCCGGACTGCTTTGGCAGAGGAGTAGGAGGAAGAGGATGTGCTGCTGTCGCGGAAGCCGCGAGTTGACAGAGCTTTAAGCGAGCCACACTCACCACAATGCGAAGGGTGCCCTTCGGGATGTACAAGGTAGCCAGCGTCGTGGCCGCGGCTGCGCGCAGCTGTGCGTCGATCGAGGTCAGGCCCTTCAGCAATAACGGAATCACACGACCAGTCGGAAGGTGTCCGAGGCAGGCCGGCGGGAGCGCGGCCACGCGATGCAGAAGTGGGACGATGTATCGCATGTCCAGCACGTCGCTGGAGGTCAGTCGATCTAGATTTGTGACGTCCACATCGTGCATACCGTACAGCTCGGGATAGACGCCACACAGCACGTCTTCCGCTGCATCAACGACGCTGCACGAACTCTCTTCGCTGTTCGAGCTGGCGTTGCTACTGTTGTTTGAGCGACGGTGAAGGAGGCCGTTGTGCAGCCGCGACGAGACGCAGAGCGCCATACGCGTCATGTCCTCCTCTGTCAAGGTGTCGAGGTGCCACGACAGCATCTCCACCTCTGCGGTACGGAAGGCACTGGGAGTGTGACCGGCTAAGAGAAAACGACGCTGCACCAACGCCTGCGGCACCGTCGCACCGTGGCAAACAAATCGCTGCCGCACGTCATCACCACCTTCACTGATGAAGCTGCAATGCTTGTCGTGCTGTGTCTTGTCGGGGCGACGACCACGATGGTGCGGGCTGCTGCCGTGCACCGTGGCCTTCTCTTCGTCGTCCAGTTTCACGGCTTTTGCCACCGCAGCTTCCCCTGCGTGTGTTGGGGCGTGGAGGAGGTAATGCAAGGACAGACACACGGCATAGCACAGGCGATCATGCACACTTAGCCCACCCATGTAATTGGACAGGCAGAGTGCCCCCAGCGCATCTCCTTCAGACTGCGAAAGCATTTCCACTTCTTCGTTGTGCGCCACTGTAGGGCTTAACAGAACTCGGACGCAGACGAGCAGCAGCACCAGCAAGCCCGTTGTTGACCCGTCGTGCGCGTTGTTAGAGGCACCGAGAACAGCTTCCACCTCGGCGCGCTGGACCAAAACAGCGCGCACCAGTCCAAGGGCCGCCGCGCGCGTCGTTTCGGATGCGTTGTCCTCTGTGTGCTTCCTTTCCTGATGGCGAAGCAGGGCCAGCAGACGGCCAGCGACGTGCCAGCACACCGAACTCATCGCATACCAGCGCGGCCCCTCTCGCGACGGCTTCGCATCCTTTGCGTGTACAGTTCCCGTAACACCAAGCGCTGTGCAGATGCGCTGCACGTCGTCCGCCGCTCCGTCCGCCTCTGCGCTGGGTGTACCCCGCACTGCGTGCAGCTGCGTCAACAACGTCATCGCCGTCTCTTCCTCGGGCAGCGGCAGGACTGGACTGTGGAGGGTCACGACAAAGGTGCGTAGTTGCTGCACGGCAGAGGGGACGGCGTGATTGGTCGTCTTCACAAAGCCGCGCTGCCGGTCCGCCAGCACTAAGACGTCGATGCACTGCTGCTGCGTCACGCGATAGGCACTCGTGTCTTGCTGAAGGCGGGCTGATGCTTCGTGTAATACGGTGTCCCGCTGAGGCCACTGCTGCTGGACGTGCTGAACGACGACCTCGAACTCGGCGAGAGCGGCGTGCAGGTGGGTCCCCCACAAATTGCCCCCCGTCCCATCCGCGTTGCCGGTCTTCCTGTCCCTTTCCTTCGCTTGTACGCCGCGCCCACCACGCGACCCTGTCACTGTCGTCGTCGTCCCTGACGCGTCGTCTGTCGTCGCTGCCGCACCCTTCTGCGACTCCTTCTCCTTTGTGCGCTCAATGAAGTGCTGTGCGGCTGCCATCAAGACGCCAAAGTTGGCCTCGCGCAACTCGTGCGTCACGCGATCCGCCGCCTTCGAAAGACTGCGCATAAGGAGATGGTTCAGCACGTGCAAAAGAACAGGAACCGTGTTTGGCGTCAGAGCTGACAGCCACAGGTGTGCTTCGGCCAAGGTGCAGGTCGAGTGGATTGTGACGCTGTGCACCGTCCACAGGAGCAGCTGCGCCGCCCACCCCGCCGCCCGCTCTTCCGGTGCCGCGAGCTGCGGCTTGGAGTGGTGGTGCGTCACCCACAGCAGAACGCTCAGCAACAGCGGCCACTCGCTGATGCCCTGCGCCTGTGACATGTTTACGTGGTGTAGCTTCACCATCGGCACGCGGCGTTGGTGGCTGGCGACGAGCAGCTCGCACAACATAGACACACTGGCGGCGGGCCACAGGCGCAGGATGTCATTGTGCTGCTGCAGCGCGGTCGTGATGGGGTGCTGAGAGGACAACATACCCTTGTCTGTATGCTTTTCTTGTCTGCTATGTGTTCCTGCCGTGGTGGACGTGGGCCCTGCGGTCAACATCTGGCTCAGGTTAGGGAGGAAGTTGGGGACAGCGCTGAGCCATGGAGCACGCACATCAAACACGTCTACGTAGTTCTTCATGAGCAGCAGCATGCGTTGCGTCACCACGTGCACCTTCGTGAGGACAGCATCGTTCGGGGTGCTCATGGTGGAGGTGAGGATGTGGTGTAGTTGCTGCGTCATGCGATGCCAAAACTCTTCCCGGCTTGGCAGGGCGGCGAGGAGGTGATGGCGCACCTGCGCGTTGTACGTGTCCCACACCTCCGCTGCAGCATCGTCGTTGCCGTGCAGCGCGGCGAGGTCAGCGTCGGAGAAGGTGATCGACTCGGCGGACTGAACTTCCTTTGCACCGTCTTCTTCATTACCATTGCTGCTGCTGAACTCGCAGCCCACACCCCCTGCTGCCTTCTTTCGCATCTCGGCGGCGCGCTGGGCAGCCTGCACCAGCGGCAACACCCGCTTGGCACGCATCAGCGCCGCCTGCGTCATCTGCATGGCGAGGGCTAGCAGGAGTAGATTGGTGGAGCCGTTGATGAGGCGGTGCACGTACTCGGCCACCCACGCAGGGCACACCTCATCCGCGACGTCGCGGGGACACATGGTGTAGAAGGTGGAGGTTTTGGCTGCCGCAGGCTCGAGCTGCGCCTGACCAGCCGTCAAGTGATGGGGTATGGGAGAGAGAAAAGCACGGGTCATTAGGTTAATGACGGCCACGCGCGCCGTCGTTGGCGCCACGCCGTGCGTGCTGCCCTCCTCTGCCAGGTGCCCCGACACACGAATGAAGTAGGGTCGTATCAGATCCGGTGCCCGCTGCAGGACGTGTAGAACTAGCCCCGCCATCCGCTCATTTGCCTTGGGCCGAAGCTGGCGGAGGAGAAAGAAGAGGAGGTAGTTGGGCATGCCGTGATCCTCCAGCGACTCGACACGCGTGCTGGCGTAGTCGGCGGGGGACTCGATCGTCTCGTCTATGACGGCGTACAGAATGCCCGCGGCGTGGTCCGCCACGGGGTCGAACTCGAGAGCGCGGACCAGCAGACGGAAGATGTTGCGCTGCGCCAGCAGCACGCGCCGCTTCTGCTCGGACGTGATGTCACGACTCTGCACAAAGTGCTCCCGCACGACGCGCAGGGCCTCCATGGAGCACGCCACTCCGGCACTCGTGCCCTCGCGCAGCAGCTCCGCGGCGTCCTCGAGAAGGTGGGTCAGCACGCCGTGGCTGCAGATCGTCTCGGCCACGGCGTTGTTCATCGGCGATGTGATGAGCTGCACGAGAAAGCCAAGCCGCACGAGACGGACACGTCGCTGACCGTAGGTGAGCTGGAGACGGAAGGCAGATAAATGCAGCGGCACGTCTGCGCGGCGCGGCCCGGCGGATGTCGCGATGCCGCTGTCGGTGTGCGAGTCAGCGGGACCGCGGAGGCGTGCCAGCACGAGCAGCGGTGCATCCTTCACCGCTGCAGTCAGAAACTGCAGCGCGGCGATGACGTGGGAGAGTGAGGTGTCTGTGAGGGTCGCCAGCGTTCTGCGGAAGAGGGCAACGCAGTCGCCGCGCAGCACCTCGCGGACAAGCGCGACGCGGCCACCACGCTCGGTGAGGTGGGTCAGGACGGCCGTTAATGTTTGCACGGTAGCCGCAAAAAAGTCTGGCTTCAACAACGTGGCTCGTATGGCCTGCATCGCCTCTTCCTGCTGGGTGATGGCGGTAGCGAGGGCGGCGCCTTGCTCGTCGTTCGCCTGCACCGCATGGCGAATCTTCGACAGGCCCTCAAGAACGGTTTCTTTGTACTTGGACAGCAAATGCCCAATCAGGGGCTCCACAAGCGCCATCTTTTACAAAAGAAGAAAAGGCGAAAACCACTTTCGGTGGGAGGAGGCATCGAGACGCAGGCGTTGTAGCGAGAAAGAAGAGATGAAGGCGAAGTGGGGAAGGAAGAGAAAAAAATGAGTTGTTTGCGTGGAAGAGAGGTGACCGTTGTTGCTGTGTGTGGTGGGTGTCTCAACAACTTGCTTGCTGCACACGTCTCTTGGGGAGGTTCTTATGTTGCGTCAGCTCGCGCACCCCCCTGCGTACGCCAAACGACACGAGCGTCGCTCTCGCCTTTCTTGGACACTGTTGGTACTTCAGTGTCACTGAAACGAATCAAAATACCCAAGCTATAAAAAGAAGGGCCGCTAGGGGAATTGAACCCCTGACCTCCCGCACCCGAAGCGGGAATCATACCACTAGACCAAGCGGCCACGTCGTTCGTTTCCGCTGCTTAATAGGGTGAGCGCGATTAAAAAAGGGCTTTGCACTGCCTTGGCGGTTCGCGATCACGGCTGCGCCGTCCGGCACTTTCTTCTCCCCTCCCGCTTCTCCAGCCCCACGTGTCGCCTCCTTCCGCACAGGCGTTTGCGAGCGCCGTCATCAAGTGCCACCGCTGTCGAGAGAACCACTCCATTGTTCCCTCTTACCTTTTCCTTTTCCACGCTTCACCACTTAACCGCTCCCCTGTCACCACGCACGGCGGCCTCTGTTGCCCACCGCCTGTCTCGAGACATTGGGGACGTAATTGGGATCGTAGAAGCAGTCGTCCCGACCGCCTCCAGCACCGCCACCAGCTGCATCCGCACCGGTGTTGGACGGCCGCCACGCCCCACCACGTTCCCAGTCGTCCTTGTCGCCGTTCGCAACACCAGCCGCGTGCCATCCGCCCGCGCGCCCGCGCGCCGAGCTTTGCCGATCGCCGTGATCGAAGCTGGCACCACCCCGCGTTGGCGAGGCCCCGTTGCGACCCCGCCGCGTTCCGTCTCTGAACGGCGGCGCTTTCGCACTATGAACGCCCTCGTGCGCATTATCGCCGTTGTCCACGTGCCGGCCGCGGGCGCTGCGCTCGGTGCTGGCGCGGGGATCGCCGCGGCCACGATCTCGTCCCCCGAGTGGGCCTCCGTCCCCCCAAGCCGAGCCTCGCCCATCGCCGCGACTTGGCGGCTGGGGTGTCGCCGGGTACTGCGGCTCATCGTCATCGCCATCGACGCTGCCGCCGCCGCCTGTTGTTGCAGACGCGGCTGGCGGCGGCGCAGGGAGGTGGCGGAGAATCAGGCCGTAGCCCAAATTGCCCACACCAACGCGGCGAGTCGCCAGCAACGAGAAGGGCGGCACAGCCGCCGGGATTCCCTTCGGCTTTAGCGCGGCTTCCACATTCGACTCTGCAGCTGCGTCTTCAAACGGTGATGTCGCAGCAGCGCTGGGGTCCTCCGCAGATTGCACTGCCGGGGGTGCTTCGCACACGCCGCGCATCCCGCCAGGTCTCCGCGCCTTCTCTGCGTGCGGGATGTGGAGAGGCAGAGCCGCGACTTGCTCCGACGGTGTCGGCAGGTACTTCAAGTGGAGCCTGTCGCCGTCCCAGCGGAAGCGATACACTACGGCCGTCCCGGGGGGCAGGTGACCGACGTGCTTCGCATCCGCAAAGCGCCGCCCACACAGCTCCGCGAAGACCAGTCCGCCGCTGCCGTCCGTCACCCGACCGTTCACGAGACACGACGCCGGCTGCCCTCGCGCACCAGCCGGCAGCCGCAGGCCCAGGTGCGCAGAGACGGTGTCAGTGTTCATCTGCTCCTCCAGCTCGTGCTTCAGCCGCGCTATCGCGCCCCAGTAGCGCACCCAGGCGCTGAAGGCGGTGTGCGTGGTGGCGGAGTCGCAGGTGCGGCCCAGCAGGTCCTCCAGCAGCCAGCGCTGGTTGACCAGGGAGATGTAGTCGCGCAGCGGCCGGTTGGCGATGACCACGAAGTAAGTGCCGGCCATGTCCGGCGTGTAGGGCACGTAGACGTCCGTGACGATGTCGGCGCCGTGCCGGTCCGTCAGCGGCGTGCCCACCGACTGCAGAATGTCGAGGAGCGGTACGCCGTGCTGGTGCAGCGACCGGCTCAGCTCGCACCAGTCCGCGGCGCAGGTGGGCTTGCGGATGCCCAGCGCCGGGTACAGCGCGGCCAGCACGGCGATCTGCGCGTCCGTGAAGGCGGGCACGTTGGTGCCGTAGGGCAGGTAGCACACGACGCGGGCGTGGTGCGACGGGTCGCGTGTGCTGCGTGCGATGATGCGTCGGCGCAGGGCGTCGCTCACGACACGACCGAAGCAGAAGCGTACCACCTGCGACTCCACGTCCGGCAGCAGCTCCTGCTTCACCAGCACCAGCGACTGCGGGTTGCGGCGGTCTGCCACGTCCAGCTGGGTGGTGACGTAGCGGAAGAGCACCGGCAGCCGCGAGTCGTTGAGGGGGTGGGGACTGCGGTCCGTGAGCGTGGAGGTCCACCCCTGGTCGTGCGCGAGCAGGTACAGGCGCACGAGCACGTTGAACTTCTCCTTGTCGCGGTCCTCCGTGAAGGCCGGCATCGTAATCGCGTCCAGTGGTCCGCTAGGGAAGTTGTCCGACAGCTGCTCGTCCGTGACGAGCTCGCTTGCGTGCAGGTAGGAGAAGTAGACACGCGCCTGCTCCGTGTCCTCGGCGTAGAAGGGCTGCTGCCGCCGCGACGCGTCACGCACAAAGACGGTCTCCACGGTGATGGCGGTGCAGTTGCTCTCCGTGGTGAAGCCCTGGTCCGGGGCTCCTTTGGTGGAAGAAGGAAACAGCGACTCGCATGGCGGCGGGCCACATCTGGCACCGATACGGGCGTGGTGCAAAAGGTGGTGCCCTTGAGAGCTGCGTGCGTCCTTCGGCACGAACTGCTTCTTCGTGACCAGGCGAGCGCGTCGATCGTGTACGCTGCCGCAGGGCACGTTGTTTGGGTAGTAGAGGTGCACCCGCACGACCAGCTCCGTGTGACCTCGGGGAAAGCACTCCAGCGAGAGATCGTGCAGCGTGGTTCCGCCGTTATGGAGACAAACCAACACGCGCGTCCAGTGCTCTCCCGTTGCGCCTAAAATGTCGTTTTTGTGGTCGATGCACAGGGCCCGTATGTCGCCCCCTGAGAGGGTGTGTATGCAGCTGTCCCTGTCGCGGCAGTTCACGCCGCACACCCCCAGAAGATGGGCGTCGTCGCCGTGTGCCACCTCGACCCCGCCCTCGCGGAGGCCGGCAACCAGTTTGGCCTGCGCCTCCTTCACGGTTTCGGCGAAGTACGCCACATAGCCCCGGCCTTTATGCGAATGGATGGCACCATCGAGATCCGTCTCGTGGCTTAACGGGGTAACAGTAATGTGCGAGTAGTACGCAGGCGTTTTATAGAGCTGACCGGTCACTGTGTTGTTGCCTGCTGCTTCGCTGCCGGTGACTTTAGCGCCGTCCATCGTTCACGCACATACACACCCGAACAAAGGCCAGCTAAGGTGAAGGACGACGTGCCTCTCGCAGGGAGTGAAGGGTCGTACAAGCACACTTTCTGTTTCCTTTTCTTCAGGTGTACGTAGTACGAAGGGAAGAAGAAGGGACAGGTGTTTACGTTAAATTTACGGAAACGACAAGATGGTCCAGTTCGGGTGCGGGAAACACAAATACGTCCGTGCATTGCTGCACGTTCCGCACGGCCACCACCATACCGAGACGGAGGAGGAGCGAAAGCGCAAAGGAGAGACGAAGGAAAGGTAGGCACGCAGAGGAGACACATTTCAAGGTTGAAATTAGCGTGGGTGGCGAATTGCCGAGTCATCGAGTTCACCGACGGGACAGAGGGGAGAGGGCGGAAGTGCAGAGGACAAAGCTGCACATTCAGACGTCTCTCTCGACCGCTTGCTCTTCATCACAATAGGGACCCGCCATTCATATCCGCAGATGGTGTCTTGCGGTCCGTGCGTAAGAAAGAAAGAGGAAGGGGAGGGGGAGCGATCACGCGACATATAACGTTGGACCTTTCCTGAGAAGAATATGGTGAACCGTGGGGACGAGAACGGCATCGGAAGGAGAAGAATGAACATAGAAGAAAACAAGACGCAAGAGCAAATGGCAATAATAAAAGAGAAGGTATAAGTAGCGTCAAAAGCGGCATGATGCAGACTTCATCTGTACGACGGTTTCGTTTACTCCTCGCTAAAAAAAAAGGGAAGGGTAAAACAGGCACTCGCAAAGATCCCCGCAGCAGGAAGGGGTGGGCCCCCAGCCGTGTTCCAACATGAAAGCGGCGTCACACCACGACTCAAAGGGAGAGGAAAAGAAGCGCTATTCAGCTCGATAGTGAGGGATCATAAATGTAACGATCGTTTCTTTGCAAAAAAAAAAAAGGATGGTGCCCCGCGTAGCCCTCTCGTGACGAGCGGAGAGGATGTTTAGCGGAGTTGAAGGGCATTACCCGAGAGACTACGGCGGCCAAAAACGGAGGAGAAAGGAGGTTGCATGGATGGCGCGACTTACCAATCTCTTCAGTGCAGGAGAGAGAGAAAACTCCGAGAGTTGGCCCCGGTAATAACAACAATGAGCAACGCGGATCACGCGGCCTTTCTCTCTTTAGCACCAATGGCAGAGATGGCCGAATTACACATGAGTATTCTTCTCTGTCCTGTACTCCAGTGAACGTCAGAACCAGGCGGATCGTCATGCGCCACTACCTACCACGAGTGTTTTCGTGACCCCCACGGCCACCTGCATCGCAATACGACGGTTGCAGACTGCCTGCGCCTCGCCCTCTCCTTCCGTACCTTTGTGGCCCTTGTGAGGAGCTTTGTTCCGTTGGCAACGGTGGTGCTGTGCGGGGGGCGGTCATGTAGACAACAACAGGATCGTGGTACCACGGCGGCTGGTGCGTCCACGGTGTCGGTTGCGGCCGTGCATGGTAGGAAGGCTGATCACTTTCGCGGTGGCGCTCGACAGCCGCCTGCGTCACCCTCTGCGCAGTGGCCGCGGGGTGAGAGGTTTCGCCTGCAACGGCACCGGCGTAGCTCACCACCTGATGTTGTTGCGGCTGCTGTCGTCGAGGTGGAGAGACAAGTGCTCTTCGAGAGGTGACAACACGAGCCTTTTCCGGGTTTGCTGCTGCTGGAGTGCACAGTGCGGAGGCCGCCACTGCGCCGCCGTGTCCCTGTCCACCGTCGTGGTTCTGCACGGGCGCTGTCGCGCGTCCAGCAGGTGCCATCCAAGTGGCGCCACGTACGCCCTGTGGCGCGCTGCTATCCAGCTTGCACGCATCCAACGCCCTCACAAACCCGTACGGTCGAGGGACGTAGACAAACCGCAGGGTGTTGCCGTCCCAGCGGAAGCGATACACTACGGCCGTCCCGGGGGGCAGGTGACCGACGTGCTTCGCATCCGCAAAGCGCCGCCCACACAGCTCCGCGAAGACCAGTCCGCCGCTGCCGTCCGTCACCCGACCGTTCACGAGACACGACGCCGGCTGCCCTCGCGCACCAGCCGGCAGCCGCAGGCCCAGGTGCGCAGAGACGGTGTCAGTGTTCATCTGCTCCTCCAGCTCGTGCTTCAGCCGCGCTATCGCGCCCCAGTAGCGCACCCAGGCGCTGAAGGCGGTGTGCGTGGTGGCGGAGTCGCAGGTGCGGCCCAGCAGGTCCTCCAGCAGCCAGCGCTGGTTGACCAGGGAGATGTAGTCGCGCAGCGGCCGGTTGGCGATGACCACGAAGTAAGTGCCGGCCATGTCCGGCGTGTAGGGCACGTAGACGTCCGTGACGATGTCGGCGCCGTGCCGGTCCGTCAGCGGCGTGCCCACCGACTGCAGAATGTCGAGGAGCGGTACGCCGTGCTGGTGCAGCGACCGGCTCAGCTCGCACCAGTCCGCGGCGCAGGTGGGCTTGCGGATGCCCAGCGCCGGGTACAGCGCGGCCAGCACGGCGATCTGCGCGTCCGTGAAGGCGGGCACGTTGGTGCCGTAGGGCAGGTAGCACACGACGCGGGCGTGGTGCGACGGGTCGCGTGTGCTGCGTGCGATGATGCGTCGGCGCAGGGCGTCGCTCACGACACGACCGAAGCAGAAGCGTACCACCTGCGACTCCACGTCCGGCAGCAGCTCCTGCTTCACCAGCACCAGCGACTGCGGGTTGCGGCGGTCTGCCACGTCCAGCTGGGTGGTGACGTAGCGGAAGAGCACCGGCAGCCGCGAGTCGTTGAGGGGGTGGGGACTGCGGTCCGTGAGCGTGGAGGTCCACCCCTGGTCGTGCGCGAGCAGGTACAGGCGCACGAGCACGTTGAACTTCTCCTTGTCGCGGTCCTCCGTGAAGGCCGGCATCGTAATCGCGTCCAGTGGTCCGCTAGGGAAGTTGTCCGACAGCTGCTCGTCCGTGACGAGCTCGCTTGCGTGCAGGTAGGAGAAGTAGACACGCGCCTGCTCCGTGTCCTCGGCGTAGAAGGGCTGCTGCCGCCGCGACGCGTCACGCACAAAGACGGTCTCCACGGTGATGGCGGTGCAGTTGCTCTCCGTGGTGAAGCCCTGGTCCGGGGCTCCTTTGGTGGAAGAAGGAAACATCGACTCATAGTACGAGACCGGCAGCGACGCGTTTCTTGGCTGCGTATCAAAAAACAAATGGTGCCCTTGAGAGCTGCGTGCGTCCTTCGGCACGAACTGCTTCTTCGTGACCAGGCGAGCGCGTCGATCGTGTACGCTGCCGCAGGGCACGTTGTTTGGGTAGTAGAGGTGCACCCGCACGACCAGCTCCGTGTGACCTCGTGGAAAGCATTCCATGGCGTCGTCGCGCAGCTTCGTCTGGATAGGGTCACACGCCACAATCATGCGGCGCTGCTGTTCCTCTCCCAGCGCGGACCATATTTTGAAGTTGTGGGTAAATTCTCCGGGAAGTAAGTCGTCGTCGGAGAGGGTGTGTATGCAGCTGTCCCTGTCGCGGCAGTGCGCGCCGCACACCCCCAGAAGATGGGCCTCGTCGCCGTGTGCCACCTCGACCCCGCCCTCGCGGAGGCCGGCAACCAGTTTGGCCTGCGCCTCCTTCACGGTCTGCGTAAAGTAGTGTCGGTAGCCGCGGTCGTGGTAGCGGCAGAGTACGTAGGTGAGGGAGGGCTCGTTGCTGAGCTGCGCCACTACCACGGGTTTTCCATCGCTTGGGAGCCGGTATACGGAGCCTAACTGAGGCCACTGCTGCGCCATGACGTGGGGAGAGAGGAGAAAAATCAAAGAGGAAAGAAAACCTACGCCCTTGAGCATCCACAGAAAAAGAGAAGAAATGCATAAAAGAACAAGAAGAGAGAAAGAGAGGGAGAGAAGCGGAGATGTCTTTCTTGGTTGATAGCACTGTTACCGACGGAGAAACACACGCACCCCCACAGCGCTCAAAACTGCCTCGTTGGCTGTGCGCTACTCACTACGCTTTTTGCTTATTAATTCTGTTTTCCATTCTTCTTCTTCAATAGCCAATGGCGGTTAACGGGCGCTATGCATTCGTTACCCGTTGTGCAGCCGAGAAGGCAGATCCACTTGTCTCGAAGACAATCATGCGTTTCTCTCTTTCCTTTTCGCTGTGTGTGTGTGTGTGTGTGTGTGTTTTGACGGACGCAGAAGAGCAGGTGTTCCACATCATCCCCAGTGAGAGTTAGAATGCATGGGTGAAAGCAACAACATAATGGCACGCCCTCAAGCAGTAAGAATTGGGGGGAGGGAAAGCAAATGAACACTTGAAACGCGCACGGTCTCAACGAAGGGAATATTTTCTATGTGAACACTGCTCACGCATCCATGATAACAGAAGAAGAAAAAAAGAATAAATAATAGAAATAAAACCGCCTCCCCCTCTGTACCCAGTGAGGGAGCAGTAAAACGATGAATCGAGGATCTTTCCGTGTCCACGACAGCAAGCGAGAAGTATATAGCTCTCGCTCCTTCTATTTTCCTTGCATTTTGGGAACCATATCAACTGTTGCTGGGAGGTGCATCAACGTGTCCAACCCAGCTGTACTCAACTCTTCCACGATGCTGCACGGCGAGGCCGCCTTCGCGCCTGCCGCGTCGCAGGCAAAAGCGCCAATCGTGCCCAGAGGAGGATATAAGAATTGCGGCGTCCTGCCGTGCAGCAGCGTCGCGGAAGCCCCCAGGAAGGCCGCCCAGGTGGCAAGCGCCACATCATCCATGTCGACGCCGGTGGCGGTCTGCGCCTGCAGCAGCATCCAGTACTCCGCCGTGAAAACGGTAGTGGCGCTGGGCAGCGGGGAGAAGACGACGGCGGCGGCGTTGCCGGTTGTGCCGGCCACCGGTGGGCCGAGGGCCACCCCACTCATAGACTGCGAGAGTGGACTGCGCAGCAGCGTGCCGTCGTCAGTCTTCACTAGATGCACACTGTGGTCCTGCGTCACCGCAGCGTACTGCCGAATGACCTCCATCACCCACTGAAACCAATGCCGAGACAGAGTCGTCGATGCGGTCAGCGGCAGCCCCAACTCGAAGTTCGACTGCGGCTGCCACACATCGGACAGGACGAAAGGGAGGGAGGGGTTCGCGTTGCCGTGCAGGCGATGGACGTAGACGTCGTAGCGGCCGTGCACCCACTGGAGCGGCGGCAGCCCCGACAGCTTGCCGAGGACGTGCACCTCCACGTCAATCGGTAAGCACCGCTTGGAGTAGTTGGCGGTGGCGAGAAAGGTGAGCAGCCGCGACAGCTTTGATTTTTCGGATTCGGCAGCGACGACTATCACGCGCAGCCGGTAGAGACTGCAGAGCTCTCCGCGATCGATAACGATGTCACTGGAAGGGTGGTGTTTGAACTTGGCGTCAGCAGAGACCCACTCCGCCGCCATGGACTCCCGCGCTCTCGCCATTGCCGCGTTGATGATCTCCGTCTCCTCGCTGTGTACCGGTCGCTGCAAAAACATGCCGAAGATAAGACAGATGTTGAAGAGGATGGCGACAACGCCCAGCATGATGAGGGCACGGCGACCTCTCTGGAACGCCCGGACGAAGTTGCCGGAGTTGCTCACAGTGAAGAATTTATCCATTATTTTCTCACCTATTTCTGCTTCGCACCGTTGATGAGTTCAGCAACTCGGCAACGCTTATTTATCGTTATTGAATGGGAAGCAGAAATGGAGAGAAGGGGGGGGGGGAAGCGAATGCGTAACTTTTATTATTATTATGTGGAGTTATGGGTCACCGCAAACAGCTAGCAGAAAGCAAACCAACAAAAACTGCTGCGCAGGAAGGTGATAGCAGCGCAGCGCGACGGCGCGAGTAACGATAACACACAGTACCAGGAAACGATTCGAGAGAACACCAATGTCATGGGGTTTCTTGAAGATGAGAGAAGGAGGACCGAGACAAGTATAGGATAAAGGAGGAACCACCCCCACCACGGAGGAAGGAGAAGGAGTTACGAGGCGAAACGGCCACGCAGGGAAAGAATGCGTGGAGCGAGAAGGGGGAGGGTGGTGCGTGGAGCGTTAACAGCACAATACCCATTTTCATCTTCTGTTAGCGGCGTGTTGGAGCGTATACACCTTTCTTTTCGTTCGTAAAACAGCCCCAAAACTTGGGCCAGAAAAGGCTCGCGTTTGGCATTAGAATAAATACTAATAATATAAAAAGAACGTGTGGGAAGAAAGCAAACGCACATGAAATGCACAAAGGCGTCGTAGAGGGAGGGAACGGCATTTGAAAAGGAGAAGTCGCACTTGCCCCTGGCATCGAGGCGGCATCGAATGGTGCTCAAAGGAGCACTGCACGGATACGCGGAAACAAAACAAAGCACATACAGAGAGAGAGAAAGAGAGGTTAACTAGAAACATCCGAGGGGGGGGGGGGGGAGACCCGCACAACACCCATTCACAGGGAAGAAAGCCAAAATAGTAAAGGAAAAGAAAACGAAAATACCGGCAACAAGAGAAGTGTGGATAAAACCGTAGTCCGTGGCAAATGTAGCATGGCAATCAAGAGAACGAAGAATAAAACGTCGACGTTCGTCAAGCAGGCACCGCTCTAACACAGGTGCATCGCGACAACGACACGTGTGCCTCGTGAAAAGCTCGTTGATCTAATAAAAACGGATAGTCTAATAGGAGACAGCAAGTCAGGAGCTCATGCGAAAGCTAGGCGAGCTCCCTACAACCTGCACTTCGCCGGCAACTTAGTCGAAAACGTGAGCGAAAAAAGGTAGAAACAATACAGAGTAAAGCCATCTTTCCACGATCGCCAGCCCCGCAAACGTGAAACGCGCATACATCGGAACCAAAGAAAAAGTAGAGAAAAAAGAACCCAGGGCGGCATCGCGTTATTTCTGGATTTCATTAAAGACGATTCGCACCAGCACCAACAACCAGAAAAAAAAAAGAGGAAAAGAAACTGGAGAAGAAGAAGAACAAATATATATATGCATACATCGAACACGGGCGTTTCTAAGATGGTATTAAGAGGTGGGCGGCGGGGCGGTTCACAGACGCGAGCCGCCGGAGACGAACGACGCATTCGCGCTGCCGTTGTCGCTGAACATGCTCTCGTTGTCCGCCGTGTTCACCACACCAGTGACGCAGCTCAACTTCTTCCGCGTCTCCTCCGTCATGGACGTCACCTCCGCACACTGGTTTGACAGCGCCGTCATGCGCCTTCGGTATATGAGACAGGTGAAGACACTGAGGCATATAAGGGTGATGAAGACGGCGCCGAAGACGATGCCTATCACGATCGCCACGATGGTGAACGTGTCTAGTGCCATGCGTGCAACTCGTGAAAGCAAGAGAGGAAAATGAAATGAGGTTTGTTTCACCACAAAGGACTACTCTTATTCTTTTCCCTCTACTCCTTTGGGCTCCCAGTACGCGTATTACACTGTGTGGGCAACGGTATTTGAATGGGCTTGAAAGAAAGGAAAAGAAAACATTATGAGATGTAGATGGAGAGGGTGGGAAAATCAAATTGTGAGGGGAGCGACGGTTAGGGTCACAGCAGCAAAGACCCTTCATGGACAGATTCTACGACTGTAACAGGCCAGAATCAGCCTTTTCTTCCCTTGCGGAGCAGTTTTTAGTTCTGCCGTACGGTGCATGGGAGGGAGAAAGGACAACCCAACACCAACATAAAGGTTCAGTACGCGATCCGTTGCGCTTCGGGACAGGCAGCGTTCGTGCCTGAGGTGGAACCGTTGCCGTTAACTCCCATCACAACGTAGCGCTTCATTTTTCTTTTCGCCAACCAGCATTATAATCCCATGAGTAGCAGAGGAGAAGAAAAGATAAGAAAGAAACAGCGGTCGAAGGTACGGAAAGAAAGGTGTGATTGTCTGTAGAGAGGGGGAAAAGGAGAAAAGCACGCCGTCGATGCGAACACGTTGGCTTCAACGCCGGTCCACGATTTCAGCGATTAGGGAAAGCTAAATCTGGATTTCTCTCTTCGGGATCACGGATGGTCAAAAGCGAGACTTTGAAAAACAAAAACCTCTCATTTTCTCCGACGACTTTCTGTAGGCACATGCTCGGCGTCCGGCGCGTGCACCTCAGCATCCGCATCCGGCGACGTCTGTTGTGGGGGCTGCTGCTGCCCCTGAAGTTGCTGCTCTTCTGCGGCCGCCTGCGCACGCCGATGCTTCAGCAGTCGCTTGTACGCACGCGAGCTGCGCCGGTCACGGTACTTCAGTAACAGAAAGAGGAGCACCATTCCCACCGCGACGCTGAAGGCAATCACGATACGCACCCACAGCTGCATTGGCTTGCGCTCCCCACTGCCGGCGGGGTCCATCGCACAGCAGCCGTTGGCGCAACAGACGCTTGGCCGTGGTGCGTAACGGCACGTGTAGCGGCCCACGGTATCTGACCCGCACTCGAGCTCGGTTGACATGCTTGAATGAAGGAGTTTGAGAATTCTGCAGTGACGAGGAAGTGCCAGCGTTGCGATGTGCGTGAAGTAGGACCCCCCAAAAACAACAACACAAAACCCCGCAGTATGAAAACAATGAGCGTTGGTGCAATATGTAGACGGGACAGAGAAAAACAAGTATTAACCAACGAAGTCTTCGTAAAAGGAAAACGATGTTAGTCATTGCGGGAAAGAGCGGAAAAAAAACCCGAGAAAGACGGTTATCGGAGTGTAAGTAAACGATTCCTGTGGCGATTGAAAAAGACAGTCGGCGGCAACGCAGCCGCACATAGATGTGACAATCCATCGTGCAGCCAACGAGCATCTTTGAGCTTCTGCTTTGACATATTCCTTTTCCTCTTTTCCTCTTTCCCTCGTTTCTCTTCCATTCTTATCTTCTCTCTTCGTTTTCGATTGAGCGTCATAAGACAGTTTCACCAGATTGAAGCGGCGAATATTAAAAATTACTGTGTCCCAAAAGAAAAAACCCACTACGACCACCGCCAACAATACTGTGTGTGGTGCACCTCACGACACATGTTTATGCGTTTCGCCGCCAACATTGGGCCTGTACGCCACCAGGCAGCGGTTCTTGGGCGTCACGCAGTCCGGCACGTATTCTGCCAGCCGCACCACGTAGCCGCGCTGCTGCAGCCACTGCACACGCCCCTGATTCACGACGGCTTCCACGGCAGCTGCAATGCCCTCCGGGCAGGAAACAAGGTGGCGAATCGATTTCTTCGATGTAAACGCCGCCGCCCCTTGCGCCGCGGACGTCGCGCCGCCGTCCTGCATTTTCTGATACACCGAGGCGTTCCAATCTGTCAGCCGCGTAAGGTGCTGGAAGGCGTTGGCGGTGTGGAGACGCAGGAGATCCGACACAAACGGAGGATCAACGTATGTGTCCAGCGAGCAGCGGTGGAAGCAGCACGGCGCGAGCACGAGGATGCGCGGCAGGCAGCCCTGCGCCTCCAGCTGCTGCAGCACCTCGTCCACGCCGCTCCCGCACAGGTGCTTCGCGATGAGCGCCGTGCGAGCTGGTGCTGCCGGCACCACGTCGGCCCACCGCACGTCGCGGAAGAGCGCCGTGGTGCGGTGCAGCACGTGCCGCCGTCGCGTTGCGGCGTGGGTGCGGTGCGGCGTGTCGGGCCACACGCGCGGGCAGCAGTCGATGGCGTGGGCGGGGAAGAACGGGTCCACCACGACGGCGTCGCAGTGCAGCCGCTCCGCCACCTGCGCCGCCAGGAAGCCGTTGCCGCCGCCCACGTCCACGACGCAGTCCAGCGCAAACGCCTCCGCACCGGCCGCGTCCTCCCTGCCTTCTTCGCTGTCCTCTCTGTTGGCGGCTGTTGTGCCGCGCCGCACGGCTGCAACGGCGTCGCGGAGCAGCTCGCCGATGGCCACCTCCTGCGGCAGGTTCTCCAACTCGTGGATGTGGGAGCGGTCGGGCAGGAAGGCGGTGTAGAGGTGAATGAGGCGGCGCCACTCCTCGGCAGCGCGAAACTCGGAGGGATCAGTAAAGCAGGAAGGCTCGTCCATGGCCGTCTGGCCGGTGAAGACACGCTCGGCGTGCAGCCCGGCCTCTTGCAGGTATCCCGGAAGCGCGAGAAGGTCGCTGTGGTTTATGCGGTGGCGGTGCGCCTCTGCCAGCGCAGTTGTGTAGTGAAGGCGGAACGCTGGAGTGGGCCACAAGGTTTGCATCAGCTCTGTTGGCGCAGCGAACACCGAGTCGTACGTAACTGGCCTCGCAAGGGAGACCCGTTGCTGCTGCTGTTGCCGCTGCGGCAGCACGTAGGCGCTCAGGCACTCCACACAGAGCGCGCGCACCTGGTCGTCGGTGAAGCTGCGTTGGAGGGAGAGAAGCTGCATCGCAGAGAGCGGCCCTTCCGCGTCGAAGGAGGCATCAACACCCTCGGCAGTGGCCAGAAATTGTTGTAGAGCCGCCCGAAGGCTGTGCGCACCCACAGCGGAGGATGCGCCATCGCAATGCGAGCTAGACGTGACCCCGGAAGACGCCGTGTGCGATTGGGATGAAGCTGCGTCTGCGTCTGTAATTTGTCTGTGTCGCAGCAGCGACAGCAGAAACTGAAGCGACCAGAGGACGCTGTGGTACTGCTTCTGTTTGCACCGATAGTTTACCAAGTTCGTCGGCGGCCGCTGCCGTCTCGGAGAAGGAGAGGTTGTCACTGAAGGCATCGCTGGCGCGTCTGTGTCTTCTTGGTTTCCCTTGGATAGCGGACGCCGTATCCGACTGGCGTAGGCAATGAGGCGCCGAGACTTCGCCCTCCTTGTCTACAAGCGTGCTGATCCTCCACTGCGTAATCGCCCTATCAGAACATCAACAGCAGAAAAATGCAGGAGTTAAATGCGTCTTCGCGTGAGAAGTTCGCTTTGCGCTTTCGTCCACGATAGCGAAGAAACTCTCCCGAAGTGCCTCGTTGGCGTCACAGCACAAAACGAAGGATGGAGGGAGGAGGAGGAGTACGAAATACAAGACGGAGAAAGTGCTGGCAATCGATGCACGTTGCAAGGGCGACGAGACGCACTGCGCTCCGCCAGACCACGACGCACCTTCAGCTTCGTCATCCAGATCGAGCAGCCGTCGTCGACGTAAAGCGACACCACAGAGGTCATCGTCCGCCGCTTTCTTTCTTTCTTTCTTTTAATAAGAGAGCTTCTACTCTGAAATGTGAGGCGTTCCCGCCGTCGTGAGAGGAAACAAAGACCGCCCCCCCCCTCCCCAAAATAGGAGATCTGCGGACAACAGCAAAGAACAAACAAATGAACAGGATGAGCCGGCAGCATCCCCTCCAGCTTCACATCATTACGCATCATGCCAGAGTACACCGTTGACGCTCACGCCACCAAAGAAGGACAGTGCATTCACAAGTATATCAGAACACCTTCGTCGACACCGGAGACTTACATTGACGGTCGACGGTAGCTGTTCCGCCACGTCGGTGGTGGTGATCGGCGAATGGCCAAGAGACACTTGTTTTTCGGCGTCACAACATCAGGCACGTACTGCACCAGCCGCACCTCGTAGTCGCGGCTCCGAAGCCACGCCACGCGGCCGTAGTTGAGGAGACCCTCCACCAAAAGTGCAAAGGCGTGGGTGCAGGGGATGCTGTTCACGATGGAGCGCGGCCCACTGCGGCGCTGATAGGAGAAGAGATGGGCGGCATTCCCATCCGACGTCATCGGTGAAGCACTGCAAGAGCAAGCAGGTGCGGCGCTTCTGCATCTTCGCCGCGTCGCTTCCTCACGCACCAGCAGCGCCTCGTGCGTGCTCTGGTAACACGACATGTTCCAGTCGGTCAGTCGGTGCACGCGTGCAAGCGCAGCCTCCGACGCGATGCCCATGACATCCCGCAGATACACGGGGTCGATATACGCGTCAAATGTGACCTTGTTGAAGCAGCACGGCGCGAGCACGAGGATGCGCGGCAGGCAGCCCTGCGCCTCCAGCTGCTGCAGCACCTCGTCCACGCCGCTCCCGCACAGGTGCTTCGCGATGAGCGCCGTGCGAGCTGGTGCTGCCGGCACCACGTCGGCCCACCGCACGTCGCGGAAGAGCGCCGTGGTGCGGTGCAGCACGTGCCGCCGTCGCGTTGCGGCGTGGGTGCGGTGCGGCGTGTCGGGCCACACGCGCGGGCAGCAGTCGATGGCGTGGGCGGGGAAGAACGGGTCCACCACGACGGCGTCGCAGTGCAGCCGCTCCGCCACCTGCGCCGCCAGGAAGCCGTTGCCGCCGCCCACGTCCACGACGCAGTCCAGCGCAAACGCCTCCGCACCGGCCGCGTCCTCCCTGCCTTCTTCGCTGTCCTCTCTGTTGGCGGCTGTTGTGCCGCGCCGCACGGCTGCAACGGCGTCGCGGAGCAGCTCGCCGATGGCCACCTCCTGCGGCAGGTTCTCCAACTCGTGGATGTGGGAGCGGTCGGGCAGGAAGGCGGTGTAGAGGTGAATGAGGCGGCGCCACTCCTCGGCCAGGTGCGGATCGCAGGTACCTTTGCAAAAGGTGTCACGCATGATTGCACCAGCTTCTCGCAGGTGATGATAGCCGTTGAAGGCACCTCCCTCATCAAGGCGTGCCTGGCGCGCTGCGAGCAGGGCCTGGTGGTAGGCCTGTGTGTTGTTGCGCGTCCACAAGTGTGCAGTGGGATTGGTCGCAGCGCAGGGGCACAGGTCCCCATGAAACAAGCTGGTGCGAAGGTGCGTGACGGTGGCGTCGGTGGCAAGGTCACGGATGCCGATCAGAGATGTGTCCTGCAGCGGCCCTTCGTGTTGGAGAGTAGTCGGAGTGCCTGCTAGACTCTGTCGCAGCTGCCCGAGCTCGTGTGTCATCGGACATGCACCGCGCACCGTTGTGCTGCCTCCGTTGCTCGCGTCGGGTTCAAGAAGAGGGGCGAGAAGCTGCCCCACAGCCCTACCTGCGTGGTAGGCCCCACGCAGACACCGTAGTCTGCGACGCGGAAGCGATAACGGCACTGTCGAGGCAGTGACGCCACCTGCGATACCGTTCATGGACGTAGAAGACGTGGACGGTGCTGCGGATTGCACCGGACATAGAAGCGGCGGCGTGAAATCGGTCTTGTGCGGTTGAGTTGTGGAGGTGGACAGAAAGGTCCGACTGCTTCGAAGGACAGAGACGCGGCAGCTTCTCTTTTTCTGCCGCCACACCGCCTGAAGAGCCCTCCACATTGGTCTTTTGCTGGTGACGGTGGTGGCGGCGGCGAGGAAGGGACCGCAATGAGTGCGAAGATGAGGGCAGACAAAGAGAGGAAGAGGGAAGGGGGGGGGGGGAGGGGAGACACTAAACAGTAGCAGCAACAGAAGTGATGCAACACGACTCGCAGCACCGGTACGACCGCAGGAGAGGAAAAACACACTCATGCCTCCCCAAGAGAACAGCATGACACGAGTGCTGTCAGCTCGCCCACACACACTCACACACATACAAAATATACTTGTGAGGTCTACTGTTTCAGCACGCCGCCCTGAGCGCTGATACGAGAGATACGTGACGAGGCAGCGCGCGGAGCAGCACCAACAAAAGCTGCTCTGAGAGAGGTGAGAAACAATACACATCCGTTGGTCTGTCTTTTGCGCCGCCACGGCGCACCCGTCGTTCCCTTTGGGTTCATCACCTCACCAAAAAGTAGAGCGCTTTACACAACCAACAACAGAGTACGCCAATCCCCGCAACGCTTGCACTCGACAACAGCAATGACAACAGCAATACCAACAAATGCCCCCAACAACAACAACAAACGCGTCTTTTAAAATCTATTTTTCATCTTCAACTTAGAAATGGATATTGCACGCTCTAGGACTCTAGCAATTCCTCCTTGAGAGCTACCAGCGCGTCACGCTTCTGCTGCAGCGACTGGATCAGCTGCTGCTCCTCCTGTGGGTTACTGCTGAAGAGCAACGCCTTTCCGCTCGCCTCAATCTCCTTCGCCAGCCTCGACACGGCAGCGTGCACGTGGCCCTTCTTCTTCGCTCCAACCACCGCAGTCGCCGCACCACCGGCACTCATACTACCACTGCCACCACCACCCCCACCAGCGTAGCCACGTCCCCCAGCACCGTCACCGCCGTCCAGCCGAGCCGTCTTCGTCGACGGTGCGTAGAGGCCGTTGCCGTCATCCTTCGGCGCCTCCGCGAGGTACTGCGCCACCGTCATCTCCTCCACCCCGTCCGTGAAGTCACCTCGACGGCGCAGCACACCAGCGTTGCGGATGCCGAGCAGCACGTCATCGTGCGCCGCCACCTCCTGCTCGAGCTCCCGCCGCGACTCGCTAATGCAGAGTTGCTCACCCATGTCTTCCAATATCCGTTGCTGGGCCTTGGGCAGCGTGGTGCCGTGGTGCATGACGAGTACACGGCATAGCATGCGGTAGGCCGCGAGCTCCTCCTCCCTCGCCACCTTGTACACCTCGAAGGCGGGGATTGGCTTCAACTGCGGGGCTGCTTGGTGGACCTTTCGAAGGGTGTCGTAGACAACGTTTCGTGGAGAGGAGGGGGCGGCGGAGTCCATGGTGACGTGTGCAAAGAGGAAGAGGGAGAAAAACAAGAAATGGAAAGAGATAACGTGCTCGTGTGTGTGTGTACACGACGGAACCGCCCCTCCAGCAATTTCCTTCTGAAAATGTTGATTTTAAATGCACCTTGTTGCGTTAAGCGTACCTCTCGTAATACGTACAATCTATGATGTGGTGAGGAGGAAAACAATAGCCATGAAGGGAGTTATAAACAGGTAGACCGCTCGAGGCAATGCCTTTTCCAGCCGTGCAGAGCATGCCACGAACAACGCGTGAGCACCCAGTAGGCGTCCAGAGGAGCGTAGTCGTCGTAGTATTCTTTAACACTTCTTCTAGTAAGTGAAGCGCCACAAACGTAGACGGGACTGTGCTAATCATCTGTGTAGAGGGAGAGTAGAGAGAGAGATGGAGGGAAAGGGTGAGGAAGCGATGGTGGTGGTGGTGGTCGTGGTGTGGTGAAACTCGCATACTTTTGCTATTGATGGTAGCGGCGAAGAAGCTCGCAGAGCAGCAGCGTACAAATATATACACATATCTGTACACGCTACAAGAACTCTTTCAAAAACGCTGTTGAAGCGGAAAGCGAGGCAGCCGCGATGGGGGGTGGGGGGTGGGTGGGGAAGCGTCTGTCTGCTTCGCTTACTGCTGTTGTGCTCTTCTTTCCCTTTCTGTATTTGGGTGATGAATACGCCGACACGTCTTGTCTTCTTTCCCTAACGAGTTGTTTCATTTTAATAGTGATCGATGGCACTTTGGATATCGATCCACCGCATAACAGCACAACAAGTGTATATATATATATTAATAATAATAGGGGTAGCAACAGCCATCACAACATGAAGGCAAGATGCTGCATTTCTCGCCTTCACCAAAGGGAGTCAACAGAGAGAGAGAGTTGGCCCGAAAGGCAGGGAGGAAAGCGTGATGAAGGACCAAAACAGCTATGAAAAAGAAGGAGAGGACGCTCTGCACGACCAGACACACACACACACACACACACACGTGTTCCGTGCTCGCCCTATCATGCTCGGTTGACAATTCCAAGTCTCCTCTCTCTCTCACCAAATGATCTTCTCAAATGTGCAACGTCATCTCCCTCTCAAATTCTCTTGCCCCTCTCCCCCCCAACACCCCACTTGACACCTCAGAGAAGTCCAACAAAGAATCAATACAAGAGAACATCATTCCTAATCATATCACCGCCACAGCAAGTTTAGACCAGAGAGGAGACAACAACAGTAATAATAATAATTAAAACGGATCCAGCAAGCGAATACGACGATGACTTTCTGTCGTCCTTCTCAGCGGCAGTGAACGAACACGCCTCTACGGCGTCAGAGTCAGCCGTGCCGCTTTGCTCAGCGTAAAGAGGGCGGCACACAGTTCAATCAAAAAGTAAAGGACGAGAGTGATGAAGAGAAGAGCAATAAACGAAAGGAGTTACAACATCAAGGGAATACGATAAACCAAAGAAAGAAGGAAGAAGAGTCAACGTTAAAGCGGCGACACAAGCCAACAACAACAACACAAATAACAGTTCACGATTCGTTCGTCATTAGTACAATCAGGAGAGAGAAAACAAACTTAGTTAACACGACAACGCACGCACAAGAGATGGACGCACAGTAGCAGCAACAGCGGCTAAGCGAAACATTACAAAAAATACGTAAACTGAAAGACTCAAGCTGTGGAGTATGAATGGCGCCGAAGAGAAGAGGTCGATGAAAGCAGCGATGGAAAATCTGGCAGGTCATCTCGACAGTTTCTTTTCTTTCGAAAGAGAGAGAACACCCCATCCATAAATGCCCAAGCATAGATGTGTGTGTGTGTGTGTGTGAGTGTGTATATGATTGCATGTGAAGTAGAAGAGAAGTTACTCACAAGGGAGAAACGCAAGAGAGGGCTGCAATCGGGAGGCGCAAGGACTGAGCCGAGCACGACCGACCCTACTCGCCATGATCCCGCTCTTCCTCTTTCAACTCCCCGAAAATGCCACAGCGTTACGTGTCATTCATCGTAGGCCCACGACGGCAGCTCCTCGCTCGGGTTGATGGTGCCATCCAGCAGGTCGCGTAGGAAGGAATCGATCGTCTGCCCATCTGACTTCACCACTGCCTTCATGCGAGTTTTGCGAATGGCCATGACAGAGATGTGCTGCTCCTCCTCCGGCCGCTCCTCCTTCGCGCCATCCGGCAGCGGTGGCTTGTGCGCCTGCATCCATTCCTTCCAGTTGTTCTGCCCGGTTCCGAGGACACGCACGTTGAAGGGGTCTTCCATGGCGAGGCGAGGCAACGGCAGCGATCCTGCGGAGGAGCCATCCTCGGCGAGGAAGAGGAGAAAGCCCTTCTCCTCCTTCGCCCACTTCATATCGCGCGGGTTGTAAGGGCTCACACGTGGCTGCGGCTTGCGGATGCGTCGACGTAGGGGTGCGGTGGCAGCAGCGGCGGCACCACCACGAGCACCCGCCGTAGCAGCAGCAGCAGCAGCAGCTTCCTGCTCCTCCTTCCTTTTGCGCTCCTCTTCCTCCTTCTCCTCCGGTTTCTTGCGGTTGATGACGTACTTTTGCACGAGAAACATCAGCAGGAACGGCGTCGTGTTGCTCAGGATGGGCGAGACGAAGCTGTAGAGCGTCATCGCCTGGATGTAGAGGCGCTGCTTGTACGACAAAGGGAATCCGGCCGTGGCGAGAAGACTGGCGACGGACTGTGGGAGACGAATCTCAATTGTCTTCTTGACGGCAGCGGCAGTCCCCTCGCGCGCCTCCTCCGCCGCGTCGCTGTCCCCTCCGACGAGACTGGACAAGGCGTCGTAGATGTCCTCCGCGGTGATGTCCTCCACCGACGTGACGCTCAACGCGATGAGGGGGTACACAAAGCTGTCATTGCCGCCCACCATCGCCACAAGCGCAGAGGGAGAGGCCGACAGGCCCTGCGAGGTCGGCGTCCACGCACCGGCCTTCGTCAGCGCCGCGGCCAGCGTCTTCTCCTCCGTCATGCACCAGTAGCCAGTCTTGAAGGAGAGGTACTGCGTTGACATCAGCTCCACCATGTGCGGGGGCGGCGCCGCACCGCAGTCCTCCCGCACCCACACAAGACAGTTTCCGCGGCAGACGTCGATGAAGTCGGTGGCGCCGGCGTGTTGGACCGCCTTCATGCCGACGTGACGCTCCGGCAGGTGGCTTTCAATAAACTTCGCTGCTTTGCCGTAGGTCAGTGCGACGGCGGCGCCGATGTGCACCAACTTGCAGCTCTTCTGCGGAGTCGCCGCCGCCTCCGCTGCCTCAATCGCCGCCACGTCGCCGTCCTCCGTCACATCGCTCGGTGGTGTCGGCAGCGCCTCCGCGGAGACGACGATGAACTCCGCCATAGGCACCGCCTCGCCGAAGCGGTCCTTCACGTCCACCTCCATCTCGCAGTACTCCTCCACAAACTCGAGCAGAACATCACGCGGCACGCTGCGGACGACCACCTGGTCGTAGCGCATCTGCAGTGCCACGGGGATCGACTCGGCGTTGAGGTTGGGGAGCAGCGCCCGCAGCGGCTGCGAGGCCGGCCGTGGGGCGCGCAGGTACGTCAAGATGTCCTCCAGCTGCGTCGCCTCCAGCGAGGAGGTTCGCTGGAAGACGTCGTAGTAGAACGACATGACAAACTCGAGCAGATGCTGGAAGACGCGGTTCGCGTTCTTCTGCTTCATGGCATCTTGGATGCTGTAGAGCGTCCACACCTCGCCGTCCACGATGGCGAAGACGTACGGCTCCGCGCGGAAGCGCACGCCGAGGTGCGTCAGTAACGCCTGGCCCTCGTCACTGAGGGCATCAATGCGGTACATCTCCAGCACCCCGGCGTCCACGAGACTGGATTGGTAGAGCGTCTCCCACGCAGTGCTGTAGAGACGGCAGTTGCGGCAGTTGACCTCGTCGTAGATGTGCACCAGAAAGACGCGCCCGCCGCGGAACTGCTGCAGGCGGCGCACCTCAGTGACGTTCGTCAGCGTCCTGCTCTTCGAAAAGATCGGAGAGGACTGGTGGTAGTAGGTAAAGAGCTCGTCCGGGGTCATCTCCTCCACCTTCGGGGCCTCGCCGGGGATGATGCCCATTTCATCGTAGTCAGCGCGCTTCTTCTCGTCCGACAGCACCTCGTAGGCGCGCAGCCCCTTCGCCATGGCCACCTTCGCCGCTTCCTTGTCATCAAAGCCCTCCTTCAAATCCGGGTGGTTCGCGCGGGTGAAGGCGCGAAAAGCCTTTTTGATTTCGTCCTTCGTGGCCTCGCTGGAGAGGCCGAGGTCGGCGTAGAGCTCCTTGTGGTGCCTGCCCGCGGCGTAGGCGTGGCCCTGCAGAACGCAGACGATACAAAGCAGCCCAAGCAGGCCGAGCGCCACGCAGCGTTTCAAACGGAGGGAGCGCATTTTTTCTTCTGTCCTTCTTGCGTGTGCGTCGGTGCGAGAGAGAGGTTGACGTGCAACACAAATATCCCTTCGACGCAAGACGGTGGCGAGAGGTAACCAGAAAACAAAAGTGAGAATAAATGGGAGAAAGATAATATCGAGTAAAGACGAAGCGAGAGAGCCACGCAGAAAAGGCGCAGTGACCGACACACAAATTTGGTAGCGGAGATGGGGGGAAAGCACACGAGCCACGTGTTTCCTTTGGCGTTCTTCCCAACGTGTGTGCGGGTGCGTTGGAGGCGGAAACAACAACAACAACGAAGAAGAGGAAGAGAAGGAAGAGGAAAGCAGAGAGACTCACAGCACGTTTGGAGAGCCACACTTTTCTTAAGCAGCTTCTGTTCAGCAGCTCTGTTGGCTGTGCGGCGGTAATGTAGAGCACAATTCGATGCACGTGTCGCCGTCAGCGTTGCCTCTTCGCAACGACGGATAGACGCGGAACGTTCCTCTTTTTTTTTTTTAAGTTTAGCAGGTCATGGAACAATACAGCAGTTTGAATAAGCAGCCAAAGTTGTGTAGAAACAAGAAGTGTGCGTTGCTTCGACGTGAGAGACATAAACAGAGAGCGGGTCAGTGCAGTGCTACACACCGGCAGTCAGCTCCTGGCGAAGAAGACGCATCTCGGCCTGCGCCTCCGCTACGAAGGTGCGGTGTGCCGCCGCAGAAGTGCGCATGGACTCTTCCTCCGCCGCGAGTGCCGTGAGGCAGGAGAGTCGGCTGAGCAGATCGTCGTCCAACACGTCTGGCATCAACAACTCCGCGGGAAGTCGCAGCACCGCCGTAGCGACGTGCTGCAGCGCGGCAGTGCAGGCTCGACGCACCGACTGCCTTGTTGCACCGTCCGTCATGTTGCCACTCAGTTCGGTGGGGTCGCCGCACGGTGCTGCCATAAAGAGCGCCGCGAGAACGTCGTCATCGGCGAGGTGCTGCTTTTGTGCCTCCACGTCTGACGCCCATATTTTGTAGACATCGGGACACGCAGGCACAGACTGCAGGGCGGCTGCTGCACTGGGGCGAACACGCTCCGTCACCCCCAGGAGGGTATCTGGTGCAGTACAGTTCTCTGAGAGCACCGCCGACTGCATCTCCCCTTCTGCTGCTGGCTTCTGAGGATGGGACAGCAATGCCTCCAGCTGCCGCTGCGCCTCACGCTCGGTCTGCTGCGCTGCGGCGAGTTCCTCTTCGAGTGCTGCCTTCTGCGTGGAGGCTTCATCCAGCAGCGCTTGGGCGGCGGAGAGCTTCCGTTGCTGCTCCTGCACAGCTCTCTTGCTCACTTCCACCGCAGCAGCGTGCGCCTCTGCCTCGCTCTTTAAGAGTGCGTCGTTGTGTGCTGCCTCTGTCACACGAGCGTCCACCGCCCTCTGCGCGGCGAGCAGTGAGGCACGTTGCGCGCTGAGCGTGCGCCACCCCTTCTGCCACGCTGCCGCGTAATTCCCCAGCTGCAATTCTTTCCCTGTCTCCACCTCTGACAACCGCTGCGCAAGAGCGTTGCGGAGCTGCTCACAAGACTCTGACTGCGCCTGCAGCTCTGTGCGTGCGCGGAGTAGTGACTGAGCTGCCGCGGCCGCCAGCTCCGTCGCCGACGCTGCGTCCTCCACCTTCTCCGCCCACTGGTGTCGTTGCGCCACTAAGGACGTCCACCCCTCCACGACCGTCGTCTCCAGAGCCGTGAAAACGGCGGCCACTTCTGGCGGAAGGCAAATGCGGTCCCGAACACAGGTGGCGGTGAGTTGATCAAAGAAGGCACGCAACGCTTTCACAGGAGCGTGCACCTGCTCCTCCATCACCTTCTCCAGCTCCACTTCTGGCAGATGTAGGAAGACATCCTCCGCGAGAGCAACGGCTGGACACTGGGGCAGCGGCGGCCAGACGGACGCTGTCTGGTTTGCACCCGCCTCCCCCACCGCGAAGGTTTCCTCCGGGTCTGCCTCTGTGTCTTCCGTCACCCATTGGAGCAGACATCGCAAAGCGGCAACGACGCCTGTCAGCTCCCGATGGCGTGACCACGGCTCCGCCTGCGTCATCCAGCCCTGCATCACCGCCCCAAAAGCCTTGACCGCGTCTTGTTGGCTCCCTGTCACGGCCGACGAAGGAGGCACGTCGGCGACGACCGCGAAGGGAGACGCGAGAGCGCCTGAGGGAAGACAGCACGGCCCACTGAGGAGACGCTGCTTCTGTTCTACGGCGTCCGTCAGCTTCTGCTGAATCTGCGTGGCAACGATCTGCAGTTCGCGCGCATTGCGTCCGCCAACCCGCTCTTTCGCCAGCGCCAGCAGCTGAAAGAGACGTCCATCAGCGCTGGTGAAGCGCACGATAAAGGTCGTCGCGGCTCCAATCGCGGCCTCCGCAGCCTGCTGCAACTTCTTGAACGTTCGCTGCTCCTCGTCCAGCTGCACCAGCGCACCGTGAAGTTCGGCCAGGCGACCCTCCCGTTGACGAACACGCTGCTGCTCGTCCTCCACCTGGGCGTCGAGGGCGGCCTGCTGGGCGGAGAGCTGCGCCACGCTCGTCTGGGCTTGCTGCAGTTCTGCTTCGATCTTCTGCGACTGCGCCTCCACACTGGCGAGACGGGTGAGATCTTTCGTGCGCTGCTTGAACAGCACGAGTGCTGCCTGCCGCACCGAGTTGAAGGCTTCCTCGTCCGCCAGGCACGACTTTGCATCTGCCGCAGCGCTGCTCTGCCGTGTCCGTTGCTCCTGTGCCTGCTCCATCTGTGAGATTGATTGTTACCTTTTCCAGGATAAGTCGGAGATGCGCACAAGCACGGCCCTCCCCGAACAGGAAACCGAGAGCAACAAACAAACACACAACAGGAGAGTAAAGGCTGAGGGAAACCGCCATGGCGCACGCAAGCGAGAAGGTTAACAGATCCGAGAGAGAGAGAGCGAGGAGTGGAGGAAGGAGAGAGAGGAAAGGAGAAGTGTGGAGGAACACGCTGATGTTGTTTAGATGATATTCGCAGAGTTGCCGAGGAAAAGAAAGAAAGCTGAGGTAAAAAACAGGCGCAAATTACACCAAAAAGGCAGCCGTTCATGACACAGACCAGCCGGTAAGAAAAGGAATCCCCCTTGCACACGCACACGCACAATCCCGCATGGTTTGTGGCATTCGATCTCGCAGCGCGTTCAAGTGAAGTCTTCCTCTGAGTAGCGAGAACAGCGGTTCTTCTGTTTGGACTAGGACCACTAAGCTCTACTGAGCATCGCCGAGAAGTACTTACACGAGTTATGAGAAATAATAATAATAATAAAAACAAAAGCGACAACAGCATTAAGAACCTACGTCGCCGTCATCCTCGGCACGTCGCCGTTTGCGCTGTCGCTCCTCCTCGGCGATCGCCTCCTCAAGACGACGCGGCAGCTTCGGCGCTCGCACGGCGGCCTGCACGGTAAAGCGGCCGTCATGGCGGCCACCTTTGCTCGCGTTGTTGGTGTGCCGGTGCGCGGCGGACTTCTTCTTTCGGGGCAGATGACGGCCCGGGGCAGCCGTTGGGTCTTCTTCTACCGTGGCCTTCTTATCGTCGCCCTCGCTCGCGTCTTCGCTGCCCCACAAGTCCTCCACCTCTTCCTCACCACTGTCCACCGCATTGCCGTCGATGTCGTTGTTGTGCTCCCCAGCAGCGGCCGTGGGGGAGGAGGACGTCCCTACGCCGTCGTCCTTACCCACCTCCCTTAATGTCTCTAGGTCGGAGGGCTCACCCAGGGTGTCGGTAAACGAACGCCGCGCAAGTCCGTATAAGTTCGAAGGAAGGGCGTCATCGTAGAGGACTGTGGCACGTGCGGGGCCGCCCCTGCGCTTGCCTGGCGCCGCCGTGGTGCCGCTGGTGCTGTCGGCGTGTAGGTGGTGTTCGATTTCCTCACGCTGGGCTACCTCGAAGGTCGCGCGGCGCTTCGCCTCCTCCTTCCGCTGCATGAACTTCATGCCACGGAGAACTTCCAGTGTCTTCGCCTTGTCCATTCGGTTGAGCCTTTTCCTTTATGTACGAATATAGTGTGTGTGTGTGTATCTGGCGCAGCAGAAGACGGAGACGCGCCGAGTGAAGAGGAGGGAGAGATGCGTCGTGACGCCCGTGGAGTGGGCTTGCTGCCGTGTTCGATGCGACGTCACAAGCTTGGGCAGGGACACGCTTTTTTGTTTTGCGAGCTCTCCTCCGTTTGTTGTGGACTTCGAGGAGAAAGAGATGAGGCAGATGTGTAAAGGCGGTTGAAATGACTTCGGTGATACACATGTGCGCTTTCATTATGCAGGTCGTGACTGTTGCGGTGCGAGTCTACGCACTCGACGCTCTTTCTTCTTTTGCTCATACCTTTTGTTTCTATTACCAAACAGGAAGGACCATATATATATACATATATGTCAGGATCAGTGAAGAGCCGTTGCTAGAGTGCCTTCGCCTCACCCCTAACGTTTCCATCTACCTTCTGCAGTGCTATACAGTTGCACAGTTCAATGCTCTTGCGGTGCTTCGTTGTCTAGTAGAGCAGGTGTGCCTTGTGTTGAACAAAGAAAAAATACTTAAAAAGGACTGGGTTACATCGAGCTCCCCGTCTGGAGGGGAAGAGAGGGAGACAAGGCAAAATACTTAGGTTATACATGGACAACTCCACCCACGGCGTACGTCTTCGCACACACACACAGGCTTCATGAAACGCAAGGACGTTCGACCGTGCGGCTTCCGCAACGAGCTCAAGAAGCAGATATTCTCCACATCGAACAATTTACAAAAGCAACAACGTATACAAAGAAGGCGGTGCCGACGGTGATGAACCAAGACAAATAAAAACGACATCGAATTATAATGGAAGAAGGAAACGAGAGACGTAATGACCAAACACAAATATATGTATATATAGTATAAGAAAGCGATCGTCACCGTGCGCCTGCGAAATGCAGCAGCGTGGGAAGAGGATGAACAAGCAACCACCAAAACAGTAAAGGGGGGAAAAAACAAGCCCCCGATTCATTTTCTTAGCGGCGATAGGGTCGACTGCGCGGGTTCACGTTAAAGCGGTCGGGCCCACTCCCCCCTGCGCCACCGCCGCGACGCGTCCCAGCCGCAATGGCCGCAGACGAGTTCAAAAGCCGGTTGCGACTGGGCAGTCCGCTGCTGCCGACGCCAGCGACCACGCCAGGAAATACGTTCCCATTCACGCCGACGTTCATCGGCAGCGACACCCCACCATTCGGTGCGCCGGCACCCGCAGCGGCCGCCGCCGCCACAGCGAGGAAATCCATATCGATGACTACGTTCGGGGGCGCCACGTACTCCGCCACGCGCGCCGTCGCCGCCTTCTCCCGCTCCTCCGGTGTGATGGGGCGACGATCCAGCTCGACCAACTGCGCAAAGTACGCAATAATGGAGAGGCGGTAGTTGCTCTTGCGGGCGACCGGGTTGCCGATGAGGACGAGCGCTTTCAGCGGGCACGCCTGCGTGTCGCCGAGCGCGCCGTTCAGGTCCGCCAGTCGGTTCGCCCCGAGGCGCAGCTGCTCCAGTCGCGCACACCCCCGCAGCCCCTCCAAGGTCTTGAGGGCGTTGTTCTCGGCGGACAAGATGGAGAGCTTCTTGTTTCCCGCCAGGCAATCCGGCGCGAGGGCGCGAAGCTTGTTCTGGTCCAGCAGCAGCTCTCGCAGGTCGGGCAGGTGCTCGAGGCCGCGCTGAAGGATTTGCAGGTCGTTGCCGCGCGCGTTCAGAAATTTCAGCCGCGGCAGGCGCAGCTTCAGCACACTGAAGTCGGTCAGCTGGTTTGATTCCACGGAGAGGGACTCCAGCAGCTGCAGCGGGGCGAGTGCCTCACCGAGGGCGAGGTGCGCGGTGGCCTGCGGGTGGGGGGAAGAGGAGGTGGTGGCGGTGGCGGGGGTGCTGGCGTGGTCCATGTTGCGCCACGCCGCGGCACCGAGGCGGTTGTGGGACAGGTCCAGCGCCTTCAGCCGGGTTAAGGTGGTGAAGCCGGAGACGCACGAGATGAGGTTGTGCTGCAGCTGCAGCACCTCCAGCCCCACAAATGGCTCCAGCAGGTTCGTCGCGGTGAGGGTGCAGTGCGCGAGGTTGAGGTGGCGCACCGCCGCCCAGGCATCAGGCTGGCTGTGCGACTTCTCGATCAGCAAGTCTGCGCTGATCTTGCCGGCGTAGATCTCCCGTGCCTTGACGCCCTCCGTGGCCGAGATGGGGCCGCCGTCTAGCACCTTGAGCTGCGGGAAAACGTGAATGAGGTACTGCCGCGTGTCGTCGCCGGCAGCTTTGGGGTCTGTCTTGGGCCGATGCGCCCGTGTTGCGTCCGGCAGCGTGCAAGGGTTACCCATGACACTGAAGATCAGCAACGAGGTGATTTCACGCAGAGCGTAAACGACGTTCATGTCCGCAATGCTGTTGTGTGACAGGTGGAGCACCTCCAACTGCGGCACCGTTGGCGCTACGCCGCTGCCGCTGCCGGGCGTGTCGGCGCTGCCGCCGTCGAGGAAGATGGAGGGGTCCACGTGGGAAATCTGATTCCTCGCAGCGCTGAGCACGCGCAACGCAGGCAGCGGGCCGATTTGGGCGGGGAGTGTAGTGAGGTTATTGAAGTCCACCACCAGCTCTCTCAGCGACTTCAGGCCTGCAAAGCAGGGCAGCGCCGTGAGTTGGTTCTCCGCCACGTTTAAGCTCTCCAAGCGGCTCAGCTGAAGTACGGGGTCGATGTTGGTAAGGGCGTGTCCGCGCAACACCACGCGGCACAGGTTCGGCAAAAGCGAAGTGAGACCGCCGACGGAGTCGAGCAGGCCGTAGCTCCAGCACAAGTCTCGACATTCGTTCAGGCACCGCGTCGTCGCCGCTGCGGCGTCATCGCCGAGATGTGTTGTCGTCGGCGCAGCAGTGCTCTCCGCGTGTGGTGCCGGTAACGTCTTCGCAAGGCTTTCATTTAACGCGTCCGCCGCCTCCCACTGCTCCAGCTGTGCCACGATGGCGCTCACGTAGCGCTCCGGCACGGACACCCCATCCACCGAAAAGAACGCGGCGGCCGCCGCAGAGCCGGCGAGCCCGCTAATTTCCTTCGCACGCTGCGTAAGGTACGTCACGACGCGCACCGTACGAGGGGACGCGTGAGGGGCACCCGCGACGATGCACGCACGTCGGTACCGCTGCACCGCCAGCGTACCCGGGTAGGTGCCGATGGGATGCTGATTCAGCTTCACCAAGGCGACGGTGGAGGACACCGCGAGGCTGAAACTTGTCGGCGGGGCGATGTAAAGCCAGAGTTGCGCCTCTGCGTCTTGACGGTGCTGCGCGGCCATGAAAGGGTTGCCACGCACCTCCAGCTCTTCCAGCGCGGGTGCTGCCGCACGAATGGCGCGGAGGTCACCGACGTTGACAAGCAAGTTGTCGCTTAGGTCTAAGGTGCGAAGATCCGGCAGGCGACTGCCGTCGAGGTGAAAGGAGGCCAGTCGGTTGCGACGAAGATTCAGCTTCTGCAGCTGCGGGGCCTCCTTCGCGACGGCGAACCACGAAAACTCCACGAGTGAGTTCTGCGAGAGGTCGAGAGTGGTGACGCTCGCCAGCAGCGGAGAGGTGAAATCCTTCAGGACCGCAGAGAGGTCCAGCCCGCGCAGCACGCAGAGCGTTAACACGCCCTTGCCGCCGGCAGCAGCGCGCATGCGTGCCGCATAGTTTTCCACATCGCGCGCCTGCAGCGGACGCGGTGCAGCGTCCGCGTTGTTGAGCGCGTTCATAATATCGTCCTTGGTGCCGCTGTGGCACGTGTTTCTGCTGGTCGTCCCCAAAAGCTGTGACGTCAGCGCCTCGCCTAACACCGACGTCACGGCCGCGATGGCCTCTGCCGTCTCCTTCACGGCAACAATCTTGAGCGTGTTGCCGCCGTTCCCTACCTCCATGGAGCGCGCTTTGTGCTTGCGGGGGTGGCCGTTACTCGCACCCGTACTCGTGACACTGCTGCCGTTATTTGTATTGTTGCCATTGTCGTTGCCGCCGCTGTTGTGACGCGGCTCACTTGGCAGCCCGCCGCACCAGTGAAGGAACATCAGAAGCGGAGTGGCGCAGCTCAGGAGATCGTCTCGTACATCGCGGCTCACGTCCGCCGTCGCGGCGGCACCTTTGTCCTTGTCCTTGTCCTTGTCTTTTTCCTTGTTCGTACCCGCATTACCACTCGGCACACCGACGCGACAGGGAAAACACACATCACAGAGCAGCGCCGTCGCGGCGCTGTAGTCCAGCTGCGTCGGCGCCGCCCCACTCGCGGAGAGAAACGACGAAGCCAAAAACGATGCCGAGGCGGACGACGCGTGGGTCGGCGCGGCGGCGGAGACGGTGTAGTAGTAGTCCACCACGCAGTCCGCCAAGACCAGCTCACGATCAAAGCAGTACCACACGTAGGACGGCGTTGCGGTGTGCGGGGCGTCCGTCGGCTTTTCAAGATTGCCATACCCAGCGGTGCCGGAGGGCAGCACACGATAGGCAGCCGTGATGCCCGTTCCGTAGTCTTTCCTCAGCACCCGACCAGCCTTCTGAACAAAAGACGGGCTGACTTGCCCGCTGCAGTTACCGCTCGCGGCTCCACTGCTCGCCGTGCCGAGTGCGCTCACCGCTTTGTAGAGGTAGGTGCGGTAGAGCACGAGCTGGCCGTGGCACACCACACCGCCGCCGTTGTCGCTGTAGACCTGCGAGAGGGAGAAGGACGCGCTTGCACCTGCAGCGTTTGCCCGTCCCTCTGCACCGCCACCGCCAACGCCGCCGTCGAGGCCGCAACTGAGGGCCCGCAGACGTGCTTCATCTGCGTAGAAGAGCGAGTCCGTGAGGGGGACGCCTTCATCGGCCGGGGCCGGGGTGTACGAGGCGCACCGTGCCGCACTGCTTTTCCCATCCAAAGAGGACGCGATGGAGGCGGCGGCAAGGGCTCCATCGTCCGCTGCCGCCGCACCGCAGAGCAGCGCGTGCTGCAGGCACGCACACTGATCCGCCTGCGACGCCGGCACCACACCAAACAGTCCAACAAACCGACTGCGGTGCCGCGGATTGGCCAAGTCCGCGTGCAGCTCCTTTACACGGTTGTCGAAGCGGAGGCGCAGGCCGCGGTTGATGATGCGGCGCACGCCTTTCACCGTCACGCCGGTGATGCTGAACTCCTGCTCAAAGAGCTCACGGTTAAACCGCTCTTGCATGAGCTCGGCGACGGAGGTGAAGAACTCGTGGCTCGCTTTGACGGGCTCGAGGCGTACGTTGCCGGCGGTGTGCAGCTCCACCGCCAAGCGCTCCTTCAGCAGCTGCGCCTCGATGGAGGCGGCGGTGGTGGCGTGGGCTAGGCGGAGTAGGATTTTCTGTTCTTGTATTTCACAGGTCCCGACAGCGCGGGCGAGCTGTAAGCGGAGGCTCTCCAGCTGCGCACTCTCCACCGCCACCCCAGGAGTTGCCGCCGCTGCCGCTGTTGATGACGAAGGCGACTGCCCGTCCGTGTTGGTGCTGCAGGTGCTGCAACCTCCATGAAAAAGCGATCCAACGCTGCGGTCGCTGCCGCGGTAGAGGTGCCGCTCTAAGAGCTCCGTGTCAATCGGCTGTAAACAGGCGTGCAGCTGCGCGAGGGCGTCCGCGTTCTGCGCCGTCTCCCGCATCGCACAGCTTTCCGCGTGTCGCGCAAGCAGAACGAGGTGCGTCTCGAGCATCTGCACCCGCATCTCGTAATACAACTTCTTCTTCTTTAAGATGTTCTCCACGAGACTGCGCTGCTCCGCCGTCACGTAGGTGCCATCCAGGCTATCGAGTGAGTCCAACATCGCCAGCGCCAATGTCGTGTAGTTACTCAGGCGGCATATCGGGTTTTCGCCAAACAACGAGTCGGCAAGCCACACACTGCGCAGGCAGGGGAGCTGCTGAAGGTAGCAGAGCTGTGCAACGTCCGCGATGCGACAACCACTGAGGTTCACCTCGTGCAGGCGCGTCATATCCTCGGAGAAGGCCCCGGTGAGGTACTGAATTGGGTTGTCCGCCACGTAGAGCGTACGTAGCTTGCGCAGGGGTGTGAGGTGTGTCAGGCTTTGCAGCTGATTGCGTGCGAGCCACAGTTCACGTAGGTGACGCAGCGGCGGCAATCCTTCCATGGAAGTGATGCAGTTGCCTTGCAAGAAGAGGCGGCGCAGCTTGGCCATCTTGCCGAGCCCCTCGATCGCACGAATGTTGTTGTCCGAGAGCCACAGCTCCTCGACGTGCGTGAGAGGGGCTAAGTCGGCCATCGACTCCAGTCCGATGTTCATGAGCTTAATGGTGACAAGATTCGGGAAGTACGCCAAGAGAGGCAGGCGGTGCACCTGCAGGAGAAAGAGCTCCAGCGTGACGATGCTGTCGGGGCGCTGCCGGGCCTCCTCCGCCGTCCAATCGTTGCTCTCCGCACACAAGCCCAGCAGGTCGTGCAGCTCCGGGTGTGACTGCAGCCCGCTCGACAGCTGTTGACGCAGCTGCTCCAGGTGGGCAGGCGAGAAGGAGGAGGACGGTGCGGGGGGCGGGGTTGGCTGCGGCGCGCCGGAGGCGGGACTAGAGGAGTCGGGGCTGCGTCCAACCAAACTCGTGGTGTGGCTCGACATGGCGCCGATCGACACGGCGGCGACGGACGTGCAGAGAGACACACCTACAAGAAAACAAGGAATTAGAGAAAAGGAAAAACAGAAAGAAAAAACCCAAATTTTGCGCTTCGGCCTCTACGTTGGAAAAGGAGCGCGTGAAGGAGAAAACACACAGACACAGACACAGACACAGACACAATGTGAGCGCTGTCAAGAGAAAGGTCTGAGCAGCTCTTCGATGGGTGCCGATGCTAAGGTGCGTGTATGTTTGCTGTTGTGTTGCTCCGCAGTTCCTGTCCCCACGATGCCAGAATCATATGCACATTCACCGTCGATTTCTGGAGGGGAGGGGGGGGGGGGGGCGGCTGGCGAGAAGAGAGGAGGAAGGGGAAAGAGAAAAACAAGAGTCAACGTTCCCTGAAACTGTTGTGCGAAGAGGTGAATATATATATGTATAGAGGTATAGAAGTATCGTACACGTGTGTGACGTAGAACCGAAGAGAGAGAGAGAGAGGGAGAGAGACAACAAACGGTAGTCATACCAAGAAAAGATGGTCGACACAGAAGGAAAGGAAAGGAAAACACGGATGGATGCACCTAAAGCGTTGTCGCTGAAGTTCACCACCGTTGCGGTGTAGGGAAAAGTGCCGTCGTGAAGATCAGAATTCAATTATCCCCTGCACTTGCTAGCCCCAACGGACGTCAAAGAATGTCTTTCTCACGGCACCCTAAAAGGAGCCTACCACGTCCCACTTTGCCGGCTAGCAAACACCGTGGAGAGGCAATAGAAAAACCTACAACATTGAAAACGCGCACACTCGCAAAGGGCGATCCGCCGTTCGTGCGTGGACGCGGAGTTGATCCGAGTTTTGAAGCGCGCGTCCGTCGTTTTGTTTGGGCTTGATTATTGTCATTCAGAAACACAATATATAAAAAGCAAAGAAATTAAAGAGTCCAGCGATCCCTCACAGCCACAAAGAAACTGAAGCAATAAGAGTGGTGGTAATAGTGGTAGTAATAATGGGAAGCAACGCGTCCCGATCGCCAACACAGACGACTTCAAGGACGCGCGCTCACCTGCGTCGTCTTCTGCGGCGGAAGAGATGGCGTCGAAATTTGCATTCACCGGCCATCACTGACCACGGCAATAAGACGGTGTGAATAGGTAAAATAGAAAACATAAATAACACCTTCGATTCACCTCTTTCGTGAACCGTAACGCACGGGCATTGCCACCGCTGGCTGCCTTCAAGTGCAGGCAAGACGAGTTGGGCAGGAACCACCCACTACTGCGATTCAAGGCGTCTGCATGTGCGCGCGTGGGTGAGTGAGTGAGTACGACGGGGAGTGGGATGTGGGGAATAAAAGGAGTTCAAGACCGACGAAAAGTCACCACCACCACCACTAATAATAACAATAGTAATAATAATAGAAAGCGACAAAAACAAGATGGTAATGATAACCATCGACAGCGTGGATTTGTATTTGCACACGCGTAACGATACACAACAGTTAGCCTGACACCGACAAAGGCATCGGAGGACAACAACCAACAAAACAAACAAAACACCCGCGTCCATAATAGTAATGAAGGGCATTACCACCGTTCAAAGCAAACGTATAGTAAATCAAAACGGAGAACATTGAAACAGGAGGAGCAAATAACAGCAACAACGTGGCAGAGAACGCAGATATGTGTGATTTTAGAAGAGTCGAGACCCCAATGAAGAAGAAGATTTTTTTGTTTCTGAAATAGCAGCTCCCCCTTCCCCCCATGCACACATACACACATACAGGTGGGCAGTCGAAACAGACAGCGTGAGTCCTGCACTGCCGTTGCTCTGCGACAGTCACTCCTCGTCCAAAGGCGCAACAACGACATCGAGGTAGCAAAGCGTCACTCGAGCCCGGTCTCTTTCTTTCTGGCCGGCCTTGCACGGAACACAAAAGGTCCATTCGGGCCCTCTAACTGCTGAATCAGCTGTGTGACGTGCGACAGCGGCGCCGTCTCGGGCGATGTGGAGCGCAGGCTGTGCACGGACGAGGCCCGACTCGACGCTGACTCCGTAAAGTGCGGCGACGCCTGCCGTGGTGGTTGCTGCCGCTGCTGCTGCTGCTGCTGGGAGAAGGGACTGGGCAACGCGCTGCTCGCCGCCGCAGCCGCAGCGGAGTACGCAAAGGGCGAGGAGAGCGGGTAGTCGCTCATATCCGTTGTCTGCGGCGATGGTGGCGAGCACGCATCCACGTCGATGCGCAGCGGGTGCGAGGCGACGAGCGAGTTGACCGGGGACCGCACGCGAGACGGCGGCTGTGACGAGTACGCGCAGGCCGGCATGGAGCCGCCACCCCTGCCGATGCCGGTGGTGCTGCTGCTGTTCGTCCGCTGCCCCGCAGGTGATGGAAGACACTTGTAGAACCGTGGAAATGACGTCGCGGCGAAGCCGGTGATGTTGCGCATGCAGTTCATGATGCGGCAGCCGCCGTCTGCGGGCTCGCGCGGCGACACGCGGAGTGACGCCAGCGGGTGCGAGTCCTGCCCGCCGTCCGCCGGCGCCACGAAGGACGTGCGCGCGGAGGCGGAGGTGGAGTAGGAGGAGACGGGTGTGACACCCGATGCGCTGGACCGGGCGGAGTTGCGCTGCATCCCGTCACCCCACGCGGGGGCCGCCGTCGCGGGCTGCGGTGCCCCGCCTGCAGACGCCGTAGCACCGGCGTAGGTGCAATTGCTGTTGTGCATGGTCGTGAGGTGGTGGTGGAAGCCGGCATCTGACGGGCCCCCACTCTGGGCCGGGCCAGCGGTCTTACGCGGCCACGGGGCAGTAACGGAGAGCAGCGTGGTGGATGACGTGCTAAGCCGAGTGGACGGCGGGGTGCCGACGTGGCTGGAGACCACCGTGTCCGGGAGAGAGGGAAACGCACTCGCAGGTCGCAGGGCGGCTGGTGGTGCCGTGGCGGCGGCCGTTGCGGGACTGCCGTGGTGATAGAAACTTCCAGTAGCGAAAGACGCACCGTAGTACCCCGCAGCAGCACCGCCACCGCCACCGCTGTTGCTGCTCTTCGTGTTGACGGCCTCCTGCCACGACGGCAGCAGCTGCGAGGCGCCTGAGAGCGGCGAGCACATAACCGGTGAGGAGGGCGCGTAGGAAGGCGACGGGGACCCGAGCGACACGTCACACCAACCACCGCCGCCACCACCGCCGTGGGGTGTCATGGAGGAGCTCCACGAGTTTACGTGGTCATAGCCCGGGGCGTGAAACGGTGGTGGCCGTCGCGTGGCGCGATGCACCATCGACTGCCGCGGCGTGGGCACTGGGCTGCAGCTGAAGTTGGCGGGACTGCGGCGCAGCGTGACTTGCCGCCCACCACCGCCGCTGGCTTTGCGGCAACGCACCATCGCGGACATCGCAGCGGCCTTCTCCTCCTGCCCTAGAATTCGGTTCTGGGTGCAGGTGCGGATGTGCTTCTCAAACGCGCACCGATTCCACCACAGCAGGCACTGATTCATGAGGGACAGCGGCGCGAGACAGAGCTCCATCGTGCAGTTCAACACACCCATGCGGGGGGCGAAGCCGCCAAAGAAGACGAGACGGTCCTTCGCGTAAATCACCGTCGGGCGAGAGCAGGCGGGCTGGTCGTTCGGCGTGAGTCGGCGCCAGCGGTTGGCACCGAGCTGGAACTCGTACGCGTTCTTGCAGTACCCGTCCCCGCCGCCGGCGAAGACCGCAAAGGTGCCATTCACAAAGACACTCGCGGCGCACATGCGAGGCGAGGGCACATCGCCGGTAGCGTCGCGGATTTGCCGCCACACACCCGTGGAGACATCTAACATGCGCAGGTCGTTCATGAAGGAGCCTTCGCTGGCGGCTGTCGTCACGCCCACCGGCGTGGGGTCCACCGTGCGCCCGCCAAAGAGCAGCAGCAGCGTGGTGCCCGTCACGAGCTGGGAGACGTGGTAGAAGCGCGGGGTCGGTGTGTCGCCGCAGGTCTTCAGCTGACACCACCGCCGCTGCGTTGGGTAGAACAGGAGCGTCTCGTTGGTTGGGGCGCACATCATGTCCGGCTCCCCCGCGTTGCGCGCGGGCAGCTCCGGATCGGCGGGGCGTGGGTGCACACGGGAGGCCTTCACCAGACCGCCAAACACCACAAACATATCCTCGCGCGCTCGCGTTGCCGTGCACTCTGCCGGCAGCAAATGCATGGTGTGCCCTTTGCGCGGTGAGAACGGCAGCCCGCACTCCTTCGACCACGCCAGGCTCGGGACGTCGAGCGCCCACATGTCGTCGAAGTACTTGCCCTGTCGCTCCCCGCTCAGGATATACATGGTGCTCTGGTAGAGCGCGGCGGCATGACCCACACGGCCGCACGGGCGCAGGACGGTGCGCGTGGCCACGGGCATCGCAAAGGGAATGAAGATGTCCGCGTTGCTGCAGACTCGCACGTTGTCCTCGTCGTCCGCGCCCCGAACGCGGTCGCTGGAGTGCTGCGGGTGGAAGCGACTGTGGTGCTCATCGACAACGCTGCTCTCACGGCTTGCACAGGGAGTCGAGGCGGTCGAGGAGGGAGAGAACCTCGCAGAGACGCGGTGCGACCCCGCCGGAGCAGCACTCGCGCTCGCCTCCGCGCCTCGCGTTGTCGTTGTAGCGGCTGTGGCTTCGTCGTCCTGCGTGTCCTCCGCCTGCAGCATCGCCCACCGGCGCCGCTCCACGTCGTAGGCGTAGACGTCGTTGTAGTAATGCTCGTCGTTCGCCTTGCCGCCGAAAATTACAATTTGCGAGTCCTTGTAAAGCACCGCAGTGTGCCCAAAGCGAGGGGGTGGCATCACACACGCCGCCTCTTCTTCCTCCTCCGCTTCCACGACCGCCGCGCCCTCCTCCTCTGCGGCGTCGGTGCGTGAACCGTGGGCATCTTCACTCCACCTTGTACGGGGTGCCGTCGGAGCCGCCCGCGTCCGCTGCATGCGCGCGTTGCCGCGACGCTCGCTGCCCTCCATCAGACTCCCCCGCGAAGCCGTACTTTGCAGGTTTGCAATCGAGTTGGAGCTGCGCAGGGAGTGAGCTGCGTGCTCTTCGAAGGTCTCCATCGTCGACGGTGCATCCCCTGCGATCCGGTTCCACGCCATACTGAGTGGACACTTCTGCTTTAAAAAGTACTCGCACTGCTGCTCTTTGCAGGAGTCATCGATGCAGCTGCGGCAGCCTTTGGTGACATCCAGTCCGCAGAGCCTTTTGCCGCTGCAGTGCCCCTCGGCCGTCGCGCTCTGTCCTCTGCTCGCGTCGGTGCAGGAGAGCAGCGAGATGGCCCGTCGGGCACCGCTGTGGTCAACGTACTCGACTGTGGTGCTGCTGCGTCCTGCGTGCGACGCACCCTCCGCCGCCATAGGGGACGGCGGTACGGACGTGGGTGCCAATGAAGACTCATCGGCAAAGGTGGTGGAGACCTGTCGGGCATTGTAGAGGTCCATTCGTGACGCCTGTGTTCAAGGAAAGGAAAGAAAAAATACTAAGAGAAACTCCCTCCTCACACACACACACACACGCACATATATATGTATTTGTAATAGCGGTACAACAGTAATAGCGATGGTGGTGGCGCTACCCCGCTGACGCACGAACGAGTCGTTTTCCTTTCACCACAGCAGAAACAACAACAACAATACTATCCACCACCACCACACAACGAACAACGAGTAAACGAAAGAAGGAAGCGTCGTTCGGTGCTTATCGGAGAAAAATGCAAAGTCCAAAGACCCAAACGAGCAAATTTATAGTAATAATAATAATAATAGCAGTAGTCGTGGTGAGCTACGAAAGACAACAGAAGACGAGCTGTGACAAGTACATACACGGCGCTTCTTTGTGCCTGTTACGTCTTCACGGAAAGCAAAAAAAGGAAAAGAAAACTACGCTCCTGAAAGGTGCTGTGAAGCGATAATAATATTAGTAATAACAGTAATAGTAATAGCTCAATTAAACATATATAATTAGAAGAATGAACCTTGATAGCTGTACCGACAGTGCTCTTCTGTTCATCGACGAAAACAGAGATAGATAAAACAAAACACACGCAACTACACGCAGATAAATAGAAAGGAAAGGGGGGTGGGGGAACCACACGTTTCTAAGTATTACTAATAATATTTGACAGTAAGGACTCCGCTGCGACACTCAACAACACTCACACACACACACACACACACACACACACACACACACACACACACCTACAAAAAGAAAAAACCAGCGCGTGCGCAGCTGCGTCGTTGGAGCACGAGTCCCTTTGCTGGCAACGGTCGAGGAAAGACGGGTGACTTGCGCTGCCTTCGTGCAGCCAGCAGCAAATATGATGGTGGTAATAAGTGGGAAGAGAGGCGACGCAGCAGCAGGAAGAGTAGTGACGGCTCTTCGCGTATGTTTTGTTTTTCTTTCTTAGAAATTCCTTCGTGCGTCGCTTGCGAGGACAAGCAGGAACTACAACAGCGAGAGAGAGAGAGAGACAATTATCGGGCGTTTGTGGTCGTTGAAGGCGGAGATCGCCTGCGAGTGGTAAAACACCCCTCGTACTCCAACGAAGTCTGAATACGCAAGAAGTGAGACAGCGGAAGCAGCACTGCGAGCAGCGAGCAGCAGCAGCACCACCACCAACAAAAACGGAGGAGGCAAAATAGTCGGGACAAAAGGCCAAGTCGGTGAATACCGAATAGAGAAGTGTCCCGCCCACGTACGCGAGCGGGAGAGAGAAGGAGAAAGGCGGTGGTTTCGCTCGGCGTGGCGACTTCAGAATAGAGAGAGAGAGACTAAGCTACGTAGCCGCCCTCTGGGCAGCTTTTAAGCGTGAGTGAAGAAAGGAAAACAATACAATACAATACAATACAAAAAAAAGGTTTCGTGACCAAAGTGTGTGTGCGCGTGTGTCCAGCTCAGGTCACCACGGTTCTGGGGTTTGCAGCGCGCAAGTACTGCAGTAATCGTTTGAAAGGATTTGAGGGCCCACAAGATTGAAAATGGCTCGTAAGGCGAAGGCCAAATAGATGAATAATCAAAGCCGCAAAAACGGAATAATAATAACAGTAATAGTAATAAAAGAAATGTGTGAGTGAGCGTGCCAAAGGAAAAAGGCTACCTCGCGTACGGAATTTGATCGCGTGAAGGGTGTTCCGTTCTTGTTGGTTTAACGAGTCTTCAGCTTTTCAGGCGAAAACGAGTTGGACCCGCTGCGATGCATGAAACAATAGAGGAGAAAAGAAAAAAAAACTACTGGTAAAAGCAGAAGCGAAAGTTGAAGTGGGAAAGAGAGACGGAGGAGATTTACAAGTAACGAGAAAGAAGAAAACAAGGAACAGTGAGATGCAAAGCTAGGTAAAGAAGGGCAAGAGGGCCCCTCTGTACGCGCGGGGAGAGAATACGTAACAGGGGGGGGGGGGTACTCTCACGTGCGGGACGGATGCCCAATCGTAGCAAAAACAACAACAAGAAGGGGTGATCGTAAAAAGCGAGCCGAATAAGAAAACGAGAAAACAAGAAATACAAAACAGAAAAGCCGGAGCAGCAGAGACCAATAGAGAATAATAATAATAATAATAATAATAATAATTACAAAGAAGAAGAGTAGGACAACAATAGCGAAAGAGCGTGGTGGCACTGTTGCGAAGCAAGACAAATCAGAAAGCACACAACGCAAAGAAATATGTAACCAGAAACAACAGCAGTCGCGTCGTTTAGCCGTGCAGAAGTGATATACAAAAAGAGGAAGAATAGTTTTCCGCAACGGAGAATCAACAACAATCAAAAAAAATATTACTAGAAGGCGTCGCAAGAGCATTGTATGCAGGTGTGGGTGTGAAGTGGGGAAACGCATGAGAGGAGGAGGAGGGGGAGGGGGGAAGACAGAGGGAGAGGATCAGGAGCGCAAACATACCGTGGTGTGAAAGCGGAATGAAAGAAGATATACAAGCAGCGGTGGACGGTCGCCCCGGAAGAGGCCATCGCGTGCAGCGACAAAGATGTGCTGCCTCAACGCGGGGTTCTCTCACTTGCAAAGGGAAGCAGGAGAAACCTGCCGCACAGAAGAGGTTCGGGATGTCTCGTGACAAGTCAAATAGTTCTGCGGTGACTGCTTTCGGAAAGACCTTACTTAAATAACACTAACAATTATATATATATGGCGAAAGTGATAATATGCGAGGCATCAACAGCACAATGAAAGATGGACGAATAAGCCGTTCGAGACAATGAAGGAAACTATGCTCCAAAAAAAAGTGTATCAGGATGTGTTCCGCAATAGCGCCGGCCATCACTCGACGCGCCGCGGGAGGACAACGACGAAGAAGCAAAGCAAAAACGAAAGCACTATGGATTTGTTTTTCTTAACCAATTTCTCCCCACACCGCAAACAATCATATATATATATATATATAAAATAGCTAGAGCAAAGCGGAAGAGGAGCCTTCTCAATAAGTACGTACCGCCTTCTCTTCCACATTAGCTCGAGACGCCAGGGCCGTACTGCACCCTCAGCGCGCATTCACAAGGCAGCGACGCACGCGATGGGGAGGCTGACGTGGGCGCCGCCCGATGTCGCACACCACACAGGTCAGCCAGCAAGGAAGACTCACGGCTGCTCATCTCCACCACATCCTGTCTGAAGGGATGCGCAGACGTCGTCGTACGATGGACACGAGGAACCGTGCGGGCCGGCATCGACACAGCTGGCCGAGTCGGCGACGGCGTGGCGAGGTGCACAGGGAGGGGGACCCCGTCGCGAGTGGGTGTGATGGGCTCTAGAGGGAGACTCGTCTGCCCCTGTGCACACGACCAGGTGCGGTGCACGTCGTGCCGTGGAGCGGGGAAAGCCTGTCTTGGAAGGCGCCAGAACGAGGGAGACGGAGCCACGTGTATGATGCGAAGATGCCCGGTGGAGGTGGAGGGCCCTGGTAGGGCAGCGGATGCGTCGGCAGCGTCGTCCCTGCAATTATTTTTGCGCGAGGAAACACCGATGTTGCTCGCTGTCTCGCAAGAAGGAGGGGGTGGCGTGTTGAGAGGCTTCTGTTGTGCGCTCTCCATCCACTCAATCTCTCGCAGCCCTGCCCGATCGAGAAGGTCGGTGGGGAGCATCGAACGCGGCCGATCAACCACATAAGCGAAGACGGCATCATCGACGACAGTTTCTTCGGCGATGTCTTGCCGCTGCGAGGGTGCGGGGAGTACATCGACGAGGGCACGAAACAGCTGTGCTGCCATATCGGTGTGGTGCTCCGTTAAGAACAAGCGATAGAGCCGCTGGGCGGGGCGTGCGGAGGATGCGTCGGGTAAACGGACATGCAGCTCCACCACATTCTTCGACACCACGTGGCGAAGCCGTACGACGTCCTGCAAATACACGGTGAAGGTGAAAGCGGTTGCCGCGACTCGAAGAAACACCTTGCTTCCGGTGAGGACCACCACCACACCCCGCGCGAGCAGAGGGTGGCAGCCACGCTCGACGAGCACCAGGTCGCACCACACACTGTGCTCACCGGGTTGACTTCGGGGACGCGCATCGGCAAAAACGTCGGCGGCGCGCTGCTGCTCGCGACCGCGTGTGCGACCAGATGAAAGTGGACGTGCGTTCCACATTCAACTCCGTAATAAGGTAATTTCTTTTCTCCTTATACGGGTGTAAAAAACAAAAATATTTTTTTTCTTGGTGGAAGAGAAGAGACAAAGAGAGGAAAGGAGAGTTGATTGGCTGCGTGGACGCTGCCTCGGCGCTGCGTGAGGTCAAATAGCATGAATTCTTTCCTCTTCTTTGCACCGTCAACGCACGTTGCTGATCACGGAAGACATTTCGTTAGGCAATCCTCATGCAACAAGCGTGCCGGACACGTTCGTAGAGCATATATAGTTTCCCTGTCCTGTTGCGTGCAGCCGTTAATTCGCAAAGCAGTCATTCATAAAAAAAGAAGTTCGTGGTATTTCCAGCTCAATTGACAGCCTCCTTGCGCCTCTTCTTACTTTGCCGTTTCTCCTGCTTCGCGGCTCGCTTCTTCTGTCGGGCCACCTCCGCATCGTGCGCCGCCGGGTCCACCGCGCACCGCAACACCGCGGCGGCCAGCATTAACCCAAAAATCGGCGGCATGTAACTGATCGTCCCATTCATCGCCCGATCGCGCCCACCCGCCTCCTGCCGCTGCGGCTCCAGTGGGGGCCTCCCTTTCTCGGTGCTGTGCACCACGGTGATGCAGCCAGGCCCGATGTTGCGCTTCCGCAGCGCCGCCCGACACACGCGTGCGAGGCCGTCATTCTCCGTCTCGAACAAATCGCCCACCTTTACCAGCGACGGGTCAAGCCGACCACCCGCGCCGCAAGACGAATAAACGCGCAGCTTCAGCTTCACGGCTGCGGCCAGCAGCGCCACCTTGCACTCCACGCTGTCGATGCAGTCCACCACAAAGTCGTAGCGCTGCCTTGACAGCAACTCCTCCACGTCCTCGGACGTGATAAAGGTGTCCAGCGCCACGATGCAGCAGTGCCGGTTTACATCCCGCAGTCGCCGCGCCAGTTCCTCCACTTTACTCTTCCCAATAGTGCTGTCCAATGCGATGAGCTGTCGGTTTTTGTTAGAGGAGGAGACCACGTCGTGATCGACAATGGTGATGCTGCCGATGCCGGCGCGTACGAGAGCCTCGGCGCAGTGGCCGCCCACGCCGCCGGTGCCGGCGAGGAAGACGTTGGTGCCTTGCAGGGCGCGAATGCCGTCGTCACCGAGGAGGATCTGCGTCCGTTCATACAAGGCGGAGTTAAGCATTTCTATCTTTCACTTCCGCAATTCGTTTTCTACATCGACTGTAAAGACCCCGATGCAGCGAATTCTCATCGGGGGGGGGGGGGAATGCAGAACACCCAGCCGCTATTACCTTCCCCGTCTGTGTGTGTGTGTGAATGTTAAGGGGGAGTCGTTCTTTTCCCTCAAACAGAGCCCTCCCCTCCTCTATCTCTCTGCCAGACCAAAGAGAAGCAGCGGTTTACGCCTCTGCTCTCCCACCGCTGGCGAGGAGCAGCGTTGATAACAGAGAGGAAAAAGAGAAGCAGAAAACGGAGGAAAGGACGCTTCTGCCAACAACCCAGCGGAGCAATAAAAACAGAAACAATGAAAGCGCGCTTTGACATCAACAGTGGCAGCGCTCGGCCTTAAATATACATACGTGCATTGTTGCGGTATCCTGCTCATGTTTGCGGAGGGCACAGAGATGGGTGGAGGTTTGCTTTCTCGATGTTTCTCTCTTCCCGTTAAGTCGACCCCATGACGTGGTCGTATATCCAACAACAAGAAACGCAGCGATAGATTCAAAGCTAAATAATAACCATTAGAGAGCTCCGCGAGTGGTGCCAGAAGGACCGTCACGGATCAGCGTGCAACACATTCCAAGCAAACGGAGAGACATAGCAGTGGAAAAGCAAAGGAAGGGAACAACGTATCTAAATGAAGAAGACCGTACACGCTGAGAACAGCGCACCCGTTGCAGAGGAGAGGCGAAAACCGGAAAACAAAACATAAGGAGAAATCAAATCGCACCGGGCCGGCCATCACTCTTACAGACTTCACCTCACTAAAGGAGTAAATGAACTTCCTTCGCGGAGAACAAAACAAGGAAGAGAAACAACCGCCACAGAGGAGACACTTGACAGTGCAAGTCCCAACAGGACCACAGCAAGTACAAGTGCATGCAGGCGACCATTCCCTCTATCGTCAACGAGGGCCAACATCGCGATTGGCGCAGCTCACCTCGACGCGAAGAAGAAGCCACCCCTACACATCATTCACATCGCCTCAAAACAGCCACGCCACCTCGGCGGACAGGTCCTCAACCCCGCGGTGCGGCAGCGGCATGCCACTCAGCAGGTCGTGCTCCGACGCGCCGTAGGCCCAGTGCACGTTGCGGCCCTGCGCATCCGCCTCCGACAGCACCACACGCTGCTCGCGTAGTCCCCCGGCTTGGCGGTGCGCACCTTCTCGTCCGCCCGCGTCGCCGTTGCCGGTGCGGCGGCCTCTGCGTCCGTCGGCGCGCGCACGTAGGGCTGCGCTGCGCCGTACGCGTCGCCGTCCAGCAGCACCTCCGCGAAGTCCTCGTGCGCCAGCAGCTCGGCGGGCGTGGCCAGCGCGTGCGGCAGCTCCGTGAAGCCCGCCGCGCCGCCGTGCAGC